GTTTTCGTTTTCGTTTTCGTTTTCGTTTTCGTTTTCGTTTTCGTTTTCGTTTTCGTTTTCGTTTTCGTTTTCGTTTTCGTTTTCGTTTTCGTTTTTCTTTTTCTTTTTTCTTTTTATTTTTGTGGGAGAGGGGAAGGTGAGAATGTGCTGATAGTTTTGTGTAGGGAATATTCTGACAGAGTTCGGGAAGAATGTGGGGGAGCCGTTGGGACAGCCTGGTATTACGGTCGTGGTATAATGTGTGATGGGTTGAACCCATTCTGTGGCTATGCCCCTAAATGGGCATAGCCGTCACGTGAGCAGACGCTCGGGCCTTGGCGCCCTCACAAAAGGATTTCTCCGGGGAGAATCCTTCTTTCCTTAACTAGTTCTTTTTGTAATACACATAGCTTGTTACTTTGACTCATTGTATCAGCCCGTGACATAATGAACATGAGAGTCGTGTCTTACTTCTGAATCATGACTGTTGGTGTGTTGTAGTTTACGCTGATGTTTTAATGATTGTGGACATTGGATAAAGTATTGGGAAGCTCAAAAGGAACTTAGATGCGGAACCTATGCCTTGATGGAACGGATCCTAAATATATTAATTAATTAAGGAAATCTAGGTGAAGCAAGCTGGTCCCATAGTAGAGCGATACTCCCTACCGCTTTATTGTGACGGGTTGAACCCGATATTTGGCTGCACTACTACGTAGTGCAGCCTGCACGTGACTACGCGGGCCTGCACATGACTGCGCGACGCCAAAGCGCGCGGGCCATTCTACGAACCAGCGAGAGCCCCTTTTAAAAGAGCTCCTCGTACAAGATAGAACTCTTCTCTCTTTAGTTAATTCTTCTTGTAATACAATCAGGTTCTTGCTTTGACTCATTGCATCCAACCCGTGACATTTATCATAATATATAATATATATCCAGAAGAATCGCTCAAGCACACATGGTTGGCTTTGAATTTGCTTTGATAAACGAGCTCGCAATGTTCGCTCTGAACATCTTTGCTCAATTCTTCGTGGCCAAGGGTTTGTCTCTTCTTCCCCCATCATAGCTGATTTTGAATAGATGCATCATAGCCTCCTCTCGTGTAACATTCTCTTTCTCCCGCGACGATGCACTCCCTTTCTCCAAATATCTCAAAAGGGTAAACACCAGGACAAAAACGCCCTTAAGTTCGGTCTGGTTCGTGATCCTCGTCGCCGCTCTTGAATGACTTTTCATCTTCGCAGGGCCGGTGGCTATCGGCGCCGTCTTCAGTATTGCTGCAATCGGCCAACAAGTCGCGTTTGGGGTTCCAATTGCGTCGAGGGTCTTTGCAGGGAGGAGTTTTAGACCTTGTCTTTCAACCTTTCCGTTTACTATCTTCTCTCTCTTTTTTTATCTTTTTCATTTTCTTTTTTCTTCTTCAATCTAAGAGAGAAATAGGACCCTGGAATCTAGGACGTTTCTCTACACTAATAGGCATTGTAGCTATTGCGTGGATCATCCTCATCATTCCCGTCCTCTGCTTCCCAGCCGTCAAAGGAAAAGATCTAAATGCGCAGACAATGAGTTACGCATGTCTACTCTACGGAGGCGTGATGTTGCTGGCCTTGGGACGGTAGCTACGCGGTGGATGCGAGGAAATGGTTTAGAGGGTCGAGGGTTAAATTTGAGCATTTGATTCCGGGGCAAAAAGGTGGAGGTGAGGTTGTTGATGAGGAGAAGAAGTGAGAAATGCTTTAATGAAGACATTGAGAGAAAATCTCGGAATCAGAATTATCGCCGATGTCTGAAGAGTGAACCTGAGTCGTGCGCTTGGCAGTGGAGGTCGAGACCACTGAAAGCCACTGGGGGCTGACAACCCCGCATCTCCACGTTCCCGCCTCCCCAGCTGGTTCTGTAGCTCCAAGAATCTCGAAGAGTATCGACCTTACTTGGCGATCTTTCTCGTTTCTGAGTGTATCCATCGTTTTACAGGTGACAAGAATTCATCAACCCTTGAGGGAGTTTATTCGGAACACCTGCTTCTACGAAATGCACAAGTGGAAATAAATGTCCAGGACTACCATAATGCATCTTGCACATGAATATCTGCATGCGGAACCGAAAGCACAACACGCATCCGATGCAATGCACAGGACAGGCATCCGAGCCTATGCTCAATGGAACTTGTTCCGCAGTATTTCTTCTCCAATCCATATGACATTAACCTACCCGCTGTCACAGCCCAAAGACCTTGGTAACCCGATAATTTTGGTACTATTTCTTGACTCGTTTGACAAAGACCGTTCCCAAAAGCCGTGGTACCTTGCCGACGCCCCTTCCCCGCATTGGCTGAACATTGGCCGAATCATCACCTCGTGGCTTACCCTCACAACTTCTCTGTCCCAAGCATCGTTTTCTCCAGAACTAATACCCGTCTTCCATTCGGGACTTGCCAAGATTGGGCCAAGATCGAGCCAAGGATCTTTTACCTGCCGACAAGGTGGACAAGGTGGAAGCGAGGATATAAGGTGGCAATGATTGGTCTATATCAAAGGAGCATGTCCGTCCACAGCTGGGCAATGGCCCACGGGTTGCTGCACTGAGTGAGCGGCCATTCTTATGAGCCCCGCCACTTAGATAGATTTTCTGGGGTCCCCGGAAATGGTGATAAGAAGAGCTGGTTCCCCCAGATCTAGGTACGTAGCTCTCATTGCGGGGTTCACCAATTTCTTCTTCGCGCGAACTGAACAACGTCCGAGGAGCTCTTTTACGATGGCGCTCGACGGCGAGAAACAGATACATGCTGAGCATATGCCTGAGAGTCCGGCTGAGGAGAAATCGGAGGCTATTCACAATGAGACTGCTCATGTGGCAGCAGAGAGAGGGCATGCTGCGACTGATCAGTGAGTGAAGTACGGCCTCCCTGCACCGGTTCTGTGGCTGATACTTTCCCAGATATGGAAATGCTCTCGTCCATTTCGACAAGGACGCTGAGCGACGACTACGATTGAAAATTGATCTCTACATTGTCCCTACCGTGTCTCTCCTGTACCTGTTCTGCTTCATCGACCGTGCGAATATCGGTAAGTACAACATCCTTCGTTGCACTACGAGTTCTTTCTGACTCGATTATCACAGGTAACGCAAAGCTTGCAGGGCTTGAGAAAGACCTCGGTCTCAAAGGTTACGATTACAATCGAGTTCTTTCCGTGTTCTACATATCGTACATCATATTCGAGATCCCTTCAAACATGGCCTGTAAATGGATTGGTCCAGGATGGTTTATTCCTACAATCTCTCTTGGCTTTGGTATCTGCTCCATCTGCACAGCATTCGTGCACAACATCCATTCAGCTTCTGGGGTGCGCTTCCTGCTTGGTATGTTCGAAGCTGGTATGATGCCTGGAATTGCATACTATCTCTCCAGATGGTACCGTCGTAGCGAGTTGGCCTTCCGTCTCTCACTCTATATCGTCATGGCTCCTCTGGCCGGAGCATTCGGTGGACTTCTCGCATCTGGAATCCTCAAGCTACACCATTTCGGCGGTCTACACACGTGGAGAATGATCTTCGCCATCGAAGGAATAATCACCTGCGGCCTGTCCCTCCTCGCCTTCATCACCCTCACCGATCGACCAGCAACAGCACGTTGGCTGACACAAGAAGAAAAAGACCTCGCCATCGCCCGAGTCAAATCCGAGCGCGTAGCCACCACCGAAGTCCTCGACCGAATCGACAAACCCAAGATCTTGCGCGGAATCTTCTCCCCCGTCACCCTAAGCACAGCATTCATCTTCCTCCTCAACAACGTTACCGTCCAAGGCCTCGCCTTCTTCGCTCCTACCATCGTCAAGACCATCTACCCTAAGAACAGCACTATCAGCCAACAACTCTACACCGTACCTCCCTACGTCGTGGGTGCTTTCTTCACGGTCCTATTCCCCTTCCTAAGCTGGAGACTAGACAAGCGAAACATCTTCTTCATCATCTCAGCTCCCCTAGTAATGGTCGGCTACATCATGTTCCTCGCCTCCTCCGCCCCGCACGTCCGCTACGGCGCGACATTCATCATCGCCTCGGGCGCCTTCTCCTTCGGGGCCCTGTGCAACGCGCAAGTCGCCGCGAACGTGGTGTCCGACACGGCGCGCTCGGCGGCCATCGCGACGAATGTCATGTTTGGCAATATCGGGGGCTTGATCTCCACGTGGAGTTTCTTGCCGTTTGATAGTCCCGATTATCATATTGGTAACGGCTTGAATTTGGCGACTAGCTCGACGATGTTGCTGTTGAGTATCATGTTGTTGGTGTATATGACGTGGGATAATAGGAAGCGGGAGCAGAAGAATATGGAGAATGAGTTGGAGGGTCTCAGGGCGTTGAGTCAGAAGCAGGTGCAGGATTTGGATTGGAGGCATCCGGCTTTTAGGTGGAAACCTTAGGATGCTCTTCGTCTTTGATCGAACGTGATGAGAGATGATGAGAGGAGCTTATGTTCAGAACTAGTCTATGTAATATCTAGTTTGATGTATGTATATTATGATTGTGTCTGAAATTAATCTGGTCACCTTATGATCAAGGAGTTTCATTACGAGCTTTGTTCGTTCGAAATATTTATCAATCGGTGTTCAGAAGCTTCTTCTCGTCTCATTCACAGGACTGGGCTCAAAAATGGAGCCGTCGACGAGACTTCAGGTCACTTGTTCTGGCTGCCAATGTCTACTTTCCAGCGCTAGAGGCTGCGGCTAGCGGCTTACACAAAAATATGGGAGATGTAATGTGCGTAGATTTTGAGATACTTAAAGTAAACATCATTCTCGTCAGCACAGTGCGTTCTTCAGTACCTAAAAAGGCACATTGCCCCTGCACTCCACTCTTAAACAGCAGTCTTCTCATCACCACCTTCCACAACCTCCTCACTCTTCTCCCCAACCCCTCTCTCAGGCGTTGGCGTCTCAACCAAATCATGATGTCCCTCCTCAAGCTCTCCATGCCTCTCCTCATGCCCCTTAACAACAAACGTCTCATTATGCTCCGACATAAACTCATCATTATCCAAATGCCTAAAGGTGAAGTAAAAATGAACAGTCAACACAAACAGCGCAATCGCCGGCCCAGCCCAGACCCAAATTAGATGCGGGTCGACAATTGCAGGAGTAATAGCCTCGCCGAGCGCCGCACTCAGGGAATTGGTGAACAGGAAGATAGCCATGACCAAGGAGCGCATGCTCTTCGGGGACCGAGCATACGCCAGCTCGTACGCTGTTACCCAGCAAAAACACTCGGACAGAGCACCGAGGGCAACGTTCGGAATTTGCAGCCAGACCGAGAGCGGCGAGACGCCGTCGCCGATGAGGCATCCTGTCATGCCTGGGCCGCCGGCATAGTATCCGCAGGGCGATGTCTTGTAGATGCGCCATTGCACGATGGCACCGATGATTCCCGAGATCCACGCAAGTGTGAAGCCGAATGTGATACGGCTGATACGTCCAAAGGGAATTTTGTACCTGCGCAGCAGTGGGTAGATAACGTAGCTGAGGGTGGGGATGGCGACGATGATAGTCAGCGGGTTGAAGTTATTGAGGAGATCGTTGGGAGCGCCGTTTGTTGTCATGGTTGCTGCTTGGGAAGTGGCTACGCTACCAATGCCGCCGTCGTTGTTATTGTAGACGATGAAGTAAAGGAAGATTTGACATGCGGAGAACGTTCGTTGAACATCGTCGACGAGCGCATCGTCCCATGGGATGGGTTTGCCTCTCCATTCTGTGATGCCGTTCGCTCGCATGACGGATGGGCGAGCGGGGTCCCAGAAGCCTTTTCGTCCCAGGCGCCAGGTGTTCTTCTTTAGAGCGATCCAGATGACGGCAAATACATTGTCATATGCAGTCTCGCTGGGTGCGATCTTGATGGTTCGCTTGTAGAAGAAGATGAGTAGGATTGGAAGCAGGAAGTAAATGATCCCGGGACTCAGATAGGCGAGCCAGTATCCGACATCTTTCTCAGAGTAGGTTGTCGCTACTGCGAAGAAAGCTCCAACATTGACTAGGCCGTAAAAGATCAACATCATCCTCTGGATGGTTGTTTCTGGGTCTACAATGACCTTCTCGCCGCTCTTTAAAGTTTTGACGAATTGGCGCTGGTGCTGGTACTGGTCAAGAACAGTTGGTGTAATATTTGGCTTGAAGATACCTATTCAGATCAGCAAACGTTAAGGGACAATTTGTGACAATACATACCTGCTCCAAAGGCAAGAATGAAAAATCCTATCAAAAAAGGCGCAATGGCGTGTCCACTCCGGAGCACGCTGGGAATAGCACCAAAGATCAAGACAATGTGGGCTATACCGCAGACCACAACACCAATGGCAATGACTTTGTACCGCCCCAGACGGGTATCCGCCCACCAAGCACCAAAAATCGGAATAACATAGGCTAAGAATTGAAATAGCAATACAAAGGCATTAGAGAACTGCTCGCCCTTGCCTAGAGCGCCTGCCGTTTCCTGAGTACCCTTTGGTGGGGCACCCGCTCCATTGCCGCCGAGAGGAAGAGGAAACTGCATAAAGTTCGAGAACACATTTTGGACTCCATAGTACGAAGCGCGTTCTGCGAACTCCACAGCGCAAAGAACGAAGGAGATCATTGGAATATTGTCCGCCACCCTTCGAAGCGCGACTTTCTCTTCCTCGGTCGGCCGAGGATAGTCGGGATCATCATGCGCTCCAATATCATGGGCTTCAATGAGGGATTGATCGTGGTAGGGCTTGCCAACCGCTTCGATGGGAGCGTAGGAGCTTCGGCCATGAGGCTCAGCGACCTCGGGAGGGGCGCTGGTCGCGAAGACAGACGGTTCGAGCGGGTTTGCGCTCGCTAAGAATCCGAAGTTAGTTCGCCGTCTCAATTTGAGGAATTGATATACAAACACATCTTGATATTTGTCGTGTCTAAAACATGCAAAGTTTCGACGTTCTGGAGCTGCTGGTCTTCCACAGAGGGATCGATGCATTAAGTAGCTCAGCGATCCTCGCACAAGAAATGCAAGGGAAGCTGTGGGGACAGGGCAATTGCTCCATTATATTGCCAAAAGGTGCCATCCCCGGCCATGCTTCTAGAAGGTAAGGTATGGTACGGCATGGTTGACGACGATCTGTCGATAGCTGCTACCTTCCTAAAGCAGTTCCGTATATCCATGAACAGGCAGGGTCGCGCATAGGCTCGATAGCAGCAGCACGACGCTCATCTCTTATCATTTCCCAGAACCGGAGACCATGCGCGATTCGTCGGATCACACTGTGATACGCAAGGATGCATGTCCTAATTATCAGCTACCAATTGCAATTACTTGCCCGAGATTTGATAGCGCTTTAAAAGAGGCACGGATGTTTACCTTGAACCCCGGGAATAGTGAAGAGCAGCCGGATAACACGCACCCTTGGTGTCGGTGCGAATGCGGGGCAGGATTGTTTCAGGGAACTGAACACGCAAGACCGCTGGCCCAATCACCAGGGCCGAATGGGTCAGACGAGTTGCGACGAGCCGTGGGCTTGCAGCACGCAATATGTTACACCAGAGTGCGAATGCAATTTTGAGCGTTGTTGGTGATTTCTCCTTTCTCCCATATTGGAAGGTGTTTAGGGGAGTACAAGAGTAATACGGCCACCAGCCGCGCAAGCAGGATCAAATCAGCAATCTGCATAACAAATTTGCTGTTGTTCTGCAATTTGGAATCGCAATCGCAGTAGGAACCAACCAAACACGATACGAGATAACGAGAACGGGAAAGATAGGTGAAAATGGCACTATCTGCAGATCGCCCCGCCTTACGGAGAATGCAGAAGGTGGTGCAGCTTTGGCTCAAATGACGAACATCGAAAACCAACATGAATGAAGAAATCTCGAAGGAATTAATAAATGCAAATAGTTCGTGAGAAGAAGAAGAAGAAGAAGAGATGTCGTTGGTTTTATGTCCTTGGTGCCAAGCAGCCAAGCAGCCTAGGAATAATTTCCTACCGATGCTTATCTTATTTTCTGGAACGATTCCCCACGATGGCTCCTTGGTGTCTTGGCTGCGTGGCTGATCCAGGTATTCTGCGAGGGTACCTAGGTACTGTAAGCAAGACCGTGGATCTGTTCATGTTAACATATTCAAGTGAATGATAGATATACCACAAACTTCTGCTGTTATATTCGCTTCCATTGGCGTTCGCAATATTTGAACGAGATGGCAAAGGCTTGGCAGGGAAGTGTCCACAGCCAGACTCCTTTTGCAAACGCAAGAATACTGCCGAAAATGGGTTCAATCGTTTGTCGGAAGATTTTATTCGTTTTGCGTGATATTGTGTTCTGGGTGAAAATTGAACCTTACTGAAAGAATGGATATGCTGTGCACAAAATATGTTGAGTTGAGAACTGTGGTGGAAACTGTAAGCTTTTTATATACATAGGAGCAATGTTGGTATCCGTGTCTTGTGTTCCTACACTGAGAAGAGCCCGGGATTTCAATGCGATAGATTGAATAGGCAAAGTTTTGATAGGATGGAGTTACAGCCTATTCTTGAAAGAATTTCCCCAATGGTGGTATGAATGTTGGACGGATCAATTCGACTGGATGGATTGGAGTCATCCAACGAGTCACGTGCATATCAGAATGGAAGTTCATTGGGATACCTGCATAAATTTATATCGGGATAGCATGCGGCCACCACCGAGCCTATCTGTCTTATGTTCGAAGAACATTCAAGTACGAGCTATATCGTCTGGAGGCTCTATAACTAGCTGTGTGGTGCTAATTGTAGTGATTATAGAGTCTTGTTACCGCACAATTAGTTGTAGTAGAGCTTGTAGTGTAGAGTGTAGTACATGTTGCTCGATATAGAAGGAAAGTATTAGTCTGTTAACGCATGATTCAAGTTAATGGAGCAAATTTGCTTAAGAGCTAATAAACCTGGGAATATTTTCTATGATTAAAATCACGTGAAAATGGTTCGCGTGTTGAAATTTCTCAAAACCTTCGGGCGAAAATTTTATCTTTCAGATAAAGGCATTATCGGGCTTGAAGAAAGGTCAGTGCAAAAACTAGACTCTTATTGAGACAAACATCCTCCAATTAAAGAAGAGATCTTTTTGCCTTTGCGGGGAAGCAAGGCGTGTGAGCACGTGATTTCACGAAACCCTCGAGGGTGCCCGCAGCCTTCAAAAGTCATACCTCTATTACTTCTATCACAATCCAGAGGTCTCGGTCGTTTCAATTGTTTGCTGTTTCTCGACGCGCTGAACACTGCCTTCCCAGCTATTTCTGGACATCCAACATCTCGGCTACCTCGTCTCGGCCGGTGACACGGCCCAAACCTCAACCTCCTTAGTGGAAATGATCCTCAAAAGTCCCCATAAGTATATACCTGGCCTCATTCGTTCATCTTTTCTATATACTCTCCCACAAAGAACTTCGAAAACAATCGATAACCATTCTCGAATCTCGCGAGAGAATTCCTCAAAAGCATGGCTCCTCCGAGCCGCATCTGGGATGCCTACCGCACTCTCGGAATCACGAATCCTAACAAAGCGGGGCTTACATGTGTTGGTGAGATCCGGCATGGCAAGAGATGTCGCTGGGACATTCCTAGTGACGATGAGCCGCAAGTCCGTTCGATATTGAACAAGATGGAGACTAAAGCGCCATTCGACGCCAGACCTCTACTAAAACGCCTCGGAAGGTTGACGCTTTGCGAGGATTATCATCGAAGTCAACTTATGGACAAATTGAAGGAATGGGAGGATGTGATTGAAGATGCTGAGAAATTTTGGCAGAGGGCATTCTTGCAGGTCAAAGCGAGGAAGGTTGCTTTGAAGATGCTTGAAAAAGAGCGTGATAGGACGAGTCAGCTGGAGCAAGAGATTGCCAGATGGAAAAGCGGCGAGCAGGTTAACATCGCAACACTCGTCTCGGTGGTGAAAGCAGAAGCCGAGGCTGTAGAGGAGAATATACTGAGACAAGAAACGGAGAAAAAGCTACAGGACAGTCAAGCTCATGCCAAAAAAATGTCGGATAACCATCAAGCAGTGTTGGGTTATTGGAACGATCTCATACGCACATCACAGTACAAAGATAAAGAGGCACAAACAATGCTGGAAAAGCATGCTGAAACGGTCAAAGAATTGCTGGATACGAAGCATTTGTTTTCAACGTGCCAAGGCGAGTGCGAGCAATTACGAATTGATATCAATAAACAAAACAGCATATTCGACTTGAATGGCGCAGAGCTCGATAAGCTCAAAGTCAATCACACCGAGATGTCTACCTCGATGGAACAGCTGACCGTGCAAGTTCGAGCCAAAGGGCGGACGAATGGCAGACTGAAGGCAGAACTTGCTCAGATAACGGACGAACGAGACCTGAGCCTGAAAGAGAAAGTTGATCTTAAAACTCAACTCGATTATGCAAATGGGACGATCGACTTGTTGAAATTGAGTTTGGCCGAGGAAGGAGCATCCAGCATTGCTCTGTCCGACTCGCGACAACAACTCGAACAAGAACTGAGACTCGAAAATCAGAAATTGATGGACCTCAAACAGTCGAAATCGCAGCTGGAGGATGACCATGCAGTGCTTGCAGAACAAGAATTGGAGCTCAAATCTCAACTTTCGAACGAACAATCCACGTCTGCGAAGCTACAGCAAAGTTTAGAAGATGCTATCCTGAAGCTTACGAGTTCCGAAGATCGTTGAAAGTTACTGAGAATAGACTATTGCTTAGTAAGACGAGATTGGAAGAGCTCAGTGCCGATCTGCTCAACAGCCAACGCATTAATGAGACAGCGCGCAAACAGGCGCTTGAGGTTGAGGCAACTCTCAATTCACACTTGACCAAGTTTGCCCGAGAGGCAAGCTTGGCAAGAGCGTATCCATTGACGACATTTCTGGGACAAGTTTTTCGAGGCTTGATTAATCGAACTCTGTATTCGCCTGGTTTAACGGGAAGAGGGGGTGGACGGGATTCTATGGATGGTATGGGCTGAACTTGAAGCCACGAGCATCAAAGTGAGCATCGAGAAATTACTGTATCATCAAATCAAACGCAAATGAGGAACACCAGCAGCCTCAAGTGCCCGCATCTCCTGTTTGAATGTGCTTGCTGTCCCTGATCACGTGAAATCTCGAAGCTCCATCTTTTGATCGCTCCATGAGGCTTCCTACTCTTGAACAGGTGATCGTGTATATTTCGGTGACTACGTTGATGTGTAACGTGCAGTTCTTTCCTAGGCGCCAAGAGAGTGTCTCGAGACTTCTTTGTTCAAACGAGCATGTCTCAGCTCAAAAGTTGTATTTGTCTAAATTGCCACCACCTCAACAGTTTGTGACGAAATTAGATATGATACCAATGTAATCTTGTTTTGGGGTGAGAAAGTGATTCAAAGTGCAAAGCCTTCCGGGGTCAGAACTCTGGTTGTTCTGCTGTGGCTTTTTCCTCGTCCAAGAACTCCAATCGACCCGCTCTGAGACATGCAATGCTTACATCAAAACTTCAACCGAATCATCACCTCATTCTAACAAGGCGGATGAGACATTGCCACATCGTTTGTCCTAGTCCTCCACATCGGGCTCGGTTAATGAAGGATTGAGACGAGGAGGTCTCTTTGCCATGAGAAGCCTCTTTCTGAAAGACCGAGACGGGTGTTTCTTTCAGCTCTATGATGTTCAAGGTGAAGTATAAATCGAAGTTCAAGAAGTGGCCGGTGCTTCCAGGATGAGCTGTGTCGGGAACTTGCATATCCCTAATGCAAGTCCTCTCCTGCTTCACCGCCTAGATCAAGGCTGCACCAGAACAATGAAGGTTGTTTCAAACTCTCTATCATGAGTGCCTAAAGAGTATTTCTGATATGTATAATGCTACCAATGCTGTTGAACAATATTTTTATTTTGCACCTCTGATCAAGCACACAAATGGAACCATCGACAAGAGCTCAAATGAGCTTTTCAAAGGACTCGATCCGTCTATGGGACGCCTACTCCAGCCTGGGCTTTACCGAAAGAAATGGTGATAAGATGAGCTGTGCCAGTATTAGCCATACCAGAGACAGGTGTCCCGATCGGATGCCAGAGGATAGATATCGGAAAATCCGAGGGATTCTAGATGAATTCGAGAAGAAGCCTCCCCATGACGCGTTGTCCTTGTTACCAGAGTTAGCACAGCTATGTTGTTGCCTCAAATACCACCAAAACGACGGCTTTAAGCTAGTAGACAATTGGAAAAGATTTGTCAAGGGAGCGGAATATGGGTACCAGCAAGCAGAGCGCATTCGGAAGGACAACTCTGCTCTCCGACGGCAGGTAAACTTTGAGATCGCAAAACATGCAACGGTGAGCGAGGAGCTCAATCGTCTAGAGCGCATTCAGAAGGACAACTTTGCTCTCCGACAACAGTTGAATATTGAGATCGCAAACCATGCAACGGTGAGCAAGGAGCTCAATCGTCTAGAGAACAATCAAGATCTTCGCGACTACAGCGATTCGGTGGCCAAGGGAGTGACTTTGTATTCATTGAAGAAGGACATCGAAGGAGAGAAAGCCGCCAAAGAAAACGCGAAAAGAGAGCTAGAGGTTTTGCGCGAGATCAATTCGAGGTCCACTAGCCAATGCGAAGCTAATTCCAAACCATTGGCACCAAAACAACTTCCACTTCCAATTCAACCAATGCCACCTATCATTCATCCCACAACACTTCATCCTACAACAATGCGTCCAACAAAACGATCTACAATGATGCGTGCTGCAACAAAGCGACCTACGGCAGTCCGTCCTTTCCAAAACACTCCAAGAATCTTCGGCCCAGACGTCCAGAGGATCGAAGAGCTTAAGGCGCAATTGGCAGACCAGAAGGAGACAATCAACGCGCTCAAATCGCAAATTTCCGAGCTCAACGCAACCAGTCGCGCTCAGGTTGATGCCTTGAAAGCAGAGATTCAGAGTGATCGTCAAGGATACAGCCAAGGCTTAGCGGACCTCGAAGAAAGAAAGCTCAATCTCGAGGAAGAGGAGTGCAAGTTACTTCATAGGATGACTATGATACAGATGGCACAAGATATGGGAGTCGGACATCGCTTGGTGGCTTTGATGTTGGAGATGCTGAAGAATACTCGAGCTTGGGGAGTTGATGTCTTGGATCGGGCTTACCGGGCGGCGGAGAGAAGGGCTATTGAGTGGGAAGAGGGTTTTAAGAACAGGGGATTCGATATCTTGAATCGGGATCATCGGGAGGCGGAGAAGAGGGCTGCTGCATGTGAAGAGGGTCTGGAGGATAGGGAGCCAAAGAGACGGAAGACGAATATATGATAGCTGTTGGGGGAAGTCTTTGGAAGCTTGCTCACAGGCAAGGGGTGGCAATTTTCCAGTCTGAGATGAGCATAAGTCTATGGAGTTCTCGTGTTCGCCGTTGCATGGTGGGATAGTTGAGAGCATAAAGACAATCCTTTGATCCCGATATCAGACGCAAGTCAGGTTAACCATAACTTCACATAATGTGCATGCATCTTTGTGCAAACTCCAGTGAAACGTTCAGGGCTTTGTACTGTCAGGAACTCTGTCGTTGACAAAAGGTTCAGGCAACAAGTCTCAAGTGATGCACAACAACAAGCTTGCCATTTCGAAACTTCTTTGCGGTCGCAGGGAGGCATACTGCATAACCTGCTCCAATCAAGGACTTTCCAGAAGATCGTCGAAACTTCGGGTAGCTGGCAAGCGCTGATGCCTCGCCATGATTTCGCAGTTATAAGTCTTGATCTCTTCGACTGAGCTTCCAATTGACAACTAAGAGTCTTTGGTTCTTGGCAACTCAACATACGATGGCTTCCCAAAGCTCGGCAGCACACAACTGCCTCGAAATCATCATCGTCGGTAGTAATGCCACATGCGGACTGGTGAACGATGGTAAAGGAGAACCCAGCATCAGCATCCAACCAGAAAATGGATCAGTCATCGATGTCTTCCTTACCAAGTTGGACGAATTCAGACGAGAGTAGGCAGATCTTTCCAAGCAGCTTGCTCAGTCTCATGCTAACATCCGACCCAGAAAAGCTCTCTCTGAACGAAACGAGCTTCTCGCTCAAGTCACTCGTCTGAACGAGCAGATTAGGCTTCTCAAAGTCACGCACGAATCAGAGTTGCTCCTGTCCAAGATCGAAAGACAAACAGCAGTCGAGGAAGCAACTGAACTTCGAGCTGCGCTCAACACTGGGGGGTACTTGCCCGACGACAACCCCCTCTCTACTGAGGCGAATGCTGTCAAAGCCAGCGCTAAGGTACGCGCAGAGTTGAGAGCCCTCGCAGAAGAGAACATGCAACTAGCTCGGAAGCTCGCGCGGTTCGTACTTGGAGAGGAGCAGATTGATGACGACGAAGGGAAAGCTCCGAACTGACGATTCTTCTAACGAGCGAAGTCCGTTATTGGAGGAGTAGATATCGTCATGGTGGGCATGGGGTATTGTGTTCTTCGGTCCTGGTGAGAAGTTTGTTGTGGGAGGAGTGAACATTGTCATTTTTCATTTTGCGTTTGCTTTTGGCGTGGGAGAAGTCTGATTATCCCATAGCCATTATCGAAATGGAAGTACATCTCCACGATTGTCATCAGTGAGGCCCATGAAAGAGAGTTTCCTCTTCCTGCGTCTGTTTCTTTCTTTTCTGATCCGTATACTGAAGCTGAAAGTGCGTGGTTTTGAAAGTGAACCAATGTCAAAAAGTTTGTTTCGAGAGCCTGGCCTTCCGTTATTGAGGATAATCACCTTCACCTCTTACCTACTCTTCGGAGTCCAAAATTGATTCCGACAGCAAACCTATGCCATCTTCAACTTCAAATTCGATCTTGACCTTGGGCCTCCCAGTCGTCTATGCTTTCTCCGTCTATCCCCCAAACTTGAATACTTCTTTGTACGTTTCAGCTTCAACTTGTTCCAGCTTCTCCTAACCCGATCTCCACAGTCCTCCTACCAACATAAGCTCAGGATGATAACACCGATATCTAAGAATATAGACCAATCAGACCAAGCTAAAGCGACAATCTTCAGGTGTCTATCAGCATCAACATTATAATGCTCTCCAAGACTCCCTCCCACACCAACCAACAAGACACCACCGCATCCTCACCAAGCACAATCGTCATTGGCGACCACACCTGCATCAACGTCCCCATGCTCAGCGTTGCATACATGAACGCCCAAACCGGCGCATGGGAACGCTACCAATGCAACAACGGAAGCAAAAAAGCGCTCAAAGACACCGGTAGCGTCACTTCCGTAAAGGACAGACAGCTCGCAACTCGGGGCTTGGTCTCTTGTATGGACATCAACCTCATTTCTTCTACCGGCGTCATAAAAACACACATTCCTCCTTATATGTGCCCAACGCTACCAGGATACGTCGGGAACGCTCCGTTGCCAGGGCGGAAAGATAGGATCAACATTGCTGCGTTCAAGATAGCGCTTAAAACATTGTTGAGTGAGCATAGAGAGGAGCTTGGGAGATTCACGGTCGAGGTGGTGGTTGGGTATTGGGCTAGTCCGGCGAATGTGGTGTCGGTGTTGGATCAGTTGTTTGATGTTGATTCGTGCAAGGGGACGACGTTATCGACTGTGAATGGAGGGACGGCTGTTTCGGGGACCACGAGAGTTGATTTGAGTGAGGGCAAGCCGAGGTTCTTTTGCGAGGAGGTGGAGAGGGTTATTGACGTCCCAAGACGCGAGGAGAGAGGTTCCAGCGATGTATGTGGGTTGTGGGGCTGTTGAAGAAGCGGTTGGCGGTGTCTGAAGTACGTAGGTACTTGCTGACCTTCAAAGGTACATCTCCTTGGATGGCTAATGGATGCTCAACCAGGTCATCACGTCTCCTTTTCGCTCTTCTCTAGTGACCACAAAGTGCAATGCACTAAGCTTCAGCTTCGCTCGTTTCTCAATCCGTTCAAAATCTCTTTTTTCCCACCCCAATTCCTCCAAATCCATGAACTCGCCACCTCAATCTTCCACTGAGTCTGTATCCTCTGTCCCAGGTCGACCCAGAATGCTGTCTGGAGTTGGCTTTGCGGAGATGTGGTCGAGAGTCGAGAAGGATGTCGAAATGTTGTGCAGCCAAGCGAGCTGCTTTGATGTGAGGCAGGGGTTTATTCCGGAGAATTGTTCAAGCATGTTCAGATGATCTTTACTCTGCCGGCAACAGGATACTTGGCAGAATTATCCTGCCTTCTGTTTCCAAACGCAAGAGAACAAAATTCTTATACTTCGAAGGCTGTATTGAAGATTCGAGCATCGGCTTTCTTGGTGCCAATGACACAAAGCCCTTGCGAGAACCCCACACTCGTTCTCCCGCCCCCTGAAATTAGCGAGCGAGCGAGCTTGAACGATCGCATCCATAGCTCAAGCTCAACTTATCATCCGAAAGCACCAATGATTACTTAAACGCCGAAAACGTTGTAATCTCCAAGATCTTCCCGTAATACAGGGCTAATGAACATGGATGCTGTAGACGAGTCCAAGCTTCTCTACCAAGCAAGACTCCAGCAAAAGGAAAGAAACAAAAAGCAAGGCCAAATCTCACGAGATCTAATTGGTCCCGTGTAAGAGCATTTTCTGCTTCAAGCTTCGATTCGCATTAATCTGATAGTCAACTGCAGGTTCGAAGTCACCGCTGCATTGCACAACTTCGGTACAGATCAACTCCACTGTCTTCTGCCAACTTTAATCTTTTCCCTCTCAAGGCCACCAACGATCGACGACCGTTGAAACACCCCAGCCCTGCAGAATGCGACCCCACCACGACATTGAAACAATAGCCGGCTCCAATCACAACGAGCGAGCGACACTCCAAGTGTCCCGAAACTTGCTTCGGCATCCCGAAATGTGTCTTGTCACAAAAAGATCAGCGGACCCTTCTCCGTAGATCACTTCGCGCGCACCTGGTTCGCGTTTTTCATCAAAAACAAGATCTAGATATCTTCTTGCGATCTACATCTTGATTGCTGTCCGAACGAAGCTTACTCCCACTCTCCACACACCTGCATTTCGCTATTCCTGTTCCGTATAACAGTCAGATGTCTCGCCATCAATTATTTCTCACCGGAGGCATTTCCGATTTCCTGCACCCGCAAAAATTTAGATCAAGATGATGACAGCACAAACCATAACCGCGAAGAAGGAAGTTAAACCCCAAATCCTCTCCTCGGTAACGCCCTTCCAACCCCTCACCATCCACATAACATGGATCATCCCACCGTCCCACGTCTCTCAATTCTACGACGCCTTGTACCCTTTGAAAGAAAAACTCGTTTTGGAAGACGAATGTCTCTATTTCAACGTATTCGCGATTCAAGGAAAGCCGGGATTTATGCGCCTGGTCGAGATGTGGGATTGTGACATGGAGTGGATGGTTGAGGTATGTACGTCCTGGGTCTTGGTGGTGTGGGCTGATTTGGAGCGAAGGTACAATCGCAGAAGGAGTATTATAAGGGGTTCTTTGAGACGGTGAGTAGGATTGCGTTGGAGCCGCAGAAGGTGGAGGTTTTGTGTAGTGTTGAGGGGTTTCAGTTCGTTAGGAGGGAGAGGGGGAGGTCGTTTTAATTGTTCGGTTGGGTTCGATTAGTCAGATCCCCTTCTGCCTGTCAGACAAATGGTACGAAGTTGCAGAGCTGTGTTGAAAGTCCTGTCATAGGGAATGCTGGAGAGGTTACCGGGTCTCACGTACCTATCGCTTTCTTGCTTTCGAGTTGAAGCAGTATTAGCTGTACCGCCTGAGAGGCGAGAGATTTTGGAAACAGCAGTAGAAATCATCCTCCACGGATGGCTTTAATGCTCAATAAACCAAAACAATCCTATTCTTGCAAAGTTCAAACTCCTCCCCTCTTCAACCTTTCCCCTCCTCTCCAAGAATCTCACTCCAATCCTCCACCAACTTAACCTCCACCTCCCTCCCGCCACCTTTATCACCTTCCACCCTCCTCCACCACCTCTGTACTCTACTTTCCCACATCCTAATATCCCCACTACTAACAACATCCCGCCTCTTCAAAACAAAAACACCCTTCAACCCCTCCAACCCCATCACCTCCCCCGCCAAACACCACTCCCTCTTCCCCTCCACCGCCACAAACCTCACCTCCCCAAAATCAAAACCCCCCACCTCTTCCCCTCCCCACGTATAAACCCTCTCCCCCCTCTCCGCCCACCCCAGTTCAATTTTCACAACATCCCTCTCCGGATCCCAATACACGCCCCTCTCCCCTCCCTTCCCCCCGTGCGCACAATTCTGCTCCACCGCAAACCCACACTTATAATACCTTAGCCCAACTTCCCGGGCTTCGGGACAGATATGCAGGATCGTGGGGATCGAACGCTGTTTCAGCGCGAGAACGTGCGGGTGTGCGAAGCAGGGCTTGCGTTTATGCGGGACGTGGTCCAGGTCTGCGGGGCAGAGGCGGAAGGGGAGGAGTTGGGGAGGGGTGAGGGCGTGGTAGTGGGCCCAGATTTTGAGGCGGAGTTCGGTGGGGAGGAGGGGGAAGAGGGGGAATGTTGATGAGGGTGGAGGGTGTGATTTTGGTGCTGGTGGAGGTTCTGCGGGGAGTGGTGGAGGGGGTGGTTTGTTTGTAGGGTTGGATTTATAGGCTGGTTTAAAGGGGAGGGTGAATGGTTTTAGGTCGAGGTCGGGAGATGGTTTGTTGAGGTATTTGTTCCATGATACGTAGTACATGGTGATTGCTGTTCTTGCATACAGCTGCTGTTGTACAATAAAATACTGAAAAGCGTTTGGTGACGTCTTGCTTGCAGCGAGTAGAAGCTCCAGCGGGGCGACGGGTCATGCCGATTCGTGGCCAGGGGTTTCAATTGTGTTGCTAAGCTTTTTGACCTTAATAAAATCTTGGCTTCAAAGAATTATTACTGATTGAAGCTTCAATGCTAATATATATTATATATACATAAAAACAAAGAAACGAGAGCACACGACACACGCGGGCTGCCGCAAGGATTTAAAAAACCTCACAGAACGCGTTGCCGCGGGGGCGTGGGGGTTCTCTTACTCATGCCGAGTAATATTGTTTCTCCCGTCCTCTCATGATTCGCACCTGTTTCACAGAACTCCACAGGCCTCCTTCCCGATGCGAAAAAGAGATGTCACTAGTAAATGATGCCGAAATCCGAGTTGCGGGATGTGGAACTATTGCTGTGGACACCAAATAGGTGAGGCGCCAAAGAATGCACACTGTCGCGTGAGGCGGCAAACTGTAGAATTTTTGACTCGTTGACTCGTTGCTTCTTTGGAGTACATATCGCCAATGAGATATATACATGTGTAGAGTCAATGACTCGCTCTAGAAATCCCTCCCTGGAATCCGGGTCTTGATCTGCTCGAGGAAAAAAGGAATAGTTGTATGGCCAACGTCTCTCTGGTGATGGAAACTCACTTCTAGGGCAATACCAACGTCAAATTCGATTTTTGCTTCTGCACACAATTCGACCGCATCTTTGAAAGGACGGAGGTCGAGTTCCAATTTGGTGTCTCTCAGGGTCCAATGCGGCTCTCGTGTCAATTGAATGCTGATCTTTTGAAGCTTGGGGAGTTTGTTTCTTGCGTTGCGGATCATGTCCAAGAAATTGAAATACCAGAGGCCATTGTCAAAGATCGTTTGTTTGTCGCCTTGAGCGGGACCCGTTTGAATTACCTTAACAAAAAGTGTAAGTGAATTGAGATTCGGAGGTAAAGAGTCGATCAATCGGATTCCGCTTGTCCGTTTTTGATGGCCACAGAGAGAATCGACATCAATAGTCAGAGACCGCAGCTTGGGGTACTCCTTAAAAGATCCAATCAAGAATAAATCAGCAGCCGGCGCTGGCTCCATTGCTCGTTTGCGCACTTCTCGGTCTCTGTCGTCGAAGTACAGTTCCTCTAAACTATCCTTATGCGCAGCGAGAGCTTGGCCAAATGAATTCTGAAACCCAATACCTTCTGTGCCACTACCGCTGCAGGTATCTGAGAAAGTCCAGCGAAAGTATTTCAGGGCTTTGAATATGCCGAGAGACCCTATCACGTCAGATGGACACAATACTGCTTCGTCGTACACGAGGGTAGTGATTTCTGATGTTTGTTTGAGAGGTGCAAAGTCAATTGGTGATTTGCGCTCGTCCCAGTAGATTTCCGGGGTTAAAGTGTATAGTGAACGCATACTTGGAAGTCGCATGAAAGGCAATAGACGTCGGAGATCAAGCTCGTATTCACGATGATCTTTGCCTCCAAGATCTGGTGATTTAATGTCAGAGTGACGATCAATTTTGGGCGTCGAAGGAGGGGCTTACGCATAGGACTACAGACATAAAGAGTCTCGAGTTTTTGCAAAGCTCCCGAGGACGCGAGCGCTGACGTGTTATCGAGGTATTGACAAAATGGGTTCTCTTTGTAGCTCCAGTCGAGGTAGACTTCTGGCATGACCATCCAGATAGTTTTGAGATTTGGGAGCTTGGAAAGAACAAGTGTAACAAGTTCTTCCTCGTTCTCTTCGCGTTGAATTTCAGAGTGGTGATAGACAGCGTCTTTCCATTCCGGTAGTATTTTCAGATCTGTTCATATCTTAACAACGTTTTTCATCAGGTGGAAACATTGCGCCATGATATGATGTGGAATGTATGTGAGAAGGAGAATGAGATGGAAAATAAACATACCTGAATCTCGACCAATTTGTCTAGCCGCAAACTCACGACCATGACTACAATCGCCTAAGCACGTATCATACGCCAAAGGCCTCAGTGGGCCCAGCGTCTCCACTTCATCAACCTCAAGCTCTTCCTCGTAATCATCACCCTCACTCTCAGCTTCAGAATGCTCGCTCTCCTCACCTTCAGACTCCTCATACATCTCATCCCTCCCATCCTCCTCATCCCCCTCCTCCCCAATTAACTCATCATCACTAATCGTCCCCCTCAACGCCTCCTTCCTCTTCACCTCCTTCACCCTCTCCCGCTCCTCATACTCCTCCTCCGAATACATCCCCACATGATCCTCCAGCCTCGGACAATCGCCCCACTCCCTGATATCAAGCTCTTTCACATTCGCAGCCAAATCCGGTCTCCAATTCAGCGTTTCCAGAAACTGTTTCAGCGGCTTTATTTCTTGCTGCAATCCATGGTACGACCACGAGCGATACAGTTCTTGCACGGTGCGGTGATAGAGTGCACGTGAGGTCTTGGAGAGGGAATTGAGGTCGCGTTGTGATGGGATGTTTTGGAAGATATTGTCTAAGAGCTCGTTGGAGAGGTCTTCGAGGTAGTTGGTGCTCATTGTTGATAGTGTTGATGCGAGTTCGAAAAGTCGATGCTGTTGAATTTATGGGTTTGAGATTTTGATGGTTCGGTAAGGTTAGGGTGCGGCGCAGGCTAGTTCAGGGGGTGCGGCTGCCTGAGATTTGGACCCTATCCTTGCTGCTGCCTGTCGTGAGGCCTAGATTAGAAAGGTGCTGCGCTAAGTCAGTTGGTAAAGTGTGTTTGTATTGCTGGATTGAAGGTCGTTGACAGATGCGAGGAGAAATCCCCGAGCGCCTTCAATTTCGAGTTCGCCAGCACCCGTTGACCGCTCGGCTGTCTTACTTAGAGACAATGGACGAGGTTCAGAATTTAGAACAAAATGTTCAAAGTCTTTCAAAGCATGCTGCGAAACTTGAGTCAGTTGGTCAAAGAAAGTGGGTTTACAGCTTGAGATGGGCAATCTCTCCAATATCCCTCCTTTCATGGCACCATGCTATAAATAAATCTCGCTCCATTGTGTATGATAGCAAGACCCGAGGTTGCGAAAAATGTGTTTGAGAGTCCTCGAAAACAAGTCGTTCTAGACACAAGGTTTCGAAAGACCTCATGTTTTGAAGATGTTCACGATAGCTAGAGATTGTTATATGTTCTCTCTTGTCTTTCTAAAATTCAATCACGAACTTTCATCTCCTCATTATAACTACACCACAAGTTATTTCTTCGGTTTTCCTTTCTAGCTCTCGATCCACATCTTCAAAAGATCTCGATGCCATTTTTCGCACCACACAGGGTCAATGAATCAGACCATCAACTTCTAGTGATGGGGCAGGGAACCGTTGCAGTGACCGCCAATGCTGAAAAGATATCATTCAGCTTCAAGACAAAGACCGAGAAGGGCCACACATTGACACTGGAAGTGCGCGAATCGATCATTGATTGCTTTATCGTGGTCGACGGCAAGAGGAGTTCGAAAAAGTCTGATTCGATCAAATGGGAAAAGCTGAGAGAAGGTGACCTCCGGCTGCTTGAAAAGGGTGTCCTAATGCCTTATTGGGTCTCATTTGATAACGTTCACGGTGTCATCTGTTATGGGAAGTACTCTGTCAACAGGAAAATGGCAATTCTCCAAGCGAATCTGAAATGCGAGCTTAATGGGATTGTGTGTTGGATGGGCGATCACCAATGGATGGATGCACTGGAAAATGTTCAAGTTCAGGTCTGGCACGATGCTTCAGCTCAAGTAGGCGTTCCCTTCACGGTTGATACCATTCTTGAATGACTTTTGCTAAGATGTGATTAGAGCATTCCCAAGATCAAGATACACAGACTTCCGGTATTCGATGTACCTGCAATCGTTCTGCCAGGCTTCGACACGCTTGGCGGCCTTGAGAGCGGTCACCATGCAGCGCTATCGGATCTACCAAGAGCATGCCAAGATCTCTACCAAACTATACAAAGCATCTCCCTGGCCTCGGAGTTTCCAGACTTCGCCAACGCAGTTCACCGCAGCGTTAGTATAAAAGGTCTGATTGGTCACACCTTGTTGACGATGAAGGCGACTACATTCTCAGCTGCAGGAAATTTCCTAAGCACCTACCTTCGCATCACACTTGGTCAAAATATAGGCAATTCTCCTGGGATCCCCAACGTCTTGGAGATCTGGCCCGCGGGCCACTTCTCCCCAATTCACGACCATGGAGACTCTCATGCAATCATCAAGGTTCTACACGGAGAGATCGAGGTAAGTAACTACGATTCCGTAACTGGACGCCGTCGTCCTCAACAAATTGGTGATCCGTTGATACTGAAGACTGGGGATGTGACTTGGATTGGGCCAGAGAACTATCAGATCTACAGACTGCACAATAAGTTTAACGATGTATGCATTACGTTACAATGCTATCGGTGAGCTGAGAACATGCACCAAACCTTTGATGCGCGACTGCTAAATCGAGTAGGTATGATGAGGCAACGAACTACCATCATAACAAATTCAGATGGGTGGAAGAAAATGCTCAAGAAGCTGAAGTCGAGCGCAGAATTGGTCCCGAGCACGTTTTCGACTTTGTGCCGAACGGGGATATGACATATACAGATTTCTGCGAAAGCATACAGGAGGAGTGGAACTCCTACCAACAGACTTTACCTCATCGGTGGAACGTCGCCAGATCACAGCGCCTTATGACAACACGATAGGCAAATATTTGGATAAAGGTGAAGAACCGGAAGAAAGATTTAAACATGATATCTTTGACATAAATGACTACAGACGCAATAATCCAATAGTCCACTTGAACCAAATCTGGTAAGCTGTCACACAAGCGAATCCTCGGCCAACCCCGCCGTCCGTGGCGCAGCGCCGCCAAGCCATTTGATCTCGGCGCAACATCCCGTTTTTCGATATTTTTTGTTCCCTCCGCCACTGAAATACGATCTCGCCCCTGGAAATCTAAACTCGGACACGGAATGGCGCTGTCAATTGGTCCCAGACGCACCCAAGTGGAGTCCAGAGTCTGGTTACCTGGCTAGTCGATGCGGCACGGTAACGTTGACATCAACCTTAACTTATCTTCGCAACTTTTTCAACTTCGCGATAATTTCATTTTGCTTCACTCGTTTTGAGCAAACGTCTTTCGTTTTTCATCTCTGGAGAGGGTCAATACTCGTTCATTCGCTGAATACATAATCAATAATATACGCGCGATGAATCTGTTTCTCCTCCCAGCGCTCCTCGCGACCAGCGTCTTCGCTGCTCCGTACCTCGTTCCTACTTATGTCGTGCTGTCAGTCTACACAGAGGAGGGCTTCACAGATTTATTGACTACGGTCCCCGAATCGCGTTACACCTACACCGAAGCCGTTGTGCCCGCGACTCCAGTCTTAGCCATCACCACAATCACCACACCCGCGGAATATACACACGTAACGATCCTCGACATCGTGGTCCCGTCCGGTAGTCCAGTATCCGAGACCTACGACTCCAGCTACATCGAAACAAGCTTTGTGGTTCCAGTCACGTATACCCCCGACGCAACCTGCACGAGTCAAAACTGGACCTTCACAACAAACGTACCAGTCTACGTCCCGGACATCGTCTCATTGTCTCCCGTCACAACCTCTCTCTCCGCGACCACATATTCGTACGAACATTACAACCCGACGCCGACTACGAACTTGATAGCAGTGTTAAATCCCACGGATGTCAACGCGGATGATCTCGCGTCTGCGAGCTCGGAATACGCGCCATATGGAATGAGCTATTGCTACACGCCAACCACGTACTGTCCTACAGCTTCGGCAGCGACGTGCACTACGACGTTTGTATACGATGATTCGAGCTCGGGGTACTATAATGGAGATGAGCCATTTGAGGACGACGACAATAGCTGGCTGACACCGCTCATCTTGATCTGTGTCTTGGTACCAGTCGGTTGGTTCTTGATCTGGCTGTTAATCGGGCTGTGGGAGAGTTGGATGTCATTTAAAGGATTGATGCTAGGACAGCATCGGAAGCGAGGATTGCCGTATGCGTGGTGTTGTATTAGCGTTATATTCTTGTGCTGGGTGGGCCCGACGTATAAGGCGAAGGGTGCGGAGGAGCAGGCGGAGTTGGCGGAGAAGTGGAAGGCGATGGGGAAGAGGGAGAAGTTTAAGTTGTGGATGAAGTGGGGGTTTAGGTGGAAGTATCCGGATATGATTGGGGAGGAGCCGGAGTATGCGAAGAGGGCTTTTAGACAGGGTTGTTTGTGATACTGTACGTACAATACTTAATAGTTAATTTAATCGATCAAGACTGCCTTACGTTTCATGTTTTTTGTGTCGTGGAGCTGTCAAACTGTCACTTCATGCAAGCGCGCCTGTTTTGGTCTTGGGTATCTGCTTCTTCGCGACTTTCAGCCATGGTATGTCTCATGCTCTTCTGCTCTGCTGTCCACATTAAACATTACCTATCCCCTTTCCTCCATCTCCACCGCAATGCTCACAGCACTACTACAATAAAACAATCCCCAAACCTCCCACCACAACCCATCCCGCAGCGTCCACCCGTCCAGCACCACCCGTCTTCGTCGCCGTCGCAGCCACACTAGTACTCGTCCCCGACACCGACACACTGGTACTCGACGCCCCTCCCTCACTACTCGTACTCGTCACGCTCCCATTCCCCACCCCCGCCGCGGTCCCATTACTCCACCCCAAAACCCCACCCTGTACATCCCCCGGCTGCGTATAACTCCCATTCGCCACTTTCGCGGCACCAAGCGCGTAGTTCTCCAGCGTGATATTGGTCCCCTCGGGTGGTGGGTTGATAACGCCTACCATTCCCTTGGTGCAGTGTCCTCCGCCTGCCTTTTGGGAGCAGTAGAACCAGATGGGATTTGTGTCTTCGATTGTGATGGAGAAGGTTAGGTTCTATGTGTCGTTTGTTAGTGATAAGTTTTCGAAAAGAAAAAAGAATTGATTCGATAGTTTGTTTGGATGGGGAAAAGTCTTACAGAGGGACCAGAAGACGAAGGAATAAAGCTGGAGTATATCCCAGTATTGTTCCCGGAGGTACAGGGCGCGGAGAAGGGGCCTTGGACGACGTTGTGGGAATAGGGGTAGAAGGTAAATGTCACGGTGTCGCCAATAGACGCGAAGGTCGTGTTGGGGGTGTAGGTAAGGCCGTGGAGGCCGGCTGCTATTTCGTGTGTTGTTGCGGCTGCGGTGAGGGAGGCTAGGAGGAAGAGCAGGAGGGCGTGCATCTTGATGAGACTGGTGGTTGTTTTGGTTGGATATTCTGGTTGGATGTTCTGGTTGGAGAGTGTGGCTGGAAGAGGAAGGAGAGGGAGTTTGAGAGGTTTTTATGTTGTGGTGGGAATTTGGTGTTTGTGTTGGGAGGTGAATGTACGGAGCTTACTGACGTAGCCCATGGTTATTCACCTTTTTGGTAATGGTGTATTCATTGAAAGGCATTTGTGGTACTTTGCATCACCTTAATCTTATTTCGAGCTTAGATGGGCGTATTTTGGAGTGTGAATTACTAGTAGGTCGCACAAGGCGACGGGAGGAGCTTTGTGTTGTGTTAGTGTTACCAAGACAGTTGGTTTCCGAATCTTCAATACGAGCTTCAAGTAATACGAGATTTACTTTGGTGAATCTGGGTGCTCTATGCCCCTCTTATAGTCGGCAGTAAAGCTAATTCGTCACACTGAAGAGCTTTCTTGAATAGTCTTTAAGAGTTTTGACTCATTGGCCATAGTATAGATTTTGCCTTGTTTTTGGAAGGATTCTTGCCCAGAACTATGTTTAACTCCAATATGTAGAAATACAAACATAGTATAACTCTCTTATTATGGGAAAAAGTATCAGGTTGTGATGTTTGCCTAGATCAATGGTTAGGTATGCGTGGTTCGAAGTTACATAGAGCTTTCGGAAGCTTAAAGTAAAGAGTTCGTATGGGCGGAGCCTTTCCACAATCAACACTGGCTTCTGGAATCTGCTTGATTACTCTTTCATACACAACAAGCCTGGCACCTGGTTAGATACCCTGGAGATCTGGGTATAGATACCCTAGACTGTGCAATACCGTTGGGGAATACAGAGTTGTTGGGATTGATAGCTGTTCGCTGGATCGTTCTTTCCTCGGCTGTGTACTTTTCTATCCCTGGCCTCTTCAACCTACATAGTATCTCAAAACACGGCTCTCCGCCGAGTTTCAAGAACCATCTCAGCGAATTCGATACCACCCCGAAGTCAAACCGGTAGTATCCGGCTCCATGAGCTGTCCTTCCATTATTCCTTTGACATAACACGCTCCAACGATTACTGGATCCTCTCCTTCTGCTTTACGCAGCAAGAACGGAGTTCGTGCTCCATGAAGAAGACATATCCCGTCTCCTGGTTGCATCGATGCCGGACCAACGCCAGCAAAAGACCGCCCACCCCCTCCTGCCGCAAATGTCTTATCCTCGTATTGTCTCATCATCGCCGACAACGAGCTCATGGTATACCTCCAGCCATGCATGGGATCCGGATGGTCTGGGTCTGTCTCGACCCATTTTTGCATGTTATCTTTGGGGCCCATCAAGGTGTTGCCCTCGCCGTCATCGATCACGCAAGCTCACGTCCCCAATGAAACCACGTCGACAAGATTCTCAAAGTGTATATTTGCCCCTGGGAGACCAAGCTCTGTACGATAGTATTCTTCAATTGCAACAGAATCATCTGCTTTCCAAGCCTCTGTTGCTTTTAGGTGGTCTCCCACTGAGCAGATCCAGCGGCCGGCTCCAATTACTCCCACCATGGTGCCTTTGATCCTGAGAATCCGCCAGTCTTGCGTTGAGTATACAAGTAACTCTTGATCATCACCACCTGCTGACCATTGACGAGAGTCCTCATTGGTTGCGTTAAAGAGCCATTCTCGATCCAATACTTCGCTATTATCGAAGCTGGCCCTCTTCAAAGTTCTCCAGTCAACACACCACGACGGAAGATCATCAGTGGAGCGTTGATCAGTCCCGGCTAAGCAGAGAGCCATCATTGTAGGGTCGTGCTGAAGCATTACCTTCATCATCGCTGCATAGGCTTGCTCAACCGGAATAGAATAATTGACTGCGTATCTTTCCCTTTCATCTTCGTCAATGAGGCCCAGCAACGCGTACACCTTGTCCTTTGGATCCGTTGCTTTGTGGTAGCAAGCATATTTCAATGCTGATAGGAGGTTAGCAGGATTATTCTCTTGTACCCGTCGCCGTAACGCAACAAGTGATGTTGGCATGACCTCGGAAAGAAGCTTGATATGGTACATATCAACGGCTCTGATTATCGTACCCGTCTTGGGAATATGAAAAGCCAAGGTGCCGTTTTCTTGTCTGAACCAATTTTCCCGACGATGCAATTTGATATATTGGTCGGCAAGCTGCGCCATCCTGATGGCCTCCTCAAGTCGCGACCACTCTATCTGGTTTTGCCCATAGATTATGAGGGCCTTTGAAGCGACTGCAAGCTCCTGTATGGTCCAAACTCGGGTAAACCATGCACTTGATAACATGGCGGAGGTAAAGTTCCAGATATCCTCAGATGGAGGAAACCTTGCCCACATTTCTGAAATCATCTTTTCCATGGCATGCTCACGACCTTCAGCTTTCCACCTTTCCAGTTCGCGGTAGCACTCGGATAGTGCTGCTACAAACGGAATACACAAGTGAACGTCCTCAGCTTCGTGATCATCGTCACCGAGCATGATACGGGTCTGCTGAGCTGAAGCGTAGATGCGACGCATTTGCAGAATCTGGTTACGGCGCTTATCTAGGTCGCTTTGGTTGATACAAATGGCATCAGCCCACAGGGCGATAGGTTCAACGTGCCTGATTAAGGTCAACGCCTGTCTAAGGTTCTTTGTTGTCTGAAATGGTTACTTGTTGACCAGAATTGGGTCTGTCGAAATTTCATGGCCCCAGACATACGAGAGAGCATCGTAAGCGGGTTCATCGTCTAGAAGTGCTAGGGACAAGCTGCACTCAATATTATCATTTGCTTCCTTTGGTGGCAGAAGTGTTAACAGGTGAATTGTGCCGGATGTTGTGAGCGGAGTGTATAGCAAGGGACCCTCGTCGATGGACATGCTTGACATGACAAATTTGAAAGAACCCGGGGACAAGAACGGTAGTATTTACCTTGTGTCTTAGTCTGGACGTTCCTTCTATAGTACTTTCGTTGAACTTGTACACCGGAGTGGCATGCAGTCAGCATGAAGCGAGGTTCAAGGGGGGTTTTAGCGTAGGATCCACGTGATACCAGACAGGGGTAAATTCAGCCACGCCGTTACAGCAACGGCACCCCACTCCGACGTTTATTTCTCTCGAATTTCTTTCCAATCCAAACCTTACTTTCTCTCTCGAATCAAAATAACCTCTGAAATGTCAATGTTTATACCTCGTACAGCTCCTCGAGCTTTCCACGCCCTCCGCGCAGCTGGTCTGCGCCCGGCACAGTTTCAAAAGTCTGCTACCCCTCTATTAAGACGTTTCCTTGCCACAGAGCAACCACGACTCCGTCTAGGATCAACAGGCATTACTTCTCCCTTCCTTTCCTCAATAAATTGGTATGCTTGACTAATTGATATCATGTAGCACCGAATTTCAAAGCCAAAACCACGCATGGCGATATCGATTTTCACGAATTCTTGGGCGACAAGTGGGGTATTTTATTTTCGCACCCAGCGGACTTTACGCCTGTTTGCACGACGGAATTGGGCGCTTTTGCAAAACTAAAAGATGAATTTGAAGGGAGGGGAGTTAAGATGATTGGATTGGTACGTTTATTACAGCTCCAATGGCTTGGGAAGTGCTAATGTCGAGGAAATAGAGCGCCAATGGTCTCGACTCACACGCAAAATGGATCGAAGACATCAACGAAATCTCGCAAACGAACCTCCAATTCCCCATCATCGCCGACGCAGATAGAAAAATTGCCTACTTATACGATATGCTCGATGCACAAGACCTGGAAAATATAGATGAGAAGGGCATCGCGTTTACGATCCGGTCGGTGTTTATCATTGACCCGGCGAAGAAGATCCGTTTGACGATGATGTATCCTGCGAGCTGTGGGAGGAATACGATGGAAGTTTTGAGAGTTATTGATTCGTTGCAAACGGCGGATAAGAAGGGGATCACGACGCCGATTGATTGGCAGGTGGGGGATGATGTTATTGTGCCGCCGACGGTGAAGACGGAGGATGCGAGGAAGAAGTTTGGGGAGGTGAGGGAGGTGAGGCCTTATTTGAGGTTTACGAAGATTTAGGGGCCTGTAAAGTGTATGATATTTGGGTTGAGAATTGCTACTTTAGAAAACAACATAGAAATGCTCAGCTGAACAATGCTTCTAAAGTTCTTTAGTCTCGACCACACATGAGTCTCGAGCACATGTCACTTAGCATAAAGAGAGATGGCAATTGCAAGAGCTGAGCATATTTGATTTTGAAGTTTCCTTCCACAAGACGCATATTACTTCTGTCAAATTCTTGCACTCCCCAATTCACCCTTCTCGGTTCCTGCTTCAATCCATTCACTAACTCCTCTCTCCAACTTCCCCTCATCCCCACCAAACGAAAACTATAAAGTGCCCTACCCTCCAACTGACTATCGCCATCGACAATCAAGAGCCTCACACCTACACAAAGAAGAGCCGGGCGCTTGTAGCAAGCGCCGGGTTATGTACATCGTTCTCTTCTACCTGTCCGTTTCCTTTTGCTTGCTCTTTGTAGTATTAAAAGCTCACCATTGCCCTGTTGTCAATACGTGCTTCGTTATCAAGAGGGCTGCGTTGTCATGACTGTGGACGGGCTCGGCGGAGAGGGGGTGGACATTAGCGAGAAAGAAGTGCATTTTGGCTCGGGAACAAGGAAGTTTGTTATCTAATGTGAATAAATTGATGGGAGAAAAGCTAGAACTTGGTTAGGGATCGTGATTGTGTCTCCGTGAATGTCTCCTGCGTGTTTCTACGGCCCTCAATCTCCCAAGCAATTTCCAAGCCTTTTGAGCTTCAAATGTCCCGGGAGCTTGTTCCTAGAATGTACCACATATAAGCCATAAAGCTTTTTGAGACAATCTGATCTTGAAAGTTGGGAACATCTATTAGTGTATTGTCAAGATTCTATGTATTGGGTATCGCACTAGCATTACCACCAGCACTCCCACTGTCCAGCTTCACGCCTCCATGCAACTTGAACCAATCCAAGAATTGGAACATACTTGCTTTCGGATACCGCTCCAAGGAAGTTTGGTTCAGGTATTGCAACCCAAACTTGACATGACTTCCCTCAAACCACTCGAAGTTGTCGAAAATGGCCCATCCAAAGGCACCTGTTACGTTGACTCCTATTCCTTGGTCAGCATCTTTCTCACTTCAAATCCAAAGAAAGCAATACTCACCATCAACATTCCTCGCCGCTAAAATATTATCCAAAAACCCCTGATAATAATCCGCCCTCCTCAAATCCCACAAAATCGTAGCCAACGACCCCTGATCCCCCTCAAACGGCTCCGCAAACCCAAACTCACTCACAACCACATCCCCCACCGCCGGGAAAAGATCTTTCGTGATAACATTCAAGAACCTCCTAATGCTCACCGGCGTACTGTACAGCCAGCTCACATCATTATCCGCGCTAGGTCCGATCGGGAATCCGTCTGCTCCAGTACTAGAACTGCCCGCGCACTCGGGATACCCAGGACTTGAAGAATTAGCCGCACACGCAGCGCTACCTCCTTGAATACCCGTGGCGTAGTACCCCGTGTACCCATCAATGGCGAAGAAATCGCATGAACCCTTGATCATATCTTTTTCCGCCTGCGTGAAATTCGGCAGCGAGGAACCAAGCGTCTCTTTTAACATCGCAGAGTAATCCCCGTCTCGCCACGGACCACCGAACCAGCCGAGCGCAAACTCGTAGTTCCGGGCTACGGCGTCGATATCCGCAGCTGAAGAGGCGTTCAGGGCTTCGTAGTAGTTGCCGCTGTTCTTGAAGGTGATGCGGCCTTGGCCGTGGAAGTCGTCGTGGTACCATTTGGCGACTTTGGCGTGTGCAAGGAGCGTGTAGTGGCTGCATGCTATGCGGGCGGGGAGACCGCCTGTTATGCCGTGGTACGCGGGGTAATTGCCTTTGGTGTTGCCAGCGGGGTAGGATTCGTATTGCCAGTTGCAGTATTGTGCTGTGCAGTGTTAGGGGAGGTTGAGTAACGGAAGGGGAAGAGAGGGACGAACGCTCGTTGAAGGTATACCAGATGGGGACGTATTGGTCGTAGCGGCTGATGACAAATTTGGCGTAGTTGAAGTAGTCATCTACGATCCGTTCATCGGTCCATGCTCCATAGGAGTTGAAGAGAGCGAGTGGTGTATCTGTGTATCGTCAACTTGAGTTGGAAATCGAGTGGAAGAGAATGTCCGTACCCCAATGGAAGAGAGTCACAGCTGGCTTGATACCAGCAGCAACCATGCTGGCGATTACATCGTCGTAATGTGTTACCCCTTGCTCGTTCACAGGCCCATTGCCAAAAGGGAAGAATCTCGGCCTGTCTCCAAATCAGCCATCTGATTACTCTTAATGTTAGTAACTTACCATGAAAAAGACGGAGAAAAATATGGCACACCAAGATTTGCAAGACGAGCAAAATCTTGCTTGTACAGGTAATAATGACTTGCCACTACATCCCCAGTTGAGTTGTCCGCTACTGCCCCATAGTCTCGATGTGCGATCAAGTCCCAAATGGAAGGTCCTTTGCCTTCGTCTTTCGCTGCTCCTTCTACTTGATATGCACTTGACGCCAAGCCCCAGATGAAGTCGTCGGGTAGATCCTCTGAGTTCAGAGAAGTATCATACGTTGGGACCTGAAAAATGTGAGCTAAAAAGTTGTCAACCGGAGGAAATCCATACTTGAGGATGCATGGCACCAGGTCTTGGGTATGCCGTGGGTTCTGGGGTTGGAGAAACGGTTGTGGTGATCGGTCCTACAGCAATGCTCCCAACTTGATTCCACAACATGGCCAATTCCTCGTTCGAGTAGTCGTATGTCAATGTCGTGGTCGCTGCCGACACATTGTAGACTTTTGTCGAAATATTTGCAATTGAAGGAAATGTTGGAGACGTTGATATTAATGTGGTCGTGGCATTGCTTTGAGCACTCACTCCGTGCAAAAGAACCATGGCCGCAAGGACCTTCAAATTTTGTAGGAAAGCCATCGCTGGGAAGAGAGAGATGACCAGCGCAAGGCGACTCACAACTCAAAACAACGGGAACACAACTTTATAGCTACCTTGAGCTCCATGCTCTGGTGAGATCATATCTACCCCTCCATGTACATATTTCTCCGAACATTCTGGATAAACGAGAGAGGTGGAGACGACAAGAAAACTATACCACTCACGGACGTAATCGATGCCGGACTTGGACATCTTACGAGAAATATGAGGTTGTATGAACAGAATTATAGAAGTTTAAGTAGATTGAGGGGTAGGAGAGGGTTCGTTTCGGGAAAATAACCTTAGAACTGCCTAGCGTTCGGGGGAAGATGTTCCGCAAAGTTGCGGCCTCAGGTTTATAGGGCGGCATTCATGAAGAGCTCATTCTGCTCGGAGCTTCATATAGATACGATGTCTGTGCAACACAAAATTACTTTCAACCTTCGTCTCCAGCCATTGAGACACATCTCGCTGCATATGACTTTGAGAGTAGCTGCAATAGCCAGGCCTCATGTCCTTTCCTTTCCCTGGGTACAAGCTTGCTCGAACTGGAATTAGGGTTTCAAATGGAACCTCCATCGATGCCAATTGTCTTCAAATAACCCATTTCACGACTCTCTCTGTCTGATCTTTTCATGCGAAACAACAGCATAGTTCTGTACACGCCGAGTGGTAGCCCCAAGTTGTGCCTCCAAGCCAGGTGCATCCTTACAAAATCAGCGCGGTTCTCGATCCACTTCCCCGCCCACTCCTCACTGCCAAGTGCTAGTCATGTGGGGACTCTAGCTGAGCATCCACTATTCTGTGTTGTTCTCCGGGCCTCGAAATCTGCGTGATCAAACTTCTAGATTGATGCATAACTACGAGTTCGAGGACATAGGTCTGTTACTCCAGCAATGGCCACACCTGCAGGAAACGCGTCTGCCAGCCCTCCCGGCACCAACATCAACGGAAATAAAAGAAGAGGTAAAAAGAGAATACGATCGTTCACAGCTGACGAGAGGGCTTGCCACTCCGCCATTGAGAAGCAACGTCGAGAAGCTTTGAATGCAAGCTTCATTGTGAGTACTATTACTCCCTCTGAGATTCTATGCTGACTGAGTAGGACCTCGCACGTCTCATTCCAGCACTCGCTCCAGTACACCGATTATCCAAAGCCCTCATCGTCCAAGAAAGCATACAATACCTCAAAACACAGCGTGAAATGTGCCTTGCCGCCGCCAACGAAATACAAAGCATGTTGGCTGAGAATATGGAGCTGGTTGCAGAAGTAAATAGCTGGCGGAAAGCATACGACGTTGCTGGTACCGGGTCACAGCAAGTTACACCGGTTGGTGATGCTGTGAGAGCACTGTTGGAGTTTGATCGACAAGTCTATGGCACATTCCCAGCGGGCTTTGGGGATAATGGACCCGCCGAAGAGCACGTCGAAGAAGGAGCCGAAAACAATAGCAGACCGCGGATTGAAGAGCACAGGGAAGTAGTGCAGCCAAAACCTCCGCAGAACATGGCCCCCGTCCCGGATACAGGTTTGAGTTCACAGGAAAATGTTCCAGCCCAACCTTCTTTCCCAATACAGCAGACGTTACATCCAGATCCGAACGAGTTGTCGGAAGCTATCCAAATACCTGACAACTTTATGATACTGAATCAACTTCCGGAACAACCGTCCTCGTTGGGTCAAAATATTCCACCTTCTTTCGATACTGTGTATGACCTTATTTCAACATCAGATGCGGATATGCTTCAACCGGATCACTTTGCAGATTTGAATTTACGCCATGATATATTTCACGATTTCACGATTCCACTGCCAGAGATTGGCTATGATATGGCACCAGCACATGACATCCCCAACTTCGAGAACTTGTCGTGAGCACATTATTTTCATCACGGGCAGACGTTCCTTGTCAACGATAAAATGCCATGCAATTCCTCTATCCTCTATACGAAATCGACAATTTGGGGTATGCTGAAACCTGCCTCACACAGTCTTCATCGCCTCCTCAATCGCAGCCTTGCTCCTCAACTCTCCGCCCTTGAACAGCTCCAGAGCCTCATAGAGACGAGTCTTGGTAATCGGATCAGCCTCGATGGCCTTTTGCAACTCTGCTCCGTTGTTGGCCAAGTAATCGATATCTGTACTCGCAAGCTTTCCATCCCAGTCAGCTGCTGCGAGCGGATCGGTCTTTGACAATTTCGCTAGACGAGTGGGAGTAGGGCCAGCCTTGAGATAAGGGTGCATTGGCTTTGCTACTCCTTCTCCTGGTTGCTTGCTGCCATCGTATGGAAGCTTGGCGAGCTGCTTGATGACATCGGCAGAAATGGTGGCGTGGTGGCAACCCATTTCTCCAGCGGCCATCGCTTCCTTGGGGCTTATGAAACTGTTGTGTATCGTTAGAATACCAGACTTTGAACAACGGTTTGGGAGAAGTGATTACCTGGCAGATTTCACCATTGGCTGCTCCTTCCCGGTCTCGTTGTAGAGACGCTTGTATGTCTCCAGAATCTGCACCATTCGTGCGGACATGGTGTGTTGGGTTGCCGGATCCTCGACGTTGGGCCACAAGTTCAAGTCGGCATGTGCTCTAACCTCTGCGATGTTTCTTATCAGCGAATTTCCCTACGGTATTTGAGACATTTCTACTACGTACCATTGTAGTAAGGGCTGATGTAAAGGCATCCAGCTTGACTAGCAGCGATTGCTTGAGGCAAACCAAACAGAGATGTTCCTAATGTTCGAATACCGTCTTTGAGAAGAATAGGGCCGGCATTCATAGCAGGTCCAGTGCAAGGGATCTTGATACAGAAACGATCCTTGGAGATTCCAACCTTCTCAAATTCGCGAGCGTAGCTGCGAGCATGTGCCACCACCTTTTCGGTATCGTATGCGTGGAATGGAGAAGTTTGGAGGAGGACCCGGCCTTGGATGTTGCCTATGTTTTGTGCGCAGAGGAGGACACTCTTTGCAGGTTTTGTGTCAGCTCGACGTTCAATGATGCGAAATATGGGAACTAGTATTCGAGAATGCAGAGCTCGAGATTACAACTTACGATGCGGTCCAGAACGGCTTCCCATCCTTGTTCTTTATATTCCTTAACAGCTTGCAGGAACATTTCCTTGTTCTCTGGAATGGACATCTGCTCATTGACTAAGAGTTGATTGCTGGTCTGATTGTGCGGTTTGAAGGGGAGGCTCTTCGCGAATGTGGGATCCATGGAGTCGACATCGACGTTCACTATTATCATATCAGTACTTCATCTGGACGAGCGGTTTTGCGATCAGGGAATTCAACGCACATTGCTCCTCGAGCTTTTCGAGCCAGGTGATGGTATCAACGCTTCCCATGGTGATTGTTTCTTGCACGACCTCGGAGTGTTTGGTATTGTGAATGCAGCTATGCCTTCTGGAGCTGTCTTGACTCATGGTAATCAAGCTTATAAGGATCAAGGTGAATCATTATCACATGATCTGTAAGTCTTCTACAGATTGAAGCTCTGAAAATGGCACACACAGGGCAAAGTGGGGTAGTCTTAGGATGCGGGGTCGAAGCCCCACCTGTCTTGGGAGTGATAGGGTACCCAAGCCATCAACACTCTCCAGCAATGCAGGTACTGAACATCTGATCCTGCTGCACACAGGGCACCCTGCACAGGTCATTGCGAGTCAGTTTGTCTTGCTAGTGCTGACCCAATCAAGTACGGCAACCGCCGAGGTCACCTCATGAGTGGAGGCATGTCCCACGCAGTCGTCAGAAACCTGTGCAGGTTTACCGCTGAATGTGCCAACCACGTCGGTTTACTTTCCGAGACTCATCTCGCTTCAAGTCGACCTGTACAGGTCAACTCGAGTAGCCTGCGCAGGACATACCACGAGTCTCGGAGTGGCTTTCAGTGCCCCGGGTGGACTGTACAGGTCAATGAGACGCCAAGTCGGCAAACACTCCGAGCGTCGGTACGCTAGGAAGATACCTGTGCAGGTCGCTTACAAGGCTACCAAGATGTCAGGCCTTTACTACTTTACTGGGGACGAGTTTCTTAGTGAGAACACCCAGGGAGTCCCACCAATACGGCACAGTGGAGTAAATGCGATGCGGGGTTTGGAGAAGATGGCGCACCCCGGATTCCAGCAGACCTGTATCCCTACCCCTGTCAATCCTTTTCTTCATTGTGGCTTCAGTTAGTGCTTGGCTTTCTAATATATAAGATCACGTCTTGCTTCGCCTTGCTTTTGCTGCGACGCCAGATCATCACTTCTTCAGATATTAATCATGGCGACATCAGCTCCTGATTTCTCTTCCAAGAATGCCGCGACACATCTTGAAGATGTTGAAGATCCGAAGAACCGTATCAATGTCAGCTTCGCTCAGAATATAAATGCAAAGTATATCTACCTGTCTTGTTATTCTATACCACGGTTCAGAATGCTGACCCCGTATTAGAATCTGCAATCCCCTAGCCGGAATTCCAAAACCCGAGCTTCTCGCCAGCGTCGCCTCCTTTTGCGAAACCTATGGCCTAACCGACAAACTCTCCGTTTTCGAAAAAGGTGCTCTTGTAGCCCAAATCCCAGAAAACTTCGAGAGCATTGAAGAGCTTACCGAAGACGACAAATACCACCTCCGTCGTGAGATAACTCATAAGTGGCATCTCCCAAAAGACCTCTACTACACCATCGCCCTCTGCTCTCTCGGCTCTGCTCTCCAAGGTTGGGACAATACTGGTGCTAATGGAGCAAATCTGTCTTTTCCCGAGGAATTCGGGATATCGCACAACACCTGGCTTATAGGTTTCATCAACTCAGCTCCGACGATATCCGGTCTCTTCGCCGCCTGGCTTGCTGATCCACTCAATAATTGGGTTGGGAGACGAGGTGTTATTTTCTTCACTGGCCTCTTCTGCGTTTTTCCCGTTCTGGCCCAAGCTTTCACGCAGAATTGGTGGGGCTTACTGCTCTGCAGGTTGATCATGGGGATAGGGCTTGGCATCAAAATTACCACTATTCCAATTATGACCAGTGAGGTTGTTCCAGCTGTCATTAGGGGTGGACTGGTGATGAGCTTCCAGCTTTGGGTTGCGTTTGGGATTTTGGTGGGGTTCAGTTCGAATCTGATTTTCTATGATATTGGGAGGTTGGCTTGGAGGTTTCAGCTTGCGGCTGCGTTTGCACCCGCTATTCCCGTGCTGATCTTTATTTGGTTTTGTCCTGGTGAGTTCATTCTCCTCGAATACCTGGGACTTTTGATTGCTGACATACTATAGAATCACCAAGATGGTTGCTAAAGAAGTACCGCATCCAAGAATCCTTCGCCTCCTTCTGCCGTCTTCGGAATTCTGAGGTCCAAGCAGCGCGTGATCTGTACTACGCCTACAACCAATTCCTCACCGAAGAAGAAGCCTTCGGAGGTTCCTCTTTCTTCACCCGCTTCACAGATCTCTTCCGCGTCCCTCGCATCCGACGCGCAACCATGGGCGGCGCAATCGTGATGGCCGCTCAACAATTCTCCGGCATCAACATCATGTCCTTTTACTCGTCCACCATCTTCGCCAACGCGGGCTACAACACGAAAAATACCCTGTTGGCCTCTTTCGGCTTTGGTCTCATCAATTTCGTCTTCGCGTTCCCGGCTATTTGGACGATTGATACTTTTGGTCGGAGGAATTTGCTACTGTTTACGTTCCCGAATATGGCGTGGTGTTTGATTGCTGCCGGGTGTTGTTTCTTGTTGCCTGATAGTGCGGCGGCTAGACTTCCGCTGATTGCGTTTTTTATTTATTTGTTTACTGCTTTTTACTCTCCTGGTAAGTCTTTAAACCTGCACGCTTTATTGCTTTATTGGAAGTCGGCTAATCATTATTTCAGGTATTGGACCAGTACCAAATGTGTACGCAGCAGAGTGTTTCCCGCTCTCTCATCGAGAAATCGGAGCGGCGAGTTGCATCTTTGTCAATAATGCGTTGTCGAGTATTTTGGGATTGACTTTCCCCTCGTTGCTGGCTGGGATTACTCCTACTGGTGGTATGCACATTGGTTCACTTTAACTTCTCCTGCTCGAAGCTAATTCATCTCTAGCCTTTGGTTTCTATGCTGGTTTAAACATGTTGGCTTTTGTCATCATCTTTTTCTTCTTACCAGAAACAAAGTGAGTAATTATCATTCCCAAGTAATGTTAGGCTTCGATCTGACCAATCAAAAGGCAACGCACACTCGAAGAACTAGATTATATCTTTGGCGTCCCTACCCGTCGTCATGCAGCGTACTATGGTGGGACTTGGCTTCCGTGGGCTGTGAAGAGGTATTTGTTCTTCCAGGGCAAGGCGAAGATAGAGCCACTTTATCATATTGAGGGGTTTGGAGGCGAGGATTAGACTGATATTGAGGTGGAAAATGACGTGTAGGGAACAACAGGTGTGTGTGATCAGGACAGGAGAGATTGGTTGAGTAGGCAATGCAAACAAATGTGCAAGAAGTTGATTCCAAAGAGCTGATTTCAAAGGTGCCAGAACACCCCCTGCTCATCATCAATTTGTGCTACGTCTGAAAGATATTAAACTCTATATTACACAGCGTCAGTAGTGAGATGTCGGTTGCTTTATAAGACGTTTACTCAAGGGCGCCAATTAAGCTCATGAGCTAAAGCACGGTGATGCAAAGTTGATCATCTCATCTCCGGGGAAATGCAAGTCGCTGACAAATCGAATATCAGAAGCCATCGAGGATATAAACAACATCAAACGCCAAGAGCTCCTCTGAAATGCCTTTGAAAGTTGCAAGATTCGAACCCAGTTACATCTACTGAAAGCAACTTAACAACGAACAATGCAATCCCACCAATTCTCAACCATTCCAGCCGATGGTGTCGACGTCTTCTACCGCTACGCAGGCCCCGTCGACGCCCCAGTAATCCTCCTCCTCCACGGCTTCCCCAGCTCCTCGCACCAATTCCAAAACTTTATTCCCTACCTCGCCTACCACAACTACCGCGTCCTCGCCCCCGACTACCCGGGCTTCGGCTTTACCGTCGTTCCCGCTGAACGCAAATACATCTACACATTCGACAACCTCTCCCTCACCATCGCCGCCTTCCTCGACGCTCTCCACATCCAGCAATTCGCCCTCTTCATCTTCGACTACGGCGCTCCCATCGGACTCCGCATCGCGCTCGACCGTCCGGACGCTATTACAGCGATTATCTCGCAGAATGGAAACATGTACGAAGAAGGCCTCGGCGAGACCTGGGGCCCGATGAAAAAATACTGGGCAACAGACAGCGCAGAAGATCGCGCCATAATCCGCGCCCGGATCCTGAGTCCCGAGCGGACGATCTGGCAATACACAGCCGGCTCTCCTACGGGCGAGAAAGGCGTCCCGCCCGAGAGCTACACGCTTGATTTAGCACTGATGGAGAGAGAGGGGAATAGAGAGATTCAGTTGGATTTGTTTAGGGATTATAGAACGAATGTGGAGATGTATCCAAGGTTTCAAGCGTATTTGAGGGAGAGGAGGCCGAGGGCCCTCGCGGTGTGGGGGAGGGAGGATAGGAGTTTTGTGCCGGCGGGGGCGGAGGCTTTTAGGAGGGATTTGGAGAATGTCGAGGTTGGTTTTGTGGATGCGGGGCATTGGGCGTTGGAGGAGAGGGGGGAGGAGGTTGGGGGGCAGGTGGTGGAGTTTTTGGGGAGGGTTCTGGGGAGTTCGAAGTCAGGTTTATGAGCAGAAGTTGTTGTGAGTTCATGTGTTTTCGGTTGTTGAGAGAAGTGTTTACTGACGGTACCCGGAGTTGAAAAGTTGGAGGATGTATGATTTGATGACTTTATAAAAGTTTATCGGTTTAACATTCGTTTCCCGCTAGGTAATTTATATTGTCAAGAATTATTGAATATGAGAGACTCGATACTCTTTCTTAGTCATCTGCTGTCAACTTCCACGTCTGGAAAGAACCCGGGTTTGGTGGCTCAAGACCTCCGTACCCAGAGCCAAACATAACATAGTCATGGACGATGGCCATCCCACCATGAAAGTACGCGTCGAGATGCACCTCTTTCACAATCCGCCCAGTCTTCTTGTCGAGAGACAAAAGGCTCCCGGGTCCCGCAGGAAAAATGCTCGTCGCACTCCAATTGCCCGTAATACCAGTAAGCACAAGGTCATTAACAACGGAAGGCACGATAATGCTCGTCGTGTTCCTTGGAGATGCCGTTTGCCAGAGAATCTTTCCATCTTTCAGACTCGCTGCCCCGAACGCACTGTTTGAGATGACCGTTTTCCCATCCCCCGCCGGTAAAGTGTAGTTCACCCGGTTGATGTTGATAGCCGTATAATAAACAGACGTATCATCAGCCGCAATGCCCCAGTTCAACCCGCCTTCAAGTCCATCGGGTCCAGTCGATGTCAACCAAAGGATATGGCCAGTAGCAGCATTAAGAGCATATAAGTTCCCGTTCTTCTGTCCAATCACAATGATATCCAACTCGGACGGAGTATGTTCCGAGCCGAGCACAAATGTTGGCGCCATACCAAAGTCGGCATCTATGCCAGGAGTCGAAGGACATGATGCCTGCTCTCCTGGCAGTCCTGGGCCAAGTAGACCCACCGTGCAAGCGGCATTCCACGCATCAAGTGGACCCAATTGTCGTTGCCAATTAACACGTCCTGTGTCCAAGTCGAGCGCTAGGATACTTTCTTGGAGGACGTCTCGAGGTAGACATGGTTCCGGAGCAAGGCCCTCTTTGATCACAGTGATATTCGCTGTCTGGTTCTGACAAGCTTGAAATTCCTCTGGAAGAGAGTAGGTGTTTCCTGTTGCAAGGAATACCTGCCTTCGGATAGGATCGATAGCAGGCTGGGATCCCCAGATCGAAGCTCCAGAGAAATTGGCGTGTGCGGGCATCATCAGCTGAGACCACAGCAGACGCAACCGGCCGTGCTCGAAAGATACAGCATGCATGCTTCCAATGAAAGAGAATTGGTAGTCAAGTATGATGTCTGGAGCTCCTTCTTCTAGACTGGACACACCGGTGAAGACATGGCCTTCATAGAAAGTCGGAGACATTGTCAAGACCGCGAAGGGGTGCGACTCGAGCTGAAGTGCATCAATGAGTTCTCCAGTTCTCTTGTCGATTGCAAGAAGGAGCGCATGGGCAAGCGTGCCAAGGTAAAGTACTTCTTCATCTCCGTGCTTTCCAATCACTGGTGTAGTTCTCGATACAGGCGCAACAAGCAACTCTTGTTCTGCAGTAAGTGGCTTGTATTCCAATATCAAATCCGTAATATTGGTTTCCCACACCCTGTGGCAAGTTTTGTAGTTCAAGGCGACGAGAAGGCCGTCCCATGTTGGAAAGTAAGCAATGCCATCGGTGACCAGAGGGGCAGCACTGACGCCGGGGTTAAATTTTATCTGGCACGTTAGAGCAAGAGATGCGACGTTGGTGCTGTCCACGATGGCATCGGTGCTAGCCCAGTGGTTGTTGTAGACGTCTCCTCCCCAGCCAAGCCAGTTTCCTGTTTCGCTTGCAGGTGGTTGTGATGCAGGAATTTGATTTGCATTAATAGCGGGTGAAGCCTCTAGACCAATTTCGTGCGTGTTATGGCCAAAGAGAGGTTGTTGATGAGCGAAATCTTTGGGACAAAGTCCGAGCACGACCAGAAACGAAGAGGCTAAGGATGAACAGCCCACTTCCTGAAATATTCCCCAGACCATATTGAAACGTCTTCGAAGTATCTAAAATGTGATAGGAATTGAGAATTAAAGGCTGCGCATCCAGTGATAGGCTCCACGGGATAACGCTCAATTAAGTACCAGAACGACCAATGTTCTCTTTGGGTTGTACAAGGAGTGGACGGTAAGGCTTACATTGGGGCTGAAACTTTGTGACTAGCATTTCAGCTTACTATCCCGATTCATACCATCTCCTTGACCTTGTCTGTCAGATTCAGGGTTGACGGCTTACTGTGATTGGTCGGCTAAAAGGCTCTCTCCGCGGATTGCAACCATCATCTTATTCAATACTTTTGATGTTTACCTGCTTATGGTCATCAATCATTCAATCCTGGAGAATATCCAATCACATCCTTACGTGAGGGCAGGTTGAAGGTGTTGTCAGCCACCATCGCCTTGAAACTCGCCTCAGCCTTACATCTCTACCCCTTGTCACTTCCTCGCACGTTCCTACTTCCAGACCCGCCTGACCCGACACTAGACGCAAAGACCCTATCATAGACTCCGATGCTTTCGCTTCAAGGTTCTGGGGTTATCATATGAAGATTAGTTCATAGGCTGGTTGTTGCAACGAGCAGCTGGACTCTAAACTGTTCAAACTACATTCAGCTTCGAGAAGTTAAGTTCAGGCTCATCTAGCCGAGTTCCATTCTCCAAATGCCCATTCGTCTTGACAGCATATTCTGAATTCGACTCGATGCTCAACTTCTCCTTCTTCAATCGTTCCTTCCTCTCACTCCAGCTCTCACTGATAGATGGATCAAAGAACGGTCTCTCTCCGAAGATAGCGGTCCTCTTCCCTTCCCTGCTACTCGGCTCGTAGCCTCCCGGAACTGCTCTGTGCACCACGACTCGATTGTCCCAGAATGCGATACTGTCTGGAGTCCACTTCCATCGGACCGTGAGGTCGTCAGCGGAGTGGAGGTGGTCGTACAGGAAGTTGAGAGTGTGGAATGATTCTCTGTCGTTGAGACCCTTGACTCCAGTGACAAAAAGTGGGTTGTAGTTGAGTGATTTCAGATGGGTTACAGGATGGGTGCGAACCTATGATCAAGGGATGAGAACTTTGCAATTGGGAAGACGGCAAGACTCGCTTACCAAGGGATGCTCAGTAATGATGGGCGCTCGCCGCGGTTTTCCACCCCCGTTGATGGAATTCAAGTAGTATTTCTACAAAACTTGATCAGTCTGAAATCTACATGGCAAGATAGCAAGATCGTACTTCGGAGCTGTGGATACCAAAAAACCCCTCAAAAGCCTTCTGGAACGTCGGACTCAACTTGTCGAAGAGCGCAACCTGGCTGGTAAAGATAGTATCTCCACCCGTTTCAGGAGTTCGTAACATCCTCAAAAGGGTATAAGAAGGTGGGTTCACTTCAAAAGAATGGTCACCATGGTACGCTGCTACGTTTCTATCCTTTGCGCGGATGTTGCTGTACGAAGCACGTGAGATGGAGCCGTTGAAATTAGAAAAGCACTCACAAATCGTGTCCAAGAATAGTGACATGTCGTGGATCTTGCTGGCTGGGATCTCGGTCTTGCTGATGAGTTTACTTCTTCAGTACGATATCGACTAGTAAGGACTGATGGTTTGACTTACTTTCCCGTAATGAGCCGCAAGTGCATGTTGCTGCTCCAACGTGATGTCCTGGTCTCTGAAGAACACGACACCTCTCTAGGAAGGAATGCATTAGCGTCTCGTATCTCTCCTCTGTCTGACATGTCATACTTCAGCAACTAACAAAGCTAGCTCATCTTTCTGGGCATCTGTCAACTGGCTGACTTGGACTCCCTTAAGCTCGGTTCCGATATAAGGTGTCAAGGCTTCGATACTGGATGCTTGGGATAACAATGATGCTTTAGTTGGATCTGCGAAGAACGCTCGGTCTCGTGCTGGCTCGAACTGCTCCAGAGGTGGATCAGGAGGAACGTATGCTAGGACTGCTGGGGTAATGTCTAGTGCCATGGTGAATAACTACAATCGTGGGCTTTTCCCCTTTTATTTTGTGTCTTTGTGCTGCGTTGGGAACAATTTATCTAAAGAATCCCATTGAAACGTAGAACATATATTGATCTAATCTGGGTATTTTGATAGTTGATCACAGGTCAAAATAGTAAGCACTAACAATGCCATGATGAGGAATCTTTTGACGTTGATATCCCGGAGTTACCCAGTCACTTTTAAGGCGCAGACCTGGCTCATACAGGATATTGCATCATCCAATTGAAAGTCTCAAGCTTATCTCTTAAGTTACATTCAATTTACCGCCAACAAACGCTGTATGGTGAGAGGTCGAGAAGGGTTGAAAGTGGGGGATGAAAGCGGGGTGGCCGGATGTGTGGGGTCAACGACCTTCCAATTTCAGTTACCTTTCTTTAGACTCACTACTTAACACCATGTAATCGTGTCCCCCTGACCTTTGGTCGTGGCCTTTACGCTACGCACAGGCCACTCCCTCCGGGAGTACTTGCAACACGTAGTGACCTGCAACAGCGCTAAAAGGCTTGCGAGTATTTGTCAGAATGCAGTAGTAGCTTGCATCCCTCACTAATTCTGTTGTGGGGCAGCTTACCTCATAGCGCTCAGTCAGTGACACTCCCAAAGGTCAGTGGGACACGATTAAGGAAAAGGATCCTCAAAATATGTCTGTACTTGTATTCATAGGGTACCAGAATCATTTTGGAGCATTTGATTCGGTTACTGAGGTTGTGTTATCAGACCCCGGAGATTGCACATGCACTTTGTGAGGCGCGAAGCGGGATCTAACCTTCAATGTAACGCTTATCCATGCATGGTCTTCAAGCTTATACGGCTTCGAATTGGTCACTTAGCGAGGATTGACGTCCCAAGGATGCAGGACGATGCTGGAGCCGAAAGATCACAGCGGCCCGGCGACTCAGAGGCTGTTGCCATATCGTCCACGGAAGTCGTGATATGATGTTGACCAAAGAGAACCTTGGAACTCAGACTTCCGCTTATGTCACGAGATTTAAGAAGGCGCAGGTAGAAATATATATTTCACCTTTCCAACGTACCTCTCCGCGAAGTCTAAGAGGAAGTCAAGTGATACCGGTTTCTCTTGTCTCAATCACAAGTCGTCGTCACTAGGGACGGACGACACAGAGTATTTCTACCGGTAGTATCTAAAAGGTCTGCTCAACTAGACAAGGTATTTTCAGAAATCCAATCGACAACAGATTCTGAAAATAAAGTACTGATAGATGTAGTTTGAATTTTCGCTGTCATTATAATCCATCATGGGAGCACCAGACACGACTGATGCTTCAGCTACGCCCCCGGAGAAGGATGGACCAAGTTTAGAGAAAGGGGAAAAGTTTGTGGATGGAACCGATGTTAATGTGGCCTCTGAGCATCAAGTTCGGGTCGATCTTGACAAGGAGCTTTATGACAGCACAGGCATCGATCCCGTGCTTGCCAGGAAGATGGCACTCGTCAATGATGCCATCGACGAGATTGGAATGACCCCATTCCAGTGGAAGCTTTTCTTCCTCAATGGATTCGGATATGCCGTGGACTCTGTAAGTCATAACCCCAATTTGAAACGAGTTTCTACTTATCATGTAGCTTCTCATTGTGTGTCAATCGATTGCAAACCCTGCAGTAACACAAGAATATGGAAATCCAAGTGCACATGTTCAAGGCATTCCGCTGGCATCTCAAGTCGGCTTGTTAGTCGGGGCTGCAGTTTGGGGATTCTCCGCGGATGTCATTGGTCGACGACTTGCCTTCAACTCCAGTCTGTTCATCTGTGCTATATTTGTCTTGATTGGTGGCGCAATGCCGAGCTACATATCATTCTCTGCTATGTATGTAATATTTGCCCTTCCATTTCGCAACGGGTAGCCTAGGGATCTAAATACTAATTATCAGAAAGTGTCGCAATATACTCCGCAGGAGCTGGTGGCAATTATATTCTTGATGCAACAAACTTCCTGGAGTTCCTTCCAGGGCGAAAGGCTTGGCTAGTCACTTTCCTCTCGATTTGGTGGGCAGTCGGATATACTGTGACTGGTCTCCTCGCTTGGGCATTTATGAGTAACTACAGCTGCTCACCAGATGCGGTAGTTTGCACACGTGCAGCTAACATGGGCTGGAGATATCTTCACTTCACATGTGGAGCCCTCGTCATAGTTATGGCCACGCTTCGTGTAGTGGTTCTCCAAATGGTCCAAACACCAAAGTGGCTGATCAGCCAAAACCGGGATGAAGAAGTGTTCAAAAATCTCCAGGACATTGCAATCAAATATAAACGACCATTCTCACTTAATCTTGAGCATCTCAGAGCTCAAGGGAGAGTTCGCAACACCGAGAAATCTGTCTGGTCCGGAATTCGCTTAAAGCTCCACTTCTCGGGTTTGTTCGAAACAAAGAAATTGGCGTGGTCTACCACGGTCATCATTGCAAATTGGTTCGTGATCGGCATGGTCTCGCCTCTTTACTCAGTATTCTTGCCTTTTTACCTCGCTTCTAGAGGAGCCGATGTTGGCGACAATAGCAACTATACTGTCTGGCGTGATTATGCTATCAATCAAATCGCTGGCTTAGGTGGTCCGATAATCGCTGCTGTCCTCGTGGAGACAAGATACCTTGGCCGAAGGGGCACATTGGCCATTGGTGCTCTTGTTACCATGGTCTTCCAGTTCGGATACACTCAAATCACCACGCCTGCTCAGAACGTTGGTGTTTCTGCTGCGATCAGCGCCGCATCGTACGTAATCTTTGAAACTTGGTTGACTGTGTTGCTGACTTGCCTAGAAATATATATTATGGGACGATCTATGCTTATACACCCGAGATTCTACCATCGGCTCATCGAGCTACAGGCTACGGGCTCTGTGTGGTTCTGAACCGAGTCGGTGGAATAGCCGGTGTGCTTGTGGGGAGTTACGCGAATGTTGAAACGACAGCTCCTCTATTCGTGTGCGCTGCCTTATTCGGATTGTTGGTTATCTTGAGCATCTTACTCCCTTTCGAGCCTAAAGGTAGAAGGAGTCAATAGAGGACGATGCGTTGGTATTCGAGATAAGTCGCTTTAGTGGAAGCTTCAAGCTGTAGCACGTGAATCAGCGTCGGTTCTCTCCATCGGTGGCCGATTTTGCGACAGGGCCCAAATTCACAAAATATAAAGTATTCCGCACAATATATTAAGTTTATATTTAATATTTTTTGATGAAAACGTAGAATAGCTTCTTGATAAGTTAGAACTGAAGTCTAATTAGAAACAAATTATGTAGGAGTGTGCAATGTTGGAGTTGATATAGGACATTTTGATGTTGTCGAGTGCTAAAATCGGGTAGGAATTTGACACATGGAGAGCGCTTCTCATGATCGAGCTAGCACGATATCAAATCAATTCAATGCACATCTAGTTTATGAAAGACATTATCCGAAGTCTCTCAATAATCACATATATTGCTGAAAATCCCAACGTCTCACGAACCCGCAGCGTGAACTGAACGCTGTAGTAGCTTGTAATTTTAGCGACCCAGTCCTGATCCTTCACTTGGTAGGCTTCTGAGCCCAGAGCTCCCTGACTGGCGATTCCGTCCTAACATTCCCCAAAGAACTGGACAGGTGAAGAGGCGCCAAGAAATGACGAGAAAAGTCTCAAGCACTTTGTTTCTAGTATGATGATATCCTGCATGCGAGGCTAATTCATTTCGTGATGGGCGCTCAGGCGATATTAAGCGATAACTTTCTAGCAACAATAACTTGTATTACTACAAGTTTTTTGCATTTTATATCATTAAAAATTAGTATAGAGGTTTATTGAGGTGTACTCTATTCTTGTTCCATCTTTTAAAGCTTTTCAATAGATTTTGTGGTTGTTGTGAAGGGAGAAAGCCAAATTCAGATAATTGGCGAGCGCCCATCACGAAATGAATTAGCCTCGATGGGAGCAATTGAGGCGTTTTTATTCAAAAAGTAAATTACTATCCATCAAGAGCCTGAACAACTTGAGTCCAATCATTGGAGCCATAAGCACCTGGAACACTGTCACCATCAAAGAGACTAGCAAGCACTACGCGATCCGACTGCTCGCCTTCCTAAGGCTGCCTTCCATGTTGCGCAATAATATTATCATAGACCAGCACGTCACCTTGCTGCCATTTGTGTAGCACCCGAATCTCGTCAGTAATTGCAGCAAGATGCGCAAGATACTTCTCGGGAATGGGAGTGCCATCACCGAAGAGCTGCTGTGTAACGTTCTTTCGAGCGTTATTGACTTGACTAGTCTTGTAGTAAGCGGCTAGGCCTGTGAAGAGGGTTGGCAGTCCTGTGTTAGGTTGTGTGCGAATTGCAGGCAACCTGTGCGTCAAGACGAGGCCACCGTCTTCAGTCCATTCCCACGTTGTAAATTCGCCTCTTCCGTAGCGAGCAATCTGCGCCTCGATCTTCGCTCGCCTTGTTGTCTCATCGTCACCATCTTTGATCTCTTTGCCGAACGCTTGTGCCAACGTCGAGCCACCCTCGTACTGTTTGCCGAGCTTGTAAGTGACTTTGCTCAAGATACCTTTCCCGGCGAGCTCGTTGATAAAATCTGGTATCTCTTGTTGCGCACGATGGAAAAGCTCGAGAGATGATGAGACTGGAGTCTCTCCACCCTTGTGAGGAGTCCTGTGGCCGTAGAAGAAAATATACTCCGGCGCATGAGGCACCTGTGGAGATTCGTTGTGGTTATAGATCAAGACTTCTTTGGGTGCTTCATTCGCTGGAGCCACGTTTGGGGCCAGCAAAGGCCTGTCCACAACAATGCCAATAATTTCATGCGGTTTGTAGCCAAACGCGTGCGCGAATTTGCTGAAATCCTCGGCGTTGTGTATGGGAACATCTCGAAATAATAGTGTTCCATGCTGAGCAAGTTTCTCAGTGAGAATTTCATGCTTCTGTAGAGACTTTATTGTATCGACTACAGCGTCGAGTTCGATCTCAGCATTTCCATGTGCAGAAGGACGTAGTGCTAGTGGAATGACCGTGTCCCTTGAAAAAGGTGCTCCGAGAACGCGCTGATTACTCGAAGGCAAATCGAATGGTTCGAATACGATTGCGGTGCAAAGGAAGTTTCAGACTTGAGTAAATTGACGTTGAATTGAGGAATTGTTGTCGCCATGATGAGCTGCTTGCGCGTGGTTTCGATAAAGAAACGAGGCTTTCTAGACAATTAAGAACTTGTCGGCTATGTAATTGTCTTCAACGAGAAGCGATATGAATTAGGAGGTCTGTTCCCGGGGAATATCGTTACACTTGGTCACACCACTAAGATTCTGTCATCCGTGCTAATATCACGAAATCAGATGTGACAGGCATCTGGCAGCATTTTATAGTGGACTAGATCCAAGCAGTGGTCGCGGAATCATAAAGCCGCTGAGTTGGGTCGTGAAGAAGAGAATGCCAAGAGTGGGATTCCTAGAAGTAGCATGGTGGCCACGGTTCATTTTCCCAGTCGCTGACGAAACACTCTTGCGTGCTTTCTGAATAAACATTAGTGGGATTTCGAGCTGTGGCAATGGCTTAGAACCATCCCTATCATAACCTGTAGAACGACCTTCTTTTGAAAGACACTCTATCTGCGATTCGTTACCCATTGAGCCTGCTTTCACTTCATACTTTCCACCTTCTTTGAATACTCTTTTGAATCAACATGGCAGTATCTCTAGCCACCACAAAGGAGATAGTCACTCTGGGAAAGGAAGAGGTCGAGCCTGAATCGCCTCCACTTGCTTCCGCAATTCAGGACAATTTAGAAACACCCCACAGAAGTCGATATCCAATAAGCTTTTACAGGAGTACGCTGTTCCAGATTCTTGTCGTTGGGATCTGTGCATTTTGTGCACCCGGAATATGGAGTGCTATGAATGGACTCGGTGTTGGCGGTTCTCAGTCTCCAAATCTCGTCAACGCAGCCAATGCATTGCTCTACGCCTTCATGACAGTCACTTGCTTCGCTGGGCCTTGGCTGACGAATATCATCGGATTTCGTTGGACCCTGGCAGTCGGATCTCTTGGATACCCCCTTTACGCCGCTAGACTGTATGTAAATAATCGTCAGGGTGTTACTTGGTTTGTATACTTCGGCGCCGTAGCGTGTGGACTAAGTGCTAGGTTTTTCTAGAGCGTGGAGTCGCAATTGCCACTGGATATCCCGAGCAACACAAACGAGGTCGTTATGTTGCAACATGGTTTACATTCCGTAACTTTGGAAACATTGTTGGAGGTGCAGTTGCACTTGGAATTAATCACAGAGCCAATCATCAGGGGAAAGTCGGATATCAAACTTATCTCGGATTCATTGCCATTCAATGTCTTGGATTCTTCCTTGGGTTACTCCTTTCCAACCCCGAGAAAGTCCAGCGCGACGATGGTACCCAGATACAAGCGCCGAGGGGCATTGCCTGGCGCGCTGAGGCAAAGGAGATGTGGCGCCTTGCAAGGAGCAAGTCAATCGTCCTCTTGATTCCGCTCTTTTGGTACTTTGGCTGGATGCAAGCATACCCAGGCACATACTTGGCAACATACTTTACTGTCCGCTCTCGTGCATTGGCGAGCTTTCTGTCAGCAGTCGTTGGGACGTTCGCTACCTGGCTTGCCGGCTCACTTGTTGATCTTCCTTGGACGAAAAAGCGGCAAACTCGAGCCATTGCAACCTACATTCTGATAGCTGCACTCAATAGCGCAACATGGATATGGGCAGTGATCATTCAAGATGAGTACAGACACACAAAGCCATCATTGGATTGGAGTGATCAGAGAGCGTTCAGCAGGGGATTTGGGGTCTACATGCTTGAGCGAATCAGCCTTGGAATGGTAGAGAATTTCATCTATTGGTGCATTAGCAATCTATCAGACTCGCCAGGAGATCAAATCCGATATAGCTCTTTACTTCGAGGTATTGAAACTGCTGGTGTGGCAGTAGGGTTCGGTGTTCAGGCCGTACCCACTGCTCTAATTGCAACTGCAAGTATCAATTTCGGTTTCTGGTTCTTCGCACTACCATTTGGCTACTATGCCACCTTGCAAGTTGTCCGGAAGTTTGATAATCTTGATCAGAAGCGCGAGACGAGAGAATAGCCGGAAGAACAATGATGTTTGGGCATGCCGTGGCTTGTGCTAGGTATCAGTGAGGAGCGGGCTACCGTACATAGAAAGCGAATTTCTATTCGCCACCTAATGTAATTAAGGCTATCTTCTTAATCTTTGTCACACACCATTGAACTATGCGTGGATTGAATCTAGAGCAAGGCAGCTTCAATCACGAAGTCCTAGTCTTGTAAACGCGTCTTGTCCTATTCACTATCTTGAAACATCGAAGATCAACACTACACAATTTCAACCGCCCATTTCTTCAACTAAGAGTAGCATTAAAAAGCTTTGATCTTCCATACAAGTAAGTCTTCGAGAATTCTCACTCCCTCCTTTCACGCAGCAACACCTGTTCTGTAAATCTTGAGCTTCTTAGCCTTCCTTGGATGATAACCTATAAACAAGTCTACCATCTCCATGTCACTATGTGTAAACCCTCCATATACCTGCATGTCATCGAAGCGACGGAAAATGGCACCCAGACTGCAGTACACTTCACACATTGCAAGGTTTTGCCCTACGCAATTGCGACTTCCTTTACTAAATGGCATGAGACATCGTTCCCTGGCACGGACTTCTTCAATAGAGCCTAGCCATCGATCGGGAATAAATTTTCGAGGATCAGGGAAGTAGTCAGTTCTTTGGTGCCTAGTTTGGTTCGAAATTAGGGTTGATTCTCGTAAGTTCGCCGAAAAGAGTTATGGAACATTGGAACTCTCAGCTAAGCAGTGAAAACCAAAACAAAGAATGGATAATCTTACATGACCCAGATACTCATGCTAACAGTCGTCCCTCCTGGAAGGTTGACCCCTGCTAGGTCTGTGCCACCAGGTGGAACAACACGAGGGAGACGACCAGGAGCTCCGGGATTGAGTCTAAGTTCTCATCAGTGACCATGCTCAACGAGTCCAATTCGCTACACTGACCTCAAAGCTTCCTTAATGACAGCATTCAGGTAAGGCAAAGCCTCCAAAGACTTCAAACACATGGATTCTGGATCCGGGAACGCCTCTCGGAGCTCCGTGGTCAAGTTCTTGTAGATCACCTGATTGTTTACTACTTCGAACATGGCACGGATAATGATAGCACCCGTAGTTTCACCGCCTCCGCCGGTGATGTTAACAGCATCAGCAAATATTGCATGGTTGGACAGAGGAGCGTGCTGTTTCATGCCAGGCTCAGGATTGCGAGGAGAGATCAATTCGTGGAAGATGGTCCTTCTTTCTGGTTTGATGCCCTGGGTAATATCGCTACGGGTCTCTTCGACCGCATGTCTGATTGTCTACAGACGAGAAAGTAAGCGACATGCTTTATAATTTGCTACTGTCGGACCGACAATTAAACGATACTTACTTCGATACTAGCATACCAATGCTTGAAACCAGGATTTAAAGCAACGTTCACCCACTCCGGGATGAGATCAAAGATTGCAATCAAGAATGGAAAGGTCTGGAACCAAATGAACAAGAATTGGGTAGCTCGAATAGCTTCCTCGTACCATACGCCAAAATCTTTTCTGTCGAGCATATTCCAACAATGCCCATAGGAGTACTCGGTTATAACGTCTGCAGAGAATGCTCTCACAGCATTATGTGCATCGAATGGCTTCCCATCAGTGCCGCATGCTTCCAGCATGTCACACAGTTTGCTTGCTTTGCTTGCAACAACTCCTTCGAGGTCCAGAACGGAGCGACGAGAAAAGAAGGGGTTGATGGCTGTCCTGCGGACCTTGTGCTCCTCATTTGAAAGCATACTGGTAATGATGGGCGTCTTGATCGTTTTCTCCACGGTACCATACAATAATGGATCTTTGGAGAATTTGGTGCCGATACTGTAGATTTTCTCATAACTGTCGAGATCGTTGAGATGAACTTGGGTCGGAGAAATGCGAATGATTGGTCCTTCAGCACATGAACTTGTCAGCACTCATTCGATCTCTTTGAATGAAGCGAGGGTATAGTATACCGTATTTTTCGTGCAGCTTTATCAGCTCATGCAGTAGTTTCCCTTCTCTCACGCCTTGATGATATAGCATTGGCAATGTCGAGATGGACCACAGGAATGGACCCGGGATCTTGGCCAAGGGATGGAGATACCGGCGACTAACAAAGGTGTAAACGAGTAGCACGAAGACGGATAGAGCTAATAAATGAGGCCAATACGCCCATTGTTGCATGGAAAGGATCATGTTTGCTGTTCGTGCTGAAGCTATCTTTGGAAAGAGCTTTTGGGATACAGCAGAGACCTAGCAGAGCAATGTCCCAGACTCATAGGATGATCCGTCTCTTTGACTGCTTCTGAGGTGCCGTACGATAGAGACGACCTACTCTTCTAGCAGGACGTGTTATACTGCATGCATTCAATGACCTGATTGGCAACAATAGCGAAAGCGAAGTAGGATGGCTCTTAAGATACAGATTCCCGGATAAAGTGTCGGCAGCTAGATAACAAGTAAACGGCAGTTACAGACCGCATAAGCTCCGATCAAACTGGATGACAGCGGCAATAGCGGACATGGAGAACATCTCTTATCTCAGGCACACATACTTGTCGTCGTGTTTTTTCATTTAAGGTTAAGTACTACTTAATGAAATCTTGCTGACTGCAACGGAGATCCTTCCGTCTTTTGAACACGACATGAAGCGATGCAGGAGGCAAGGTAAAGGACTGCGTAATGAACAGCATCTTCCAAACACCACAGCGCTGGAAGCGTCAGCAAGTCGGATATCCTCACATTGGTTTTCCGAGAGATATCGTCTACAGCCTTCGTTAGCCTCCGTGCTGATATCTTTGACTACCGAGAATTAATGAATCATGATTAGGCTGTGTCGGCCCGCTCCGTACCCGTACCATGGCGCATGTGTCAAATGTGAACGCCATTGACCTTATAAGGCACATTTATCCGTAATCCTTGTGATCAATGAACCAACGGCGTGACACCAGCTCATTGGATATGGGCTGTAGATGTCAAGGGGTGGAGGCTAATGAGTTGTTCTTAAAGTGTACCTTATCTGATCATCAAATACATGACCGGCAAGTAATGTGAACTAGGGGACACTAAGAGTGCCATAGAACCATCCAAAGCTCCTTCATGATATCCTAGCCAAAATTTGATTCGAGATCCAGTGATCATGCGCTTAAATATAATTTAGTCGGAGATAAAGCCCCAAAGACGGTCCCTGCCGAAACTCAATGACAATGATTTAAATCTACGTGAAGCTAAAATAGCAGGAGAATTTGTGATAATGACTCTATAGCACGGATACGGAAAGCCTTCGTGTCATGATTGTCTTCCCTTGTTGCTTGATAGCGCAGTTCACCTCGACGCACCTGATCAGCCGATAGCTCTTGAAAACGGATAAACCGTGCATGAACGCAAGCATCAAGGCCCAATGTAGGACTATATCTTCACTGATCACATGCATCTCTCGCACCGACAGAATGAGGAAATTGAGTTGCCGATCGGAGAACTCCTGCTTCATAGAGTAGTTCACGAGACCCTCTGCAGCAGATGTAATATGATCAGATCCTAGATGTAATGAATGATAATTGCCGTGAAACAGTACCGCCAATACATCTCTGCACTCTGATATTACCAATGATGTAATAGCTTAAATTGTGAACAAACTCCTAATACTGGCCCAAGTGTTGAGAGGGTACAATCGACACATTATCAGCGGAAAACCAATTCCACTCCAGCGCGCTTCGCATGGACTCACAGCGCCGTTAATGAATATCAAGTATCCTTTCATTTGCGTTTCCGACAGTTATATGCTGAGTGTGGGTTCTGGATATTTGGATACACTTCTTCCTCACAAGTTCAATATCTAGAAACACTCGTTACACAGCAGTGTCCAGCAGCTATGACTTTCGAAACAGCCGACTCAACCCAGAGGACCAACCTAGACTATGCTGTTCAGCCACCCACTTCTCAGAACACATCAACCACTGAACCAGAGCGACTCGCTGCCCCTTCTACCAACGGGGCCTCCTCTCACGACATTTGGTTTTTCCCAAAAGAGATAAAGAATGATCTGAAAGACACTGAAGTTCCAGAAGCATTCATCGCCGAGGCTCTAGCTTGTGCTTGGGAGTATGCTCGATGTGTGATACCACACTTCACCAACTGGCCCCGCTACGTGGCTTTCACGCGGATCTTGGTGGTTGCAATCGTCGTGGAGTTTCGCGGCTCTCTCGTGGATGTGGTGGCTGGTGACAAGGTCTTGGGATATGACGTCGAAGAACTCATTGACACTCTCTTCGCTGGCACCGTCGGTCGAGATGCAATGGCTAGGGAGTTCCGCTCGTGGCTTCTAATCACGGGAGACAAGACAAGTCACAGACGCACCTCGGAGCTGTTCCATCGATATGTTGAGTCTCTGGCCTTTACGCCAAGAGATTGGTTTCGACTACGAGACTGTGATGCCCTGGCAAGGCTCACCATCGCAGGTACGTGAAACCCTCCGTTGCCTATGAACCGGATTTCGGAGCCTAGTTCTAAGGCTCCTCCAACGTACCCTATATACTGATATGTTGATAGCCGCATGGGCTTGCAATGATCTTGATGACATGTGGTTAAGTGAGGATGAATTTGAGATTCTCACCGAACTTTGTGACACGCTCTACGACTCCGTTGCTTTTATGAAGCATCGAGCTGAAGGAGAGACTCACAATACGTTCGCTTATGCTGGAGAAGAACTTCGAACAGAAAGTTTTCGCCGCTGCCGTGAGGTTTTATGGGCCCTAGATCTTGCTTGGGCTCGTTCTGATGGACACCGTTGCGTTATCAGCTTTTTGAGAGCCATTGGAGGCCCTATCCATATGAACATGCGACGGTACCGATTTGTGGAAGAGGATTTGACAATAGGTCGACCTGAGACGGAGCAAGTCGTAAGGGAGACTCGAGAGAACTACAAGCTCTGGAATAGAGTTGACATGATAAACAACTTGGAAAATAATCTCACGGACCACGCTCGATACAAAGTCGCACTAGCTCGAAGCAATACTTTGATGTTTCCTGGCCTCGCCGAGATGCTGCAGCGGTCGACTGATGGACGCTGTGACAAATGTCATTATCGTCTTTCCTATGGTGCTGAGACGGCTGGCCGCTTTGGGGGAGTCGAACTGTGCAATGTTTGCAGGGAGCGATGGAAGGTGTATCTTGAAGACTTCCCAAGCCGTGCCGCACGAATTTTCCCAGTGCTTTTGACACATTGGCCTTCTTCGATCGAGCCTGTCCATGAAGAGCAAACCTTAAATTGTGAGGAGGTGAGACTGTCAGTGTGATTTAAGATGACAGAAGAGAAGATTTTGAACGAGAAGCACCTGCATCGTTGAAGTGAGTTATGTCACGTGATAGACTTTACTACCTTTTGAACATAAGTTTTTGTCTATCGACATTAGATAAGGGGTAACTCCAGGAGAAAGTATAGCTATCAGGTCAAGTCTCTGTATTATCAGCTCTTTAATGAAAGATCAACCATATCGCATGACATAATGTGACCAGTCGAAGCGAAGCAGCGCAGCGGGGATCAGGTATTTAACCCTCGTTTATTCTTCCTTTCTCCTTTCGTCCTCGCAACTTGGAATTACCCCTCACCCCGAACTATGGCGCCCGTAACGGCACCTATGAACTTTCTAGTCCGAGATAGCTTGTACGATGACGAGAGACCGTATCTTCTCATCTACGAACCGCCGGCAGGTTTCCCAAAGCAGAATATCAAGCTGGAAAAGCACACCGACTTGAGAATAGAGGATATTCGAGTCTGCAAGGACCAACCTTCGTTGGACAAAAATGGGTTTCAGATCACCAAGTTTAGCAGCAAGATGTCTCGCGCTGATTTCGATAACGAGGAGTTGGTGAAGACAGTCTATCTTAAAGAGGTTGTAGATCATGTGCAAGCTATCTTTGGGGCTCAAAAAGTCCAGATATTTGAGTACGTGCTGAGGAAGAGACACGAGCAGTTCCCTATCTCAACTGGGGAGCCGTACGAATTCAATCAGCCCACCTCGATCGCTCATGTTGGTCAGTAGTTGAACCATACCGACACCCGCTCTAGACTGACAAGTACAGACACGACACATTCTTGGACTGAAGAGATGGTTAAGCGACTGAACCCTGCCACAGCCAATCAGTTACTCGAGAGTCGTGTGTTGTGTGTCAAGTTAGTTAAAGCCAGCTTAATACCAGTATGCATTCTAACAGCTCTAGTGTGTGGAAACCTCTTCGAGGTCCTGTTAGGGATTGGCCACTAGCCTTGTGTGATCCCTTGACTGTTGATACGCAAGATCTTCACCCTGGGGATCTGGTTTATGACGACTACGTAGTTGAGAATATGCAGCTACACTACGACGACAACCAAAACTGGTACTATATAAGTGACCAAATGCCTGATCAAGCGTGGGTATTTGTTCAATCGGATAGTAATAACCATAGGCCTGGTGTACCTCACTCAGCTTTTCCACTTCCAGAAGACGAAAATCCTCAAATGCCACGAGAAAGCGTAGAGACGAGGTGCCTTGTATATATATGATGCTGATAGTCTGTCATGAAATACAACTTGTGTCCCTGCCGTAGTTTTCAATGAGTGTGTCAATAATGAAACTCCATCCAAATACAAATAGCTTCATTATCTTTTCCAAATTACCAACGGCTCAACGTCCTACATTTGTAGAGCCTCTCGGGTAGGTAATCAAGTACAACAACTTCAGCCTGTCGTTAGCAATGCATCTCTGAAGCTTATGACAAATTGACAATGAAACTCACAAGCGCACCAAATCTTCTGTTTCCTAAAACTACTTCTTCTCAGCGCCCGAACTTTCACATTCTATCTTCCAGCTGTCGTGAGCGAAAAAGTTGCCAGCATTTCCAGCAAGCTCGAGGACCTCGCCCTTCTTGAAACCGAACCTTTTCATCTGTGATGGGTCAGGGTTCTGGTTTGGAAAGACTGCAAGCCACGGTCGCGCTTTCTGCTCGTTCTTTACGTCTACGATGGTTTCGGCAAGGTTTGGCGATCTCTGACTGTCTGACATGTTGGAGCTGTTTCGGATTCAGATCTTGAGGTGTTGAATATATCGCTTTCTTTGTGTACGAATACTTTGTGGGGGAAAGCATTCACTTCTTTGGGGTGTGCTGTTGAGTCTGACAAACATGTGGTTGCTGCCACTACTGAACAATAGCCTGATGTACCTTACCGAGACCGAGCGTACTAATCTGATTCGTGGGAAGTCCTTGCAGGAAATCTCGAAGGATTATCATGCATAGAATGCAGAAAGCCCCGCACTTCAGTTCCTAGCCACATATTTGACCTATCTCACTCTTTATCTGTACCCAATGAGGAACGGAGCTAAGAATTTGGGGACATGTGATCCTAATGTGGAATGCCATCACTGAAATTTATTGTCGTGGAATCGTAATTTACGCATAGATGTTACGCCACGTAGGAAAGAGGGTTTAAGGGTAGTCAGATTAGCGTGCTCTTACATTCGAGACTGCCGAAGGCGGTCTCAATTCATAAGCAAAGAGCTGTTATTGAGATTATGTGTAGCTTAGAACTCGAGCAGGCATTTTAGCATCTCGACCACAACGCTTGAGATAACTAACAGACAACACCATTTGGAAATATAATGAAGTTGTGGGTAGTCACAATCAATTACAGATCTGTTTAGCCAACTTACTGTTCCGGTCGTTGAGTGATAAGCTGTATAAGAAGTGGAAAAGATTGCCGAGAGTGGATGAGATAAGAAGAGTATTGGCGACATCAGGACTCGCGGAGGGCTGCTGGACTACAAACAAAGGTGTTGTATTTCTCATGCTAGGTATTATAAAAATATACACACTTTTCCTTCCTCGCATCAAATTTATAGATCCCTCTACAATCTGCAATATGTACAGTACCGAATGCTCTCTTTTCCCAAGAACTCTTCAAATATTTCACTTCCCCAAAATCGAAGAGAGTATTGATTTTATATATTCCATACCCTCTACTCTCAAAGGCTTGGTCTCCATGGCGCAAGGCTGGTCCTCGGAAAGGACGAAGTCCAGTGGCACATCGAACATATGCTTCTCCCACTTCGAAGCATTCCACAATCTTGGAATGCCCACGTTGGGGTCTACATCAGAAATAAAAGATATAATCATGCTACTCATCAGATCTGACAAACGAAAGTATGCCGGCGACTTGCTTTGGAAGGGACATGGCTCAAATCCAGTGCATAGCGTGTTGTGAAACATCACAGCTAGATCGGCAGCGTGGGTGGCACCCCGGCGTGGGTCCCACCCATACGGTATGGCATCGAATCGGCCACAGTATGTTGCGCTGAACTTGGAGAAGGCGTCACAGGTCAGTCTATGGGGTGCTACGTTCTCCATATCGCCTAAGATATAGGCAGCTTCAGTGAAGAAACGCCCCATTTCGTCTTTGTCAGTTTCTCCAGCCCATGAGGGTTGAACGAAGGGCGTATTGCTGCGTCTCGGCGTTGAAAGTTCAATCTCGCCAGTGGACAGAGGTAAGTATAGCTCGGTGAGTTGTCCTGCCACATTCAGTGGCAGATTGCGTTCCTCTGTTGCAGCAGTACTTAGAAAAATAGTTTATAGAACAACTCACAGATAAAGCGTTAGGAAAGGGGACTTACCAATCAAAAATGCCTTTACGCCCTCAAGAGAATCAAGGCCTTTGGGTGTATATCCACCACCTTCATTTGACGTAATTGTGCTCAAGATTGGCACCTTCACGAAATGATTCGCTTTTATTTCCAAGCTGCCGAATCCTCGAATAAAGTCACCGTCCACTACGGGATGTGTAAAAGCGCCCATGTAAGAAGCGTCGAAACCCCGACTATTGTTGAAGACGGCATTGAGTTCTTCGAACGGCAAACTCTGCAAACATACAAAAGGGTCTGAGGTTTGGCGACAGTCAGTTAAATAGAGGAGCTTGTCATATGCATCCTGTGCCGAAGGTGTGTGCGACCCTAGACTTGTCGTAGCTGGGCTGCCGCTGGTCATGATCACAGCACGGAAGAGGTGATCATCTCGTCCACCGTAAGCTGTAAGGTGTATTCCAACATTTTCGGCGCCCGAGCTGGCTCCCCACAGGGTGACTTTGTCTTTGTCTCCGCCGAAACCTTCAATGTTTTCCTGGACCCAATGCAGTGCGAGACGCTGGTCCCTCAAGCCCACATTCGTGTTTCTCGCGCCAATAACCTGACTACTCGACATAAATCCAAAGATTGATGAACGATAATTCAGGGTCACAGCAATTATTGGCTTGCCAATAGCAATTGACTGTGCAACAATCCAGGTGAGATTAAATCGTTGATCATTCGATCCCCCATGCTCGTAAGCTCCCCCGTATATCCATACCACGACAGGTAACTTCTTCTTTAGCCCTTGCAAATGTGGGCGAAAGACGTTGACTGTCAAGCAGTCTTCATCAAATGGTCTGGGAGTGTGCATGTCTCCATCCTAGGTCGCTATGTCAGAATTTGGTATCTTGGATGATCGACCATTAAGTTGCCAACGAAAGAGATCGGGTACGACTTACATAATATCCAACGCATTGCGGGCCAAAATCTGTCGCATTCATAGTGCCTTCCCAAGTTGTGTTGATGAAAGCTGGTGGAAGAAATCGAAGACTTCCGAGTGGGGGCTGGGCGTATGGAATTCCCAAGAAGTAGTCCTGAAAATATTTCGCGTTATGAATTCCAACATACGAACCATTGCGCGATTTAGCAATTGGTGATGCACTACTCTCACTGAGAAGCTCCTCTAAGTTTTTTTGCGTAGAACCTAACTTCCAGGTGGCATTGTGTTGAACTTTGAGGAATGTACCAAGCGTTATTACCGCCACAAGTGCAATAGCCAGAATGGTGAGAATCCATGAACAGAGATCCAAGGCTGGTCTGGTGATCTTTGTCCTGTTGCTCCGGGACTTGACCACTCCCGACTCAAGCTGACAGTCAAGGAAGGGCGTGTCTGGTGAGACCATCCTATAACCGAGAATGAATGGAACAGATGAGAGACAGAGCTGACCGAGGTGATCGTCTGTTTTTCCCTATCTGTGCTTCCATCTAAGGAAAGAGTGAGGAGTCCGGTTAAGAGAGGAAATAGCTCGATGGGAAGAATTATCGAAGCGCGGTCATTCAGCACTGGATAATTCCGCGGAGGATGCGTCTAGTTCACTTTATTAACAAGAGGGAACTGTTATTCATATTTCTTGGGACTCTCATTGTGACTGGGTTGTTGTCGTTTCATGCGCTAAACGAAGTAGAGTTCTGGCTCGCTTAGGAGGGGGAAGTCAGAATTGTTCCCTAAAAATAGCTGGGGGTGGCACAGCGCTGGAAGGAGTTCCAACCGGCTAGTGCATGTACTGCATTGTAGATCTCAGGATCGAAATGCGGCAGACACCCTAGCTGTCATAATGCAATTGATCTCAATCCGCATACCTTCTGCTTGTCAAACCCAAAGGACGCGCATTTCTGTGAAGACTTTTAGATCTCATAATTAGATCTTCATGGGCCGCATTTACGTAAGCTAGCCGCACGAGAGACGTTGATTGAGTGTTCGTTTCCACCTCTTTGGGTGTCGGGTCGAACACAAAGCGGACTTTTCAGGCCACAGGCCAATGACTGCCATTTCGAATTACGATCAACGACATAGCCTGATTCATCTTCATCGAATATGGCCAGACGAGCACCTCCAATTTGTGCTGCCATCTTGGTTACATTAATTTTATACACCACGGCACAACAAAGAGGGCATGCCATGGTTCCGTCTCTGTCAAGTGTTCGAAATAGCACTCTTGGGGTATGTTCAATCATTTAAGCCTTCTTGGATCGAAACTAAGTACGGAAGTTCGAGCTCATCCTCGCTGTATCAACGGGCGGTTCTTGGAGGCGCGATGGCCTTCTTGAAGCAGCTGAGTTGACAGGGTTTCATATTCAAATGCCCCAACAACCCACTTGGGCAGATCAAGATACACAGCAGTTCACGAGGCAGACCTCCCGAACTTCAGGCAAGAAGCTTACGCTCGGTGAGGCAGGGTGTTGGCTCGGCCATTTACATCTTCTGAAGTATATCGCGACCGCGAATCAAGACACCGCGTTAGTCCTTGAAGATGACGTCGATTGGGATGTTGCACTCAAGGACCAACTCGAGCTCGTCTCGCCACTGATCCGAACGTTCTCCGATACTGATCTTTCTACTTCGAAAGAAAACATGGAGCCGTATGGCACAGACTGGGACCTCCTCTGGCTGGGCCACTGTGGCGACATTATTCCTCGCTCCGGTGTACAGAGTATCTATGACACATCCCTTCCCGTAGACGGAATCTACACTGAAAGTGACGGAAGCCAGACTCGCTTTCCCCAGTTCACTCGAATGGTACACCGTTCCGTGTCCCCAATCTGCAGTTACGGCTACGCTGTCACAGGTCACGGTGCAATGCGAATATTGGCTCTTGTAAGCAGCGGGGTAGACGCGCAAGTCAGTGAGCAGTATCAATTCTGGTGTAAACATGGTAACTTGAAGTGTATAACGGTCAATCCCGAACTTTTCCATCATCACAAGCACGCTGGGACTTTTGCCAGTGAGATTGATGCAGTGGATGGCTGGAGGGAGGATAGTGATTTGGAGGCGCATAGTTATACGATCAATGTTCGGAACAGCGCACGGTGTCAAGCACAGGCTAGAAGAGGTGCACCTTGTAGTTGATTGTAGCAGTGATCAAGTGTTCTTAGAAATTAGTGATAGAACTCAAGACGAAGTTAATGACTAAGACCGTTGTAGTCAAAAATTGATTGGATAAATGCTTTGTCCGGCAGCAGATAGCAATAATCGTGAGAAAAGCTTGCGATAGTGTCTCGAGACATATAGAACACCAACGAAAGAGCGATTAGTTTTATTATTTGCACAGGCAACGATATTGAAGGTTCATTTCCTTATTTTGGGGTCCATTCAAAAGGAGAATTTCTCGGTACACAAGAAAACTTTCAACTACTAGACGAGAAAAAAGGGAAACAATTCATGGCAAGATACGATAAAGAAAAGTTAAGCGCCCACAGCACCCATCTCCTAATCTCTGAGTCGGTATGATAGTTTCTACTAGGTTGAAAGATTTGATCAAGGCTCGCGCTTGACGCGTTCTCCTGGGTCCCGCTTGATCCTCTCTTCTGGGACTCGCTTAATACGTTCCTCGGGCTCTCGCTTGACCCTCTCCTCTGGATTCCGCTTGATACGTTCCTCCGGCTCGCGCCTGATGCGCTCTTCGGGCTGGCGCTTGACGCGCTCTTCGGGTTCACGCTTGACTCTCTCCTCAGGCTCACGCTTCACTCTCTCTTCCGGCTCTCGCTTGACCCTTTCTTCTGGATCGCGCTTGACGCGCTCTTCAGGTTCACGCTTGATCCTCTCCTCTGGATCCCGCTTGATTCGTTCTTCCGGCTCACGTCGATTAAGTGCAATGACTCCGGGCTCTCTTTTCAGAGCGAGAGCTGGAGCACGCTCCAAGAGAAGCTCCACATCTTCAGGTATGGAAAGGGCAGGAGCTGCGACTGTAACAGCAATAGTGGCGAGCAAGATTGCAACAATCTCAGAGAAACGCATTTTGTCTCTTGATGCTGATACTGTTAGCTTTGAAAACAAGTTGTGCGTAGTAACTATCGCCGGTCTAGTACTTACTGTGTGTAAAACAGGGATTGGTCACTGACAGACGAAATTTGGGTTTGAGATGGACAAATTTGATTGAAGGCTGAAAGATGGACTTGGAATGTATCTCAGTTCACCCGCGAAGGAAGAACTTCTTATCCTGTATTTTTCCTGACTTGGTGCTAGACAAAAAAGAGATCGATCTCCCGCTGTTACCACAATGCACCCACGTTTTTTATAATCACTCCACCCGAATCTCTAGGATTACACTCCTTACCACAGCGTATGAATCCTTCCTCGAAAATAACGGATTATGTCGCATGCATTAGGCTGCAGTGAATTCTGGGTGTAGTTTCTGTGATGGAAATAGACATCCAAGCTCAAAGGTTTTGGTGATACCCCATCACCTAATTCTCGCTTACCTCGTTAGTTATGATTCAGGGGCTGAGCTTTGGCTCGGAGGATCAGAAATTATGTCTGTGCCTTAGCTGAACACTTGGCGACTCGCTCCTATTTGTCAACGGCGCGGGAAGCAAAATCCTGCATCTTTAAACAATAAGCCCTGAAAGCTCTCTTACAGAATGAGGATTCCAAGAAGACGCGTCGTGCTAGTTTAATAATGCATTGTTTCAATAGTCTGGTCAATGATGCCGAGAAATAGTAAGCACGGGAAAAGCCAGCCAGTAAAATTTATAGAAGTCCAACCCGTCTGATGCCCGCTAGACGCGCAGTATCCGTTATTGCGGAGGGTTGAGTTCAAAGCATGATAACACGGCATAGAGGGAATGTGAGGGAAAATGAGGCCGCGTGGATTTGTTTAAAATTTCCATGAAACGAAGGAACGAAGGATTGTTTTCAGAAATATCTTACAAGAATATTTTTAGAAGCGTGTACAACGATATTTCACCGGGAATGATACTGTTCATGCACTATAGCATGACACGCAAGAATCCTGAGGAAATGGGCATATCATGAGCGCATTATGTGAAATACTCACGATGAAGACATTTAAACAATTTCTCATCGAGATACGTTCTCAATCCAAAGTTTTTGTGGAATCATCGGCCCCACTTGTACTTAATTGATCACAGTCGAAAGTGCCCAAAGAGCCACTCTGTGTAAGAGAGCGAGTAATACTCCAATAAAGAATGGCAACCACTTTGCCCGTACCAAAAAGGAGAATACGTAAGTTATCACATCAGATTCACTTCCCTCACATTTTTAATTTCCCCGTGCAGTACTCTTATGTACCACCCTGGTATATTGTTTCCTTACAGCAGCTATTACATTTGGATATGCACCACTCAAGCCGATTTTGATCCAAAATGGCTTCTATCAAGGTTCTTGTCACGATCTTGATGCTTCCGAGGAATATCCTGAAGGGCAATCCTGCCCTGAACAAGTATTGAGGTGCGTAATCTAAGAATTGTGGTGAGCTGGCTCTGATTTTGACGTTCCAGGTTGGACTCAATGTTTACTATTGCAGCTGCTGCTACACATCTGGGTGCTCTCCCAGTAGGCAGCTTTCTTGATCGATTCGGGAGTAAAGCCACTGGCTACGCGGGGAGCGGGTTGCTAGCTCTCGGCGCTATCCTCTTCCCACGAGCATCTGTAAACCTCTTTGACGCACCGCTTGTGGGATATGTTTTCCTCGCTCTTGGTGGCCGCTTCGTCTTCACCTCATCTTTGCACCTGCATGGCTTGTTTCCAAAGCATTCCAACTTAGTGGGAGCATTTCTGGCTGGATCTTTTGACGGATCCTCGGCTGTGTTCCTTATCTTCAGCTATTTCCATGATAGTAGTAGAGTGTCCCTTGAGCACTTTTTCACGGCATATCTGTCCGTGCCAATCTTTGTGTCTTTGGTCCTATTTATTCTCATGCCGACACAAGTGACTCATGTTAGACTGGCATCCAAAGACGCATGTCATCTTGAAGCTGAGTCTGTTCGAGCCAGGAACATTTCCGAAAAGACAACTAGCATCTCATTGATAGATATTGGTAAAGAGGACCTCGGAGACGATGTCGCTTGTCTACTACCAGGCTACGAAAGCGAAGAAGACGCAGAGATCCAAGAAAAGGCGCAAGGAACAACTACCGAAGAGTACAAATTCATTCGATTATCTAGCGAATGGCCTCGGCTTCATCGTCGTGCAGCAATGCAACAGATGAAGACATCGTGGTTCTTCATCCCAGCAGCATTTACAGCTGTGCAAATCTTGCGGATCAACTATACCACCGCCACGATCCGACTTCAATATTCATATTTCTTATCCTCGAAAGCTGCAGCCGACTCATTGGCTGACCTTTACGGCTTCGCTCTCCCTCTAGGTTCACTGCTCAGCATTCCTGTCAGCGCTTGGGTTGTGGCACAAGGCAACATAGTATCAATCTGGCTCATCGTCGTTTCGTCAGGGACTCTCGTTGGATTGATTGGCTGCCTCCCGTGGGAACTCGCCGGAACGATAAACATCTGGTTGTCAGTAATTTACGCGCCAATGTTTATCGCCGCATTGATAGACTATATCAAATGTGTCTTCGGACTGGCGACCATGGGTACAATCTTTGGGTCTTTCTTGTTCGTATCCGGTATCGTTGGTCTAATCCAAGGCCCTCTGGAAGATCTTACTGCGGTCCATTTCGAGAACAACCCACTCCCTATCAACATGGTCATGACTTCGCTCACGCTTCTACTCGGAATAAGTCTTACGTTATTCATTTTTTGCAACACGACGAGGAAAGCCCGATCGACACAGGTCGTCTCAACTGCATAGATGGATGAGTTATCTGGGTATGGCAGAGAGCGATAATTGCACGTACATGTTCAACCATGTTTAGAAAGTGTGAGGGAAGCTAGGCAACAATATATAGATTGGACGCCTTGATAGAGTCCTACTACTACTGACTGAACTCTTGCGGCCTCAACTTTATCATCTCAGACCTGTGTTGCGATAATTCACAGTGGGCCCCGTCTTCATTGTCTCCGTACAAAAACACACTATTCAGGCTAAGGAGCGCCCCTAAGCGAAAATTCCAGGCTCACCAATGCCCCAAACTCAGGGCACGGCTGCTGGACGTTAACGCTGCTGAGTACCCCAGGCTTAGAAAGTGTGTTTAACACATCTTAGAGGATATGGTGTTCATCTTGAATAGTAGTATGCACTGAGTATGGTCACGTAAAACAGCACAACATTTTCATAGGTTGAATTTATCACTCCTTAATGATCGTGAACATCTAGGGTTCTCTTTGATGCAGCGTCTCCAACACACTCCTTCGCGGGGCTTTAAGCTAAGCTGGCGAGGAGTAGGAAGGCTGAGTTTTTGGATCTTTTGGCGAGGCTAAGGAAGGCTAGTATATATTTTAGCGAAGAGTAGGAAAGTTAAGCAAGCTAGCTTTAAATGCGATTTTTAAGAATTTAAACGAAATTAAAGTGCGAGTTTAATTTCCGAATTAGCTACTTTTTTGTTTGGTTGAGTCAGCTTGGTTCCCCCTTTCAGAGGCGAAAGAAAATGCGAATTGCGCAAAGCGCACAAAACGCGCCAGATGCGCGAACACTTCCTCTAAAGTCTCAGACGATAATTCAGCCCACTAAATTCCACTTCCGTCTTTGGACCTGAGCAGTCGCTGCCCTAACCTGAGCCGAGCCCAGAGCCCCTGAGCACGCTAATGAGTCAGCTGGATTTTGCTCAGGGGATCCTTTCCAGCCCCCGCCGTGAATCGGCTATAGTTTCCATGTTATTTATATCTGGAATTATGCAGATCCCGGTCGCCTGCCCGTAGCAGAGCCACCTCTCCAAGCTAAGATACGGTGACCGTTTTCGTTCCCTTATCACAGTTATCAATGGTCCCTGGAGCCGGTTCAGGCCCCTCGTCACGTGACCTATAAGCAGAGGGAGGCATCCTTAACTCACCCTTAACGATTTATATATAAGAATATATATTAACTTCTCTTTGCCGAGCCCTAAGAATTGATATATTCGTGTTATAACAGCTGTTTCTTCGCTGCCACAGCCATTGCGGACCTTTGAGTGGCTCCTCGTCCTGTTAGAATATCAACATTTGAGTTTTTATAATGTGGCTGTGGGAACACAACACTTGTATTGCTACTCGTGTTGACACGGGGTCTTAGCAATTGGGCAAATAACAGTAGACACAAGCAAGTTCATAAGTCCATCCTTATATGTTCACAACTCCGAGACTCGGATCCGAATTTATAAGTCACACGCAAGTAGCTTTTTGAAGTGATGGACTGGGAGGCTCGTCAACTCTCCTTCTCTTGTAGATTTCCCTAATACATCTGAATACAGCAGTCCAGTGGGAGTCCAATTCTGATTTATAAGCATGAAATGCCAACTCGTGATAGTGGACGGCAAGTGTAAAACTATGGCCCTATCAATCCTCGGTATTACACATATACTAAACCAATATAAAACTACACTCTATGCCCTAAAATTTATTTGATTTCTAAGATATAAAGATTCCTCCGTATATACCGCAATAACCCCTTTCGTTTAATAATACATAAAACAACCAGTACTCATGATCTAAATCTTTTATACAAAGTTTGAAGTATTTTCAAACTCTTGATAGAAGTGCTTAACAGCCAACAAAATGCTATTTACACTCACCTTCACCCACTTTACATCTTTCCTCGGTCCCTGTGCAAAAGGGGAATGGGATCCCTTCCTCTCGGCATCTGATCCGGAAGTGCACTGGTTTATTGGCGATCCTGATCTGAATAGTAAATACTCTATAGGAGTTTACGTGCGTTTCCCCTCTAATTACCTTAAGAGATATTTGCTGGGCAAGAGCTAAAATCGGAAACAGAATGTCGAGTCCTAGGAGGAGAAAATCAGGGCTCCATTACCTAATGTGTTAGCAACGCCTCTACGGGTGGAGATCGATGAGATGGATATAGTGGGTTTAAAGGCGATTGTTAAGTATAGTGGGTATGCGACGTTAAAGAATGGGAAACCTTATAATAATAAGTGGGTTTCCGGTCTCGTGCTATTTCGGTTCATTGCGCTATGAGAAAATTAGTAAAAGGACGAGAATGACAGGCTGATAGGGAATGAGCAGGTTTTGCTGGATTTTAATCTTCGATGTGGAGACGGGGAAGGTAGTAAAGATTAGGGAGTATCTCAATACTGCGCTTGTGAAGGAGGCTGCTGAGGGTTGGAGATTGGGAGGTTGATTGAGAAGGACTACATGGAAGTTGGACAATAGGGATATTGATGTAGCTGTAGGAGGAAGGAGATATGTGTGAATCTATATTTACCTGGTTCGCGGACCGGGACTTGTACTTCAGTAGATTGATTATGCCTGCGTTTCTTCAAGTCCAAGCTTCTTCTTAAAACAAAGCTACAGCTTTATTTTCTATGTTATTCTGTTAAACTAAAACTATATGGCTACACCTGCCTTGGATAATATTTTTTTTAGCGATGGAGTCGGCGGAGATACCTTCAAGCAGATGTAGGCTTATCAGGTATTTGTTCCCAGTGCGGGGATTTCGGGTCAGTTCGAGTTCGGGTTCTGCTTTGGCTTTGTGCTTCCAAGGTGTATCCTTAACAGTGCAAGTACTGCTCTCAAGTATCCCTAAATAGACGCTACCGATTTCTAGATGCTAGCTTCTATCATGTAAGTAACGAAAAATATGGGTAGCTTGTAGCATGGAATTTTGCTAGTCAATGTAACTAAAATATACAAACCAATGTCTCTAATCCCTTCCCTATTCAATCAAGAAACCTTCCTAGACCCTCATCCATAAGCTCAGAACCCCTGTTGCATACTCCGCGATCTCTGATGACCCAAGCTTCGACTCCCCGTATACACGGTCTACAAAGCTAATAGGCACCTCAGCGACAGAGTATCCCATTGCCTTCGCTAATACCATAAGTTCCATCTGGAACACATACCCTTTGCTTTGCACCTTCGTGATAACCTTTTCCAACACGTCCTTTTTGTATAACCTGAAGCTGCCAGTGAGGTCACTTACACCTGGACGGAGTACAGTATCCGCGAAGATGTTTGCACCTTTTGAGACAAGCTTCCTCTTTAGATCCCAGCCGTAGACGCCTCCATGCTTTCCAGAATATCTTGTACCGGTCACAATGTCATAGTCTTTCGTCGATTGAACTCGAATCATATCAGGTATGAACTTGGGGTGATGGCTAAAATCGGCGTCCATGATGATCACAAAATTTCCTGTAGCGAATTGGACTAAGAATAAGAGGTTAAATCAATGCAGAATAGCCTTCATGTGGGATTCTCTTACGACCGTGAACGTACGCGGTGCCCAGTCCAAGCTTCCCCGAACGCTGCTTGAGGATGATCCGGTTGGGAAATGCCGTCTGCAGTTGTCTTGCAATTTCAGCGGTATTGTCTGGACTGGCATCATCGACAATGATGATTTCGTATTCAAAACCACTATATGCTGTCAGATATTATGATTTTGTTAGATCTTTGACAGATCGCATATCATACTTCTTCGTGAAGCTGTCGTTGAGCAGCCAGACAATAATGGGCAGGTTCTTCCTCTCGTTGTAGGTCGGTAAAATGACGGAATATTTGTTTCTAGGAGCCATTGGTTTGGGTTGCTGTGAAATGAAGTCGACTGCGAGGGGTTGAAGTCGATGCCCGCGAGGGATTGAAGTCGATGCCTGCGAGGGGTTGAAGCTGAAAACAGTAGAAAGTCTACTGAAGGACGCGTTCAGGACCGACGCGCCAAACTGCGGCAGGTTGTTCCAACACCCTGTTCATATATCACATGATCTAGCGAGGAAAAGATAACGCGAAGTGAAAACGATAGATGCCTGAGGCTGAAGTGCTAGCTACTCCGTCGGTTCCCTCGCTACTCTCACACCTCACTGATTCTACATCACTTTCTCCCACACTTCCCCTTCTCGGTGTTCCCCCTGTGAAGTCCCTTCCACTGGCGTCAATGATCTTCGAACCCTTTTTCGGTCTTTGATCTTCGTCTTCGCTGTCAATGAATTCGGCCTTTTCAACTTTTGTCTAAGTCGCTTCATTTTTCATTACCATCTATATCTTCATCTCACTAACCTCGACTCCCTCTTCCGTGTCGGGTCCCTCTGGGCCTCTTCCGCTCGGTCATCGTTTAGGCCGTTGATCTCACTAAGGTCAATGTCAATGACATGGAAATAATTTTCAATCTTCCCAGGAATTTGAGAGCCTTCTAAGTTGGCGAAAAGATATTTGATAACTTTGATTAGCATCTCGACGTCTGGACCGGCGTAATGAGCTTGCGCGAGCAGCTCATCGTCTTCGGCATACAGAATCGCGAACAAGTTCCCCAGACTCAAGCCCAGATTCTCAAGCTTCAGAGCCGCCCTTATCCTTCGAAACCAAAGGAGAGGACGGCGTTCCGTCGTTGGCATAAGTGGAAGTAAGTGTTCAAAGCCGACAGACACTAATCCTGCATATACTCCTAGCCAATCGATGTTGTATGATGACCATTCGAACCATTCGACAATAGGTCCTTCATTCGTGATGTAAGATTCAAGCTCCTGCCCAAGTTCCTTCCTTGTCGCCGTTCGTTTTCCGTTGCCTCGAGCTTCTGTTTCGTCAGCGTCGCCGTAGAATTTGCTGAACACAAGATTATTCACAAGTGTTCCTGCATTTGCCTCGAATAGTTCCCTTTTTGTGATTTCATGATTAATGATTGTTGGTGGAATGATCCATTGTCCATTCGCATTTGCAATGGCAATTTGAAATACGTTCAAATGGGTTATTGAGCGACCTAAATTGCATGCCTCAATATCGCAAATAGCGACGTTTTTCGGCAGCTGTGCCCATGTGTGCATTGATTCGGCTATCGAGGAAGATTTCCAACGTGATACCTGCCCGTCTCTGTGAAGAAGAACACGCCGGAAGCGCTGCTTTTCGACTTCTGTGTTTTCTTGGCGCTGTTTGTTCAGATTACGCATTTCAGCGTGTTTTTTGCAGTGGAGGAGGCCATTTACTCGAGGACGAGGACAAGGAGTACTAGTTATATGCTGCAGCCAGCTGCAGAACCCACTCTGCCCTAAGGCAAGTCTCTTCTTCGATAGCACGCTGGAGCAAACTGGTCGATGGTCAGGATATTCTGTCTTGAGTACCGGCTTGATACAACAGTGGCAGCGCACAAATCGGCAAAGGTGGATAGCATCATTCATGAGCCGTCTTCGACAGTTTGGGCAACGTATCATGTTACACTCATGTTGATGTCGAGTGAATTCGCTCTCCCGGATGCCACTTTTGCCGCATTTCCAACAGTACTTCTTTCCGCACTCCTGTTGCAAGTGTTGAAGGAATTCTTTCTTCAGGATATTGCCTTTCCTGCACTGCCAACACCTTTTTACTTCACACTTAAGTTGGTGCTCCGGAAAGTCCTTCTCCAAGAGAGACTTTTCACAACTAGAGCACACTTTCCTGCCACATTCGTGAAGATCACCAGCCAATACTCTGCGCGAATATTTCCTGCACACCTTGAGTTTGCACCCAGCGATATGCTCATTAAGCCGTTCTATCTGAATGGATTTTGAGCATCTTGGACACCGCGACGCCTGAGGACCGAGACAGTTGTGTGTTGTACTGCCTAACGGGTTTGATCTGCCATATTTATTACAACGAACAAATTTACAGTCTTCGCGATGTGACTTAAGTTGATCAGGTGGTAGTGACTTGAAGCAATTAGGGTATTGCTTTTTAGCGATATGGTGTTTCTTCGGACAATCATGGGTTATGTCCAAAGGTATTCCCTTCTTGCAAGTGGGGCACTTTCTGTACTTGCAGTATCTGCTGTGTGTATCGATCTCTTCTGCCAGAACTTCTTTACAGCATTTTCTGCACCGCAGCTTAGGCCTCGGACATTTATGAAATGTATCTGGAGGTATTCCGGTCTTGCAGATAGAGCATTTTTTAAACTTGCATACCTCACTATGCTCATCAATTTTGTCGAATGGGAACAGTTTCCCGCATTGCCGACATTTTTGCTTACGGAGTCGTGGTGGTGGCTTTTTGGGACAATCATGTCTTTGACCTGGCCCCTTCTACGTTAAAAAAAAATTCCGCCTTACGAGATTAAGATGTATTTTTGAAAGAGGTCTTATGCGGGCTTTCAGGAACCTGTTTTGGTCCCCCTATAAATAATTAAGTAGAGTTTGACAACTTTCGTACTGTAGAGCTGAGCAGTACACAATAATGATTGGCCACTGAGAGGGAGAACAGGGACGTGACTGAGCAGCCTGAGCAGAGGGTGAGGCGAGGGTGAGTAGCGCCTGAGCAAAGCGGCGACGCTGATTAACCGAGATGGGAGCGAAAAGACAAAATTGTCGTCTGAGACTTCCTGTTAAAAAGATCAGGCAGGACAACAGCGATCGAATAAGATCCCATTGTTCCTAAAGAATGGGCATCGAGTTTGTCGGAATTGTTAAAGGGCGGGAGAGGTTAGAGGCCATATAGGTAAATTTAGAAAAATGATAATTACTACTTCATCGTACCATTCACTCTAGTAAGCATAAATATGGCATCAATAAAGCCACCATATTTAAGAATAGCAAGGTGGGATTACAGCAAGTTTGAAGTAGCGAGTGAATTGTTATATATTCGTAGTGATTGAAGCTTTGCGAAATTCAATAATGATTGAGTGTCTCATATTTTCCGTCATCATTGAGCTATCCGTGTGACATGACCGAGCTTGACACCAAAAATCTTCCGCAGCGCAAGAGCCGACTATCAGCAGCAACCAGCACAGTCTCCGCTACAGAACTGTATAGAAGTCAGTAACTTGTTGAAGCGCTGTTGCGAATAAGTTTAGAGTATGCTTACAGTGGGGCAACCGCATCCAGGAGGGTCCTCGCAACAATCCTGACGTTTCTCGAGCGACAAGGCTTGAAGTGGATTCGGAGAAGAGCGTTTGGCTTCGTCCGAGGAGGCAGCAAGAGCCATGGAGGCCATGAGAGTAACGAGGATAGCTGCAAAGCGCATTTTGTTGATTTTCGATCCTTGAAGTTCAAAGAGATGTGATTGTGAGGAAGATGGATTTGGAATTTGTAAGTTGCAAACACTGAGCCCTTTATATACTTCATCTCGACGATTCTGTGCCTCGAATCCTTCATGCCTACGTATTGCTTCAAACAAGTAGCATGTTGAGGCCTGTGGTGTAAGGTGAGGAAAATGGAGATAGTGGTCTACCGACGTTTGGATGCGCCCGGACAGAAGTCAGTGCAAGTTTGAAGCAATTTTGCTAAATGCGAATTTATCCGTATTACGAGTAGCCCAATCGTTCTGTCGTTATCGCAATGTATCGCTTGTGTGCAACTCTTTCCCAGAAGCATCGTCAGCTTATGGACTATTCAATAATGAGGTTCACTGCTTGCAGGTATCCCAAAAGATTTATCTGGGGAAGATCATCCTATACTAGGAATAACACCCCACCTGTCAGCTAACACTGACAGGGCTCACCTTCGAATACGAGGGATCCTCAGGGTCACATGTATTGTTCGCATTGTATTGGCAAATCGCTATTCGCTATCAGAGGCGATGTGATTCGGTGCTTATGTTTTATGGGCCCCCTCGCCGTGGGAGTGCGTTAATGCGGTAAATTTTCAATTGGTGACTTACATTATAAGTTTGGAACCGAGGTTCTTGTGCCTGTCAGTTTCAGGCGCCAGTATACTCAATTCACGTAAGATAATTCTCTACCAACCGGACTTCCTTGGATCTGACTAGCATTTGACTCCCCTAAGCTAATGATCCCTGAATTCTACGTTCCTTTTGTCTCTACTACTTCTCCACGACGACGGGAGTATAGTACTGGCAGACAAATTTCTACCAGCTACCTATCGCCGCGTATATTCCATCATCACTTGAGCATTGGCTGACACGCAATTATAGTGCTTCTTAGTTGAGTAGGGTAATTTCTAATGAAAAAATGACACTTGACTTGGGGAAAAAGTTCGCAACAGCATCCATGTCCTAAGAAAAGCGATACCAAGATGAAAGTACATCGATGGAAATATGGAAACGGGGAAAATAAAAACTAGTCCAAAGTTGAACATATGCGATTTGGGATGTGTGTCCAAAACAGGCTAAACATCTGTCAACTTGTTACGCACCTATGCATACTTGGAATTGCTAGAACAGTTGCAGATACGAGACGGTCTCTACGATCTTCGATGGAGGTAAGGAGATAGCGTTATCAGGATCAAGCTGAATAAGGACATGAAAGCTTACGGAAGAAAGAGCTTGGTCAAGATACGCGTATTCCTTGGAGCGAATTTAGTTATCTTGAGCAAGTGGAAGCTGGCACGAAGAGTTAAATTTTGAAATCCGAGATCGGCTTTACAGAAATTACTAAATTGCAGGTCTTAATACTTTCGGTTGTTAGGACGCAGCAGACGGTTGATATCCAAGTCGTTCGTCGCTCAAACCTTGCTATAACCTTCATTTATTGTTAGATCAGTTGTGTCCGGGAAACCTGAAAGCTTTTAGTACAGGAGATTGGAAGTTGTAGTTGGGAGGGAGGAAGGCTGGAGAGATGAAAGAATGTTTTATAGAGAACGGTAATATGAGCCTTCGAAACACACCTTCGGCCAAGAGAGTGTAGTAAGAGAGAAGTCAGGAAGAAATTAACATTGCAAGAAATCATGACTAAGAGCGGAACAAAGTTAAGCGAGGCCGACGCTGAACCCAGTCCCTTCTCATCCTTTGCACGCTCCAACCATAGAACCTCACTATGTGCACCTGAAAATGCGGACATCCCTCCGTAGGTCTTGTAATGCCTGTGTAAAGGCGAAACATCGTTGCGACCTCCAAATACCCCAATGCTCGCGATGCATGAAGAGAAAATCGCGCTGTCTCTACACGAATGAACCAGCACCTTCGAGACCACATGATACCTCCACGGGAACGTCAGGAACTCGCAAGCTTGCGCTCGAGAACGAATTCGATGTGTCTTCCGCTACCGGAAGAAATGTTAGAGTGACGCCTAGGCGGTTTGAGAGCTTGGTACGGCTGGAGAATCCATCGAATGAGTATTTAGATCCATTTTCTGTCTACCCCGCGACGAGGCTTCCTCGGACACATGTTCAACGTCTCATCCATCATTGTAAGTCTTTCTCCATCGTTATCGAGAACAAGCAAACTAAAACTACTAGTCTTATCAAACATCGCTTTCCAATACTACCCTCTGGACTTGAATGCAGATTCAAATCCATTTCTAGTCTCGTGGTGGCCGCTGGCCCTTCAAGATCCAGCCCTTTTCCATGTCTCGCTGCAGACGGCATCCCTAGATGAAGAAGTGCGGGCTCAAAAAGGGTTTCCAATCTCAGAGCTTCTTATGGTTGATTCTGTGTCTCTGGTGAGACGCAAAATTGAAGATTCTTCCTTGGCATTCCAGGATGAAACGCTGAACTCTGTTGTTACCTTAGCAGCAATTGAAGTGAGGATGTATTCCCGGATGTGGCTTTGACTCTGGACTGCTAACGTTCATAGCACGGAAAGGGACACATCCAAGCGAGCAGAATGCACATTGACGGAGTCAAGCGAATAGTTGATGTCAGAGGCGGAATTGACAAGGTTAAGTGTTCAAGTCCGCTTACGGCACGAATGGTTTTATGGTGAGCTTTGAACTCCTGAGGTTAGAATGAAGTGCTAAACAGTTCATGTTAGGGTGTCTCTACTGGTCACGGGAACTCCTCAATTCCAAACTCAGGACGATTCTGGGGATAGAACTGGGATTGGCCCAATACCGCAGTGGCATCTTGCTTCGAAGGATACACCTTCCCAACAACTGACTCTGGATCACCTTGATATCAACCCTGTCATGAGCAACATTTTGAGCCATCTCCGCAACATATTTCACGATCCCCACCTTTCAAATTTGACAACTACTGAGCTACATGATCTGACATGCTACGTCGTGCATAAGCTCCTGCTATTACCTCCATTCTCGACTGTGGATACAAAGCAGTCATCTACTTCGGAATGTCTTCGATACGCATTAGCGCTTTACATGCTGATTATTCATGGAACGACATACTACTCTCACGTGGACATAGAGAATGCCATCATGGTCCAGTTGAAAACCAATCTCAAGACATTGATCTGGACAAACGACTTCGACTCGCTCAAACTATGGTTCATCTCCATCGGTATGGCAGCTGCAGGGGATACAGCGGACCACCAATGGTTCCTCGACCAAGCTTGCATAGCCACAACAGCTCTCGGTCTACAAGTATGGGATGATGTCCTTCTTCGACTGCAGAGCATTCTTTGGATCAGGATGCAACAAGGAGCTTTGTTTCAGCAGAGGTGGGAGGAAGTCTTGATATCCCTGAAGAATTAAATGCCAGCTATTGGCACGTCGCATTCCGATTCCCTGACCGCAGATGGAATCTGAAGTATGCTCGAGGTCTATCTCTCCCAGAAGCATGATTTGTGATTCGGAGTCTAGAACTAAATAGGACTAGACTCCGGATGCTGACCTCCACCGCATAAGCGAGTGTTCTCCCGAGTCGGCTCATCTTGAGGATTGGGCCGTGCAATCGGAGTCTAGTCCGCAATGGGACACTGTATTCCCATCTATTGCACCCAAGAAAGATACATGGAGTAAAAAGGCATGCCAAAGATGGGTCTCTGCGAGAAAAGATCAATCGGAAATCTCGGAACCGTATCCACTCATCCCTTCCCAGTGCCCAAGCCGTGGCCACTCATGGGCCGACTTTCTCGATTAATTTGGTCGAGCTGCTAGAAATTCAAATCAGCAGCAAATCTCTAGACTATTCTCATACTCAATAAGAGGCTCTCACTTCCCAGGTCTTTCGCTCTGATCGGTGGATGACTTTATGCTTTCGGACGAAGCCATGGATACTACCATCATGGAAGGGAACACGACGAGATCTACGAACAATGGACCTCACCTTGTTCAGTTTAGCAAGGTGCCTGACTTTCTGTCGATGTATTTTCCCGATTGGAATGGCTGGCAACTGGTCATCACGATCTTTCTTATCCTGATTGCCTACGACCAATGTACGTCCTTCGAGATTCTGGACGACGACCTCTTCTGACCAGCGTCTAGTCTCCTATATTAAAAACAAGGGCTCAATAGTAGGACCTATGTTCAAGATTCCATTTATGGGACCCTTCATATCAGCTCTCTACCCAAAATTCGAAGAGTACCTGGCTCAATGGGCAAGTGGTCCACTCAGCTGCATTTCGGTATTCCACAAGTAAGGCCTTTCATGGCGCCGTTGAGGTTCTACAGATGATTAGCAGTGCTGACATTTTATTTCATAGATTTGTCGTCCTAGCGTCAGACCGCGACATCGCACACAAAGTCTTCAAATCACCAACATACGCCGAACCCTGCCTAGTTCCAATCGCCAAAGACATTATAGGTACATCAGCATGGGTGTTCCTGACTGGGAAAGTTCATGCCGAATATCGCAGAGGCTTGACTGGTCTGTTCACCAATAAAGCTCTGTCGGTTTACCTACCCGTCCAAGAAAAAGTCTACACTGACTACTTCGACAAATTCGTCGCTGCCAGCAAAGCCAACGGACTGAAACCAATGGGATTCATGGGGCACTTCAGAGAGATCAACTGTGCGTTGTCGTGTCGGACTTTCTTTGGAGATTACATCTCTCAAGATGCTGTAACGCGAATTGCTGATGATTTTTACCTGGTCACTGCTGCGCTTGAGCTAGTCAACGTTCCTTTCTCCATCCATGTACCGTTCACGAAGACTTGGCGAGGAAAACGAATCGCAGATACCGTTCTAGCTGAGTTCACCAAGTGTGCTGCTGCTTGCAAAGCGAATATGGAGTCCGGCGCAGAGCCAACCTGCATAGTCGACGAATGGGTTCTACACATGATGGAATCGAAGAACTACAACTCCAGAATCGCTGCAGGGGAAGAAGGAGTCGAGAAACCAACAAACCTCATCCGCGAATTCACCAACGAAGAGATCGGGCAAACGATGTTCACCTTCCTCTTTGCATCCCAAGATGCATCCAGCAGCGCCACAACCTGGCTCTTCCAAATCCTCGCCCAGCGACCCGACGTCTTGGGACGCGTCCGAGAGGAAAACCTAGCTGTCCGCAACGGGGATCGAAACCGACCCTTCAAGCTCTCCATGTTCGAATCCATGACCTACACCAACGCCGTCATCAAAGAACTGCTCCGCTACCGACCACCCGTAATCTTCGTCCCCTACCTCGCCAAGAAGAGTTTCCCGCTCACGTCAACCTACACCGTACCTAAAGGCGCCATGGTCATCCCATCCTGCTACCCTGCGCTACATGACGCAGAGGCCTACCCGAATCCCGATGTGTTCGACCCCGAACGTTGGATTACTGGGGATGCGGAGTCGAAGACGAAGAATTGGCTGGTTTTTGGGGCGGGGCCGCATGATTGTCTGGCGAGGAAGTATGTCCCGCTTACGATGGCGGCGATGATTGGGAAGGCGGCGTTGGAGGTCGATTGGGTGCATCATGCTACGAGGAGGTCGGAGGAGATTCGGGTTTTTGCTACGTTGTTTCCTATGGTATGTTGAGTTTCCGTGGCAGGATATTGATATATCTTTGGATGCTAATGTTTCGCAGGATGAGTGTCCGCTTGTTTTCACGACGCGGATGTAATATGAAGCTACCTTCTCGTTGGGCAACATGATGGCAGAGGCGAAAGCTGGGTTGTCTCTTGTAGACGCGAGAAACATTCGATTTCACGATATTGGACTCAGGGTTTTGATCTGGTCGTAGACGTGTATAATAAATAGAAATCTCGTCAGAGATATTTTGAATTGCTTCCCTTTGGATGGTATCACAGCCTGGGACTCATTATTTAGATCACTAAAGTAACAATGCTGCTTACAAGATTTCATCCATATACCCGGAGACAACTGTTAGTCGTTCTAACATGCTTCTCGAGCATATTGATTCCATATTCTGCGCTTGCCCATCGTCCCGAAGCCAATGTTGTCGCTTTGCACCGATCCATACTTGCAGCTGAAATCGTTGTCTTCGAACACAGACTTGCATATGAGGACGTAATTAGCCAAAGAAAACATTATAAATATCATCTGTCTGGTATTGAACTATAGTCATCATACATCCATCATTTTGAACATTTTCCACTTCCCCCACCTCAACCTAAACCCTCTGCTCAACCTGCTCAACAGCCAACTCTTTCTCCAACCCACCCTCATTCAATCCCTGTCTAATAACCTCCTCCTCCTCGGCCAACTCCTGCCACACAATCGCGTGCGCCTGGCTAGCCTTCAACCGCCTATCAAACAACCGATCGATACCCTCGAGCGGAATATTCTTCGTCTCAGGGATCAGGAAATACACAAACACAGCCGAGCACAGCATCAGTGCAGCAAAGAAGAAATACACGCCGTAGCCCATCGAGGTGAACATCTGCGGCGTGAAGCGCGCGACGAGGAAGTTCCAGAACCAGTTGTTGGCTGCGGCGAAGGCTTGCGCGAGGGTTCGGACGTTTTGGTCGAACATTTCGGAGTTGAGGACCCAGGGCGTGGGGTTCCATGTTGGGGAGTAGAATGCGGTCCCTGGGTTCTGTTAGCTGGATGCACTTGGGAGGGGAGAGCGAAGGGAGACTTACAGAGGTAGAAGAAGAAAATGGCTGAGACGCCAGATGGAGGAAGACTGGTGGTGGGGTGCTCGGCTGGTTTCGCGGCTGCGATGTAGCCGCCGACGTACCACAAGCAGAGACTGCCTCCAATGGCACCGATCATCAAGAGCTTGCGTCGTCCATATTGATCGATCAAGAAGGTGAGGTAGATCAAAGTGAAAACTGTCTTAACGACACCGAAGAGACCAGTGGTGAAAAGCGAGGTGTTGGTTCCAGTGATACCAATGGACTTGAACACAGTGGGACTATAGTAATTGATAGCGTTGATACCCGAAGTATTCTGCCAGAAGAACAATGAACCGCCGAGGAAGAATCGCCATTGGATAGCCTTGTTGGATGCCAAGATCTTGAATGGTTGCCAGAAGCCGAGACCGCCAGCAGCCATCTGTCGCTCGATGTTTTGGTCGATCATGTAAACTTCTTCCTTGATATACATATCATTCTCGGGCAGATTTCTGATCCAGCAGAGGTTCTTGATGGCCTTCTCGCGTTTGCCCTTGGTCATCAACCATCTAGGAGATTCGTGGAGCCAGAAGGCGCCAAGGAAGAGCAGGCCGGATGGGATAAGTTGGATGGCGAAGGGGATGATCCATTGACTGTGACCAGGCTTAACATGAAGACTGACTCCGTACTAGGGAATCATTAGCGTCGAAGTGAAAGAGCATGTAGATGTTAGACTTACGTTGATCCAAAAGCCGACCAACCCACCAATCTGCCATCCAAGTTCGAACATGCAGACGAGACGTCCTCGGATAGCTGGAGGCGAGATCTCAGAGATATAGATAGGCGCCAAGTTACTAGCTCCACCAACACCCAGACCTGCAAGTACACGCCCGGCATAGATAAGACCCAATCCTCTCTCGCCGTTCGCTCCAAGCATGAGACCCGAGCCAAGGACGAAGATAGCAGCGAAGACAGCGAGACCGGATGTTCGTCCCATGAAGAAGGCGGCAACATAGGCAAAGATGGCACCAAAGAAAGCACCAGCTTGATAGCAAGAGACGATATTGGCGTTGAGGAGGTTGACAGCAGCTGTTGAGAGGTCTTCGAAATGAAACTCCTCCTTGAATGACTTCAGAGCCAAAGTGGTACCAATGAAAGCACTGTCGTAGCTATTCCAATTGATTAGTTCCCACCTTCGCAACATCATGAAGTCTACTTACCCAATCATGATAGCAGCTGAACCTGCGAGAGCAGCGCAAGCATACACACGCCAGTTGTAGACATTGTTCGGCGTCGGCCGATCCTCGACCTTGGTAAAGAGACCCATCTTGTCTTCTTGTCTTGGTTACGATTCAAGATGGAAGAAGGAGGAGAAGGAGGAGAAGGTTGTCAAAATGCTTTGACCTGTCGATCCCCAAGAACTTGGAATATGTCAGTTCTTATGAATGGGATCTGGGGTATGGGGAAGATAATCATTCATCCGCTCGAGACAAAGCTCAGCTCCTCTCCACGTCTGGGCCCGATCATCTGGTCGTCGTCCTTCCCCACATCGATGGCAAAATTTTCATCCGCTCCACTGTGGGTAGCGTCCACTTGGTTCCTCATTCGCTGAGTGCGTCGGGTTTTGCTCTGGTTCAGGGGGCTAGATCCGGGCGCGGGTCCTTATCCGAGTCGCGGACATTCACTAAACGCCCTAAAGAGGATTGATGCTGTTCTCGACCCCGCGAAGACGCGATGAATGGTAATGGTCTCGTCTCCACGCGGGGATTGATTGGCAGTATTTGAGATCTTCTTGGCTGTGGCTTACTCTGATCACTTGTTGAAGATCCAGCCAGGTGCATGATACTTTAACCGACATCGGAACGCTTGATCCATCTGTGAAAAAAGCAGAATATGAACCGCGAGTCATGATAGAAGTTGGGTGAGATTGATGGCTGAATTTAAATCAAGAGCGAGTTGATTGGAAGCTGACAACTTCACAATTCTGACAGTCCACGTGAGCCTCAGCCACTTGTCTCAAGCCACAGGATTCAAGTCAATATTCTCATCGGGTCTGAAACTTCCATTCCTCCAACATCATTATGTTGATCAACCGTCCACTCTGTATATTGAAAACCCTTGCAGTCATACTTCAGCATACATGTGTCTTTGAGACTATCGGGCTTCACCGTACGCTCACATGAGCTCAATCAAAGACTACTTACTGGCCGCCAAAGTGAGTAGCAGCGGCCCCAAATCGAGGCCGAGCAGAGACACATCTGTGTGTACATTTATCTCGTCACCCTTAACATCCACTCGATGTGTCTCGGGGAAGGATCATATTCAAAAATCATCGAATTTTCATTCAGGTACATCAAATGCTAATTATTCCCTCCCTTGAATTCGCTTCACCCATCTATCCAAGTCCTCATGTCCCGCCAAATCCATCCTAATGTGGGTTTCAACCTAGTCCACAGCCGTCAAGCAGCGATCAAAATGGAACATGAGATCTCGAAATTAATCGGAACTAGTACCACAGAAGAACTCGTGTGCTGAGACGCAACAAACGTCCTTTCCTGTCGCTGCTCGAATGTCGTCCATCTCCGTATAATCCACCGCACGGAACGTTGCTTTCTGACCTGGTACGGGATAGCCTAACGCTACTCCAATGCGACCCTCGTCAGCTGGTCCTTCATTCGGCGTCAGGAACAGCTTGGTAACTTCAGGCTAGAGAGCCAATCTCGTGTCTGCGAAGACCCAAGCGTTCTGGAATCCGCTGTGAGCTGTCGTATGCATGGGATGTGTGATCTGGTGCAGTTGGAAGCCATATCGCGAGAGCTTGTACGCCTGCATTACCGGCTTCAGACATTGTTCGACCATTTCTGTGACGATGTCCCGGGCGGTATAGTGTGCTATGAGGGCGCAAGTCTTGACTTCCTTCAAGGTTAGGAGGATCTCGATGTGATGTCGCATGTGGCAGGTCGCGTACATGGGATCTGGATTGTCGCCAAACTTTAGACACTGCGATCTGGACAAGGCGAGGAAGAAGTTCCGCTCTCGGACTTTGAAGTCGTTGAAGGCATCTTTGACGATAGACTTGAAGTTATCACCGCGTGGAAGAGTATCTTCGTTCTCGGGTTTGGCGTCGAGCTTGTTCTGGTCCATGCACTTCTTTAGACGTTGCTCGCTCAATGTCCATGAATCTAGTGAAAGATCAGTTTGGAGTCACAAAAGACCCTGGAGCCAAGGTGGGCTCTCTCAAAAAAGTATCGGGAATCTTTGTCTCTCGAATTATCTTTGAAACCAAGCGCGAACTTTGACGTACGGTTTGCCTTCAGAAGGGAGAGGAATTTGGCTCGTCCAAGGTGGGGATGAAGTGGTCGCAAGTCCGAAACAGATTGTAGCAGCTCTTCATCAGAAGGAGGAGAGCTCATGGTTGCGGATCTCGATGTGTATTTGAGAGACGTCTTCGAATCTTGGGGTTGATAGCTGTAGGAAGAAGGTAGGTAGTTAAAGACGACCAAATGAGTGGCAGCGCGAAAAGAAGTACCTGGATCAGTTTGCAAGATCCAGGTAAAGTAGCTTAGCGTCTAAGCAGAGCCAAAAACTGTCCTTTGATTTCAATTTAACACGAAATGTTAAAGAAGAACCCAGTACATAGTACAACAGCAGTAGAAAGAAAATTGGAGTTTGACGTGGACAAACCGAATAACTTTAAAATTTCTTGACTACACTCCTTTCGCCCACAAGCATTCAGACCTTCCATCTATATCATTCATATTTTCTCTGAAATTTTCGTCGCATTCCTCCTCACGAAGTTCTTCCACCGCAGTTCCTCAGTCCCATGCTCAATTCAAACTCCAAATTGCAGTGTAGATCATAAAATGAAACGACCACGAGACGGAAATCCTCGAGGTCGAGATTAACGACAGATCCGTCTTCCATCTCAGAACATGCTCTCGACCATTGCAATAACATAACGTTACCACTCAATCGATTCACCATGGTTGCCACTGTAGATCTAGCAGCGTGATGGGTTGATGCTCTTGATGGAAGAAAGAAGAATATTTGCGCGCGAAATTTCGAACTTCATCAATTTTAGACATCACGTGTAGTCTAGTCTTTGCTTGGTTAGTCTAGACTGACAATTGATGAAATGCGATTGGAAGGCACTATTACCGAGGAAAGAGCTTCCGACCGGTCAATTCCGTATCGACGACGACGACAACGACAAGACGACTTCGAGCAAACAACAACCTCATCATCGTCACGGCTTGAGAAGGACATTCACTCTGCTCAATTCACGATGTTGGCACAACGTGCAGCTCAACAATCGCTGCGCAGGCGTACGTCTTCCCTCCAGCGATAAGATGGAGATCAGGACATCCCACCTCAACGATCAGAACGACAGCTAACAGAGAACCACAGTTGCGGCCTCGCAGCCTTCAATGTTGTCGCAGATGGCGTTCAAGAACACATTGAAACCGTTGGCCATCGGATCTTCGACTCAGGCTCGGTTCGTTGCCCTCTTCCCCCTTCCTCCCTCAACCTCTTTCTCCCATCAGAAGAAAGCAAGCTGACAAGAAGAACCACAGCCCCATATCAACACAAAAACTCACCCCGACCGACTCCTACGAAATCCTCGTCGCCCAACGAAAGAACCGTCCCTCCTCCCCCCACTTCACCATCTACCGCCCGCAAATAACCTGGCTAAACTCCATCATGCACCGCGCCACGGGCGCCGTTCTCTCGGGCGGCTTCTACGTCTTCGGCGCCGCATACCTCGTCTCTCCCTTGTTTGGATGGCATCTGGATTCTGCGACCATGGCGGCGGCGTTTGGCAGCTGGCCTGTGCTGGCGAAGGTGTTGGCGAAGTTTGCGGTTGCGATGCCGTTTACGTTTCATTCGTTTAATGGGATTAGGCATTTAGTGTGGGATATGGGGAGGCAGTTTACGAATCAGCAGGTTATTAGGACGGGGTGGATTACGGTTGGGGTTGCGGCTGTGAGTGCGTTGGGGTTGGCGGTTTTTGTTTAGGTGATGGTAGAATGGGGACGCGTATGTGAGGACTGGAGGCCATGGAGTAGCGTGGCATATACGCTTGATGGCTTGGCAGAAAGAATGAATATTTGTTTGTACTATGTGTGCTGGGACTTGATCCGGTGGTGCTTTGTTGGTGAATTTCCTGGCTGGACGAGTGTCTTCTCAATACCAGGGCTCAACGCTCAATGACTCAGCCCTTGTCGGAGGCATAGGAGGGAAATTCCTAAAATCCTGATTGCCAAGCGAGAAAACATCTCTAATTTTTCATGAAGCTGAAAATACCACGAGTGTTGGTAGAGTCTGAAATTTTGTTGCACATCGCGGTGCGTCGAAGGTTCATGGCAGCATTCAAATTGGAGATGGAAGTCCAATAAGTGCTGGTGGAATCTGACGTTTCTTTTCGCATTGCACTTTCGAGTCGAAGGTCTATGATAGCATTTTTTGACTGGAGTTGGAAGTTCAATGAGTGTTGGGGGAATCTTAAATTTTGTTGCATATCGTATGCACCGTCGTTGCGGGTGCAGTGATTGCTAATGAGGAGGTGTTGACCTCATTTTCTATCACCCCCTCATTTATCGACTCTCACAAAGATTGAAGTAAAGTATCCTGCTAATATCTTCCGCACCATGGACTACCACGGATTGTTACGATGCTTCGGTAATCACGACTGCAGTGCAAGCGGCCAATGAGTGGTAATCACGGGACTTCAAATATCGACCGCGAGATTCTCTCCAAAGCTCGTCAATACTTACTCCTTCCTTACTCAGCATGGCTGTTTCTAAATGAACTGCGTTGGAAGTTTTGACAGAAGTAACCGATCATCTGCGCGGTTGAACAGGTTTCAACCAATCGCTTTCGTACGCGCCAACCAATCGTTGCTAGAGGTGTAGCGAGATATGTTGGTTTTACAATCAATATGATTAAGCACTCTTTCCAGCTCCTTGCGGTGGAAACATGGCTTACTGATCGAATGTCGCCATGATTTAACTCCGATGGGTTCTCCTTGAACGGAATATATAAATCTTTGGAATACCATTCCCATTGTCTTCGACTCAATCATCATATCCATATTTTACTCTCCGAAGTTGCTTGAAACTCTTTTGCACACAACCTAATCAATACCATATATCCGAACTAGCTTCATATCACACACAGAATGACCGTGATCAAGACCGTCGCTGTCACTGGAGTAAATTCCCCCACAGACTAGTGTTCCTCCTCCTAGCACTACTAACATCTGACAGGCAAGCGGTGCCGTCGGAACGGCAGTCGTGAATGCCATTGTCGAGTCGGGAAAATTCAATGTGTCTGTTCTGGCTCGTACAGGTTCAAAAGCTGCCTTCCCATCCTCGGTCAAAATCGCATATGTCGATTACAGTGATGTTGCTTCCCTTACGGAAGCTTTTCGTGGCAATGATGCCGTTATCTCGACAGTCGGATTAATGTAAACACGATTGGGTCATTTGCATAACTGCTGCCTCCTCTTAATCACTCCCGCACGCTTCCATTATGTTCCCCCTCTACTCCGGACGTTTTGAAATTCCGCCTTTGCGTTCACTCTCCTCGCTCTCATTATCCAGGGCCTTGCTAATCCCTCAATCATCTAGGGGTCTACAAGGCCAAACCACCGCCGTCGAAGCAGCCGTTGCAGCAGGAGTCAAACGCTTCCTCCCCTCAGAATTCGGCTACGACCTCGAAGACCCCAAGATAGAGGCCATCACAGCAAACCTCCCAATCTTCGGAGCCAAAGTCAACGTCAAAAAGCTGATCGAGGAGAAAGCCGCCTCGAACCCAGACTTCACATACACTTACGTCTATAACGGCACTTTCTTGGACTGGGGTCTTGAACATAGCTTCTTGTTCGACCTACAATCTGGCAAGCCGCGTATTTTCGACGGCGGCGATCGACCTTTCTCGACCACGACACTAAAATCTACCGCTCAAGCTGTAGTTGGTGTTCTAGAGCACCCCGACGAAACGAAAAATCGTGCGGTGTATATCCAGGACCTAGTCCTCACCCAGAACAAGATCTTCGCTCTTGCTAAGAAGGTCGCGCCCGAGAAAACGAAGTCGTGGGAGCCGGTGCCGACGTCTACTACTTCTATCAAGGGTTCTTCTGATGCGGCCTTGGCGAAGGGTGATGATTCTCTTCCTGTGCTGTTCGAGTATCTCTACGTGTTGTTCTTTGGGGAGGGGTATGATGCTGAGTATAAGGAGCTTGATAATGAGCTGTTGGGTATTGCTGGGGATAAGAGTGATGCTGATATTGAGGCTATTTTGGCTCCGATCTTGAACTGAATGGAAATGGAAGTTCTGGATTCGCAAGTTTGGAGACGTGGGTTAGCTATGACGAGGTATGTTGACGAGAATACGCGACCTTCCTCGTTTAATCGTCGCTTTTCTAAATATGTTTTCTCTACTGGTGCTCATCGTCTAAATTCTTCAGTACAGTAGAAACTATTTAATCCTTCGAAGTCTCTAATAACTCCTTTTAACCCTTTACATACTGTCTAGATCGTCGACTATCTAGCATAGTAGTCATTTGCGGGCTCATGTTCCTCTTCCTCCTCCTCTTCTTGATTCCTAATCAAGTGCCACGTTTTGATGGAGATTTTAATGATGGTGAGGCTTTGTAGTGCTTTGAATTCCTTTCTTAGTAGCAGATATGAGCTTCTACGTCCTTCCTTCTGTTATTACTTCGACAGATCTGAGCTTCCGTTGCATCAAGGTCTCTGTTCTACCCCTGTTTTCAAGCTACATATACTTGTATATCCGTCGAAAGATATCCTCGAATCTGTTCTGTATCTGATTCTAGCGCAATGCACAATGCTACTTTTGCAATCCGTAACAAAGCAACCGAGGTGAAGATCTGCTCTGCTTCACTCAAGCTTTCGTCTTCCAAAGGTTGCATCAATTCTCTTGCAAGGCTTTGTATAATCTGCAAACCACCTTTCGTTGCAGTGAATTCAAAATTCGCAAAGTCGTCCCCAAATTCTCGCATCAAGCGACTGATAAGCGCCGGAGCAGTTCGAAGTAGATTGGCCGGACCATCTGATAGCTCAGGTGTGCGCCCGGCAAGGGATAACCAAGAGTCTATACCCATCAACTCTAGGTGTCTGTTAAGCACAGAGATATCGTCGACTCGTGGTATTTTGCAGAATTGGTAGTCGTAGCAACTGAACAGCCGGATGGGCGGAAGCTTTTGTTCAAATTGGAGAGTTTAACTCGTCACAATTTCTTTATTTCCACTTTATGTCCACCACGAATTTTTCCGAGCTTAACCAAGTCATCCTTCCCTTGAATCTTCAATTTTGACATAATAGTCTTGTCGTCCGCTTGGTTAGCTTGATCAAAATTCTCCTTCAACTCCTTCGACGCGACTTGGGAGATCGTATGCCACAAGTTCCCATACCGTGAATATTTAATATGTCGACGGTGAAGGAGAGTGGTCAACGTGACACATAACAAATGCACACCAAGAAGAGTCATGATAGAGATGTAGCCTGTGCAGCCTTGATGGCACTCTCCCGGTGCTTGAACCACCTGTGTGATAGCGAGGTTCACTTCTTCCGCCTGTGTGAATGATGGTACGGTGTCATAGTATATCGTGAAAGCTAATGTGCTTATGAGGCTCTGAATTACATTTGCAGATCGATTGCTTGCGATGATGATATCTTGAAACAGGGTGCTATACGATGGATGGATGCTTGTCCCGCCTGCTGCGCATGTCCAGCAAGTTAAGAATGTCTGGTTTGGGGTGCGAGATTTTGTGAGTTGCCATGTAAGTATTTGGTTCAAGTAAAAAAGCGTAGCGGTGGTGCTCTCGATGTCGGTGATAGGAGGTATGGAAGGAGACAAGACGTTCATGTGAAGAATGCCTCTTTGAGCAGCAGTTTCTGGGGGCTCACTGACACCGATATATTGTTGAACTTCGCTCGTATTATGGGCTTCATCAGTCACCAGGTCCATGAGTAGTTGGGGTTCCTTTGGCATTCCCAAAGCGCTCATCTCGACAAGCGACCGCTCGAAATTGTAGGCTGCAAAGCAAAGAGAGATTTTGATGAACCTATCAGCCATCACTTCGAAGCTTTGCCATTCCCCGTCAATAGACCCATTGGCGAAAGCATGACCAGTGGTCACCGTTGACCATTCTTGTTCGTCCAGATTCGCCGAGAAGACGAGATACATAGATTGATTGGCTGCCCCAGGAGGCTGAGACATATTCCAAAGTGGCACTTGGGTTTCGATGGACACCTTGGAAGGGTACGTCCAGCCAATGCCGCCCACGAAACAGAACGAAGTCTCCAATGATTTGCTGACTGTCCCAGATGGGATGCCACAATTGAAATCCACGATGGTACTTCCGCTGGGGGCAGTGGGAGCAGTTGAGCTTGCACCCGCATGTTCAAGACTTGTGCCGTAGTCTACTGATCCCACCATAGTGCCAAAGATGCTGCCGCGCGGAGTATAATCAATCTGGTACGTTGCATCGATGTTCGGTGGCGCACAAACAACCCTTGAGTTGAAGATCATTGTATTGCCGTTGTATTTTCTTACTGAAGTCCTGTTTTCTGTGCCCAGCAGGGGGAGAAGCCCTCTCTGCTTCACTTTTGTATCGCTGAATCCGAGAGTGTCTGGATCCGCTGTAGAATTAGAAGCCACTTCACCAAAGACAGCGTAGATTGCAGCCTGGTCCAGCTGGTAGCTTGGTAAAAAGTCCAGGGCCTCCGGATTGGTCTGAATCAAGCTAGGTACTGTAGTCGTCTCGCTATTGCCTTCGATGGTAAAATCGTAGATATCAATAAGTAAGATTGTAGAAGTAGGTTGAAGACCAAAAGTGACAAGTGTAAGCAAAAGTAGAAGAAAACCCTCAAGGGTAAACAGAGGCATTCGATTTCTCCAGGACAGCAGCAGTTGTAGGACGCCGAAAGGGCCGTTGTTAAAAGCTCTCATGACCGAGAGATGCGCGACTTGAGACTTGCGAACAATGTGCTTTTCGAGAATCAAGGCTGCGAGCATCGAAGTACACACGATTGATTGAATTGAGATGATGAAGCGAAGCACAAGCGAGGATAATGTGATAGTTCGAGTCATCCAGTTGCTGAGTGCAAGCCGACGCCAGAGTGGATAAGCGTTTGCTCCTTCAGGAGTCGAGCCATGTCCGAACCAGAGAAACGACAAGAATCCTATCATCGCCAAAATTCCAATGGAGCCTGCGAAAATGCTTAGAAGCCCATACCACCCAAGACTTGTTCTAAGTGATAACAACGGATCCCGGCAGGTCTCGAATTCGCGAGTCGCGAAGCTCGGAGCACTTTCGCATCTGTATCTGTCCGTCTTACCCAGAGCTGATTCGGGGCCATGTAAAGTTGAAACCTTTGAGAAAGTTGAGTCCCCATCGAAGCTGGCTTGCACAGTGCCCATTTTATAGAAAATTTACGGGCTCCCCACTGCAATTGAGAGGTGTATGTTCGATAAAAAGTTACAAAAACTGTACTCCCGAGAGATTCTGGGGGTCCAAACTAACTCAATTTAACCGCTCAGGACACTTCAGAGTCCGAGAAGAGGAATACTCTGATTACTTGTAATTCTACCGAGAGCTGGGCGGTGGTGCATCTAGAGCTAGCCATTCTTTGCGTATCTTCAGAGAGGAAATCTAGGAGGTTGGAGGGGCGAACGATAAGGCAACAAAATTAGGGCACAAGCCAGAGGCTTTAGGCTGATATCTGAGAGCCTGAACGGTAACTGCAAAGCTGGGCGAGGATTGAGGCGGAGCAACCACTATCTGCATGCAAGGCTGCGGTAACAACCAGAATTCAAGATGATTTGTGTTACAGCAACACCGACAAACGGAGGTTCGAAGTCACGAAAAGACCAATCAGATAAAAATTTCAATGCATGTGTATAGTCATAACATGCAGTCGATTGGGTAGACCAACTAATCGGCCAGGACACTTGACAGGCCTGGTAGCTTGCCGGAATCATTGGGTCTAAACCACCCCTTAGAACTACCATGAAATGTTACACAGCAGGATGTGTACACTGCGCCACAAACATATCTCGTATTTCGTATCTTCCATGATAACCATCGATCGCAGTTCATCCCACGTCTGCGGGCAACTCAGTTCGCATGTACGCTTGTAAGGAAGCAAGACTCATGGATGGCTTGTGAATTGAATGATCTCGTTTCAAAGTAGACTTCACTTTTCACTTGTCGTCTAGCTATAGCTTCTCCAAATATATACCCTAATCTAATTCAACCTCAGCTTCTTTCCTCCTGTCCTTCCTCCAAACCAGCAGCCAAGAGACCAAAATAGCAGAGATAGCCACGATCAGGAAGCAAAGACAAATCACATACGAAACGTGATACCCCGGACCGAAGACAGTACTGTAGACATGGGGGCCAACGATCCCTCCAAACTGCGCCATTGCATTCGTGATACCGATTCCGATACCCGCCGCCACCGTCCCCTCAAGTGCTCGAATACGTTCGGGCCAGATGACAGGATAGGCAGAGCCGGCGCACGAAGTTGCAACGATGAGGCAAAGGTACTTCACTACAGCGTTGGGAACGGTGATGAGCAGGATGTAGCAGATGATGATTGTGCTTTCGACTACGAGAAGTGAGCATAAGTTAATCTCCAAGAAAGAAGAGAGCTCATACTTGCGACTGCTGTTACCCATGGTCTGATCCACTTCTTGTGTAACATATAGCCCATGAGGTTCAGAAACAGAAAACAGGAAAGATATGGGGGCTTTGACGTGTTAGCTTAAATATTTTCAACGCATGCTGAAGGAATGGGGCTCATAAACTTACAATGTTCATGAGTTGAGATAGAGAAGTGGTAGTGAAGCCTAGCTGATATATGACGGTCGGCAAAGCATAAGAGACACCAAAACCACCAATCCCATGAGCGATCCAGTAAATGGCAAAGGTGTACAATGTTGGATCCGAGAATAAAACCTTCAAGGTCTTGAAGTCCCAGTTCCCCGAAGCTCCTGATGGGGCAGTAGATGAAAGACGTTCCAGAACAAAGGCCTTCTCTTCCTCGCTCAACATCCTCGCAGTCTGTGGATAATCAGGTAAGCCAAAGAGTGCAACCACCGAAAGAATGATAGCCGGCAGTCCCTCGAGCAAGAACAACCACCTCCAACCAGCCAAATGACCCAACCCGTTCATGAAACCGATAGCAAAAGCCAACAACCCACTCAAAGCACTCGCAATCTGTCCCACGCTATAGAACAAAGCTATGCGCCACGGCATCTCAGTGGGTTTATAGAAGAATGACATGTGGTAAAGCACCGCAGGATAGAAACCCGCTTCCGCCATCCCAATCAGGAACCTAACGCCCATCATCTCTCTGAAATTGTGGACCGCGGCAACAGAACAAGCGCATATTCCCCATGCGAGAATAAGGACGAACATCCATCTCGAAGGTCTGAACTTCTTTAAGAGTAAAGTGTTGCTAGGTTCAAAGATCAGGTACGAATAAGAGAAGATGGAGAGCGTCCACGCCCATTGAGAAGGACTCAAGTGCAGTTGTTTTTTGATGTTCGTTCCAGCTTCGAGGTTGATGATCGCGGCATTGGAGTAGTTTGAAGAGTCTATGACGCGGAAAATGTAGACGAGGGAGTAGAAGCCTACGAGCCAGAGGTCGATTTTGCGGAGGACTTTTTTCTCGAATGCTGCGTCGTGCTCGGATGTTGCCGGGGTGTTTTCCTCCTCGGATGAGGGTGTTGAGTTGATAGAGACAGGAATCACGTCTTGGCTCTTTTCATCTATCATTTTGTTGGATGGGAAGGCAAACTCTCGGCGGTTTCGAGAGAGGAGTATGAGGTTTTTTTCAGCCTCTTGGCAGGAGAAGCTGTTCTTCTCACAACTTATAGCTGAAAAAGTGACTCCAGCCTATCCACTTTGTCATTACGAACTGAAGCCCCAGAAATACGACATCTCACCGTCGTGATAACCATCCCGCCACTCCATCACGTGGTGGAACTCATCACCCAGAATCGGCCTTTCTAGATGATGCAATAATAGACATCATCACGACATTGAAGTTGCCCGAACGCCTATCAGGAGTAACAACTTTTTCTATACCAAATAAACTTGATCTTATCGCATATAGTGGGCTCTGAAACGGATCTCGGATGTGTATCACTCCCCTTTCTCGCTCGCTTAGGTTAAGCGTGCCGGGGTGGAGTGGGGGAGGGGTAAACTATTCCTATTACCGTGGTATCGAGAGAAGATCTATTGGTCAATTGAGCACGCAATATATGCATCTATTGTGAGACTTGGGGCGGAAATATAACTCCATTCGTGCTTGTAAATATCGTGAATAAGCATTTAATTAAAGTTGTTGTTCATATGCTTAAGGAACTTACACACTTCCTATAATTGTATATACATTTGAAGATATAGCTCACCTGAACTTCCTCTTGTAAGTCACATCTACATAGGGTGTGACATCATGGCACCCTCAGCCACCGAACCTCAATCTCAATTCTCGACCACGGACAGGGTCCTGGTCAAGCCATGGAGTCGTCCTGCACCTACCAAAGAGGACCTTGACTGGGCGCCACTGGTCAAAATAGATCTCTCGCATTTTGACGAGCCAGGAGGAAAACAAGAGCTCGCAAGACAACTTTACGATGCTGTGACTAACGTCGGATTCTGGGTTGTCATCAACACCGGTCTTGACGACGAGCGCGTATTACGACAATTCAGTATTGGCAATACGTTTTTCAAGGAACCTCTTGAAGAGAAGAGAAAAGCGCCTTGCAACTTTGCGGAAGGCGAATATTTTGGATATCGTGAGAATTCGAGATGGGTCGGCGATACTGGGGTGAAGGAGAATATTGAAATGGTATGACGATCCTCTCCTCGCACGTTGGATATCAACTCACCAAATGAAGCTCAACATTCCCAAAGCCATCCCGGCCTACGCCAAAGAACCCAAACACGCCATCACCACTCAGAACTACGACGAAATCGCCTCATTCCACCGTGACGTCTGGGAGAAAGTAGCCCGCAAACTCTTCGTCCTGATCGCCATCATTCTCGAACTGCCAGAGAACTATCTCGCTGACGCACATGCCTATGACGAAGAATCAGACGACCACCTTCGGTACATGATCTATAATGTTAGAACACAAGATGAGTGGGATCGCGCGCAAGCCTATTCGAAGGGTGGACATACGGACTTTGGAAGCTTGACCTTGTTGTTGTCGCAGCATGTTGCAGGCTTGCAGATTCGAACTCGTAACTATCCCCTTTATTTGTTCCTTCTCCTTGCTTCCTTTCATATATTCCACGTTTGGGCTCCTGAACAAGTTCCAACATTTTCACAAGGCTCCCGGTACTTTTACGAAAGCAAATACTAACTTTGTGCAGCGGAGGGGAACTGGAAATATGTTAAACCTGTTGAGGGTGGCATTACTTGTAATGCTGCTGATACTTTGACTTTTCTCACAAAAGGTATGCTGGTGTCCATTTACTTGTTATCTTTATTTTTGACTAATTCCTCGTGTAGGATTCGTGAAGTCAACTGTGCATCGAGTCGTCACACCACCAAAGGATCAGATCAATATCCCACGACTAGGCCTGCTCTACTTCAGCAGGCCGGGAGCCAATACACCAATGAGACCTGTTCCTTCGCCACTTCTTGATCGTCTAGGACTTCTTACTGAGGAGGACAAGGATCCTGATCGCCCTGCTGTATCGGGTACTGAGTACGTTCGGGCACGAGTCAAGGACGTTCATCACAAGACTGTGTTGGACAAACGTGAAGGGACTTCATTTGAATTTCAAGGCCTGAAAGTTCCAAACTATTATGATTAAAGTTTAATTACGTAGCAAAACATCTTGCATTTGGTCGCTCTCTTTCAAATTTGACATGCCTTGTGATTTTCCTTTGGTTTTCCGGACATTGTACCGTTTGTTGCATATCGACGGGTTTTGTTTAGTGAAGCTGACGCTTGGTGTAAAAGTACGGCTAGCCGTTAAGTAGAATACTCCGTTTTTCAAGTGAATTAGTGTATATATTAAATAAATAAAATTGTGTTATATTTTCTCTAGCTTTTTCTGGTTTCACGCGAGTCAGTCGAACTCTAAATGCATTACTCTTGTCTCTGCTCTACTCAAAACGGAAGTAGGATGTTCAAATTAGGAATCACCGCCTTCTTCCAGCACCTACGGTCGGAGTTCTTAATACGGAAACCCCCGCGCACACCGCGAACCCCTTGATGCAGGGACAACTTTCTGGTGAGAAGGTCAGGGAACATCATGATATATGAATAGGGAGGCTATGAACGAATTTTTCGAAATGTCAGATCAGATTGACACCTTTATTTCTTCACATCTTCCATTATCAAAATGCTTCTTCGTTGTAAGTAAAGGCTTGCAGCTTTATATGGGACGCGCATTTGAACAACTGGACACCCCAGCTAACATATCATGTAGTACTGGCCGCAGCTTTGGCCCTGGCTATCCTAGTTCAGCCGATCGTTGTTTATCTCCTGGATAAGAAGAACCTACGCAAATTTTCCGCCCCCTCGTGTGCTGGATTCTCATCGTTATGGAGAATGTTCCACAACTTGAAATTCCAGCATTATCTTGCTGTGCATAAAGCCCACGCGCAACTTGGCTCCCATGTTCGCATCGCCCCGAATCACATTTCTATCTCCGACCCACAAGCAGTTACCGATATCTACGGTCATGGCGCGAACTTCTTGAAGGACGCATGGTACGACGGAGGTGCTGGCGAGCATCGCCACATGGCAGATGCACGCCTCAAGGCTGAACACCAGAGGAAACGAAAGATGCTTGCACATCTCTTTGCTCAGAAGACAATTGCAGGTCTTGAGCCAATCGTCACGGCGACCACGGGAATTTTGGTTGCACAGGTTGATAAGCACGCCATCTCCGGGCAACCAATCAACATGCGCCGTTATCTCAACTATTATACCATCGACCTCTTCGCTGAACTTCTTTACGGCCGCACACTAGGTTGCTTGGAGCGTGGTAATGATTTGGTGGACGCGGAAACCCCGGAGGGCAAAGGATACCAAGCCCCATTCATCAAGAGCCTTCATGATGCCACCATCATCAACACCATACTAGGAATGGAGGCTGGTCTTCTCCCTCTCACTAAGAGGATTTTCTCCCGCCACCCGTACAAAAAGGCGGGCGCAGATTACGATAACATCATCTTGCACAATACGAACAGGAGGGTGCAGGATCCCGCCGCGGAGAACGACATATTCTCAAAACTGCTGACCAACACCAAAGGAGAGGATCTCAACCTGTCAGCGGGTGAAATCCTAGCGGAGTGCTCAGTCATGATGAATGCTGGCACCGATACCACGACTGCTGCCCTAACCAATACGATCTACCTTCTCTACAAACACCCTCAGGTCCTGGCAAAGCTGCGAATAGAGCTAGATGCTGCCGCTGGAACTTCCGATGTTCCAAGCTACGACTCGCTAGCGTCCTTACCCTACCTCCGAGCCTGCATTGAAGAGTCCCTCCGGGCCCTCCGGGTCCGCCCTGCAAGTTCTTTTGGCTTGCCACGAGTTGTGCCAAAAGGTGGTCGCTATATCGCGGGCCAGTTTGTTGCAGAGGATGTCACTGTCTCAGTACCAACTTACACTCTACTCCGGGACCCGGTCGCATTTGACAAACCAAACGATTTCATCCCAGAAAGATGGATCGATGGCGACAAGGAGAGAATGAACAAGGCACATTTTCCATTCAGCACTGGTCCTCGCGCATGCATTGGGCGAAACATTGCGTACTTTGAGCAGTTAATTGTCATTGGTACCCTGGTGCGATTGTTTGACTTTGAGTTCCTGACCGAGGACCTTGAGTTAGAGACGATTGAGAGATTCAATTCAAATCCTGGAGAGCTGGAGTTGATTGCTCGCAGGCGTTGGATTTGAGATGGCTAGTCGTTATTCCAATCCTGTTGCAGTTTACTCGGCGTGTATGTCGAAAACGAGTTATTTTGATAGACATAGATGAAGATAGATGCGATAAATGTCATTATTTTTGAAGATCCTTCTTTCCATGTGACTAGATAGCTAGATAGTCCGAGTAGCTACCTTTTCCATGCTTGCTAGTATGCTTCTGTCTAGTCTGTATACTACCAATGAAAACACCAATATCAATAACAAGCCAATCTAACTTCATCAAGCAGCTGCTCATCTCGGCTTTATATTGCCGCTATGCTACACTCTAACTCTAAATTATCATATTTAGATGTACAGTACTTCGTCTGTACTACCGTCGTGGGCTGAAGCTTCGCTTAGAAGTGCGGGGCTACCATATTAGGAAGTCCGTTTCCTTCCTAAACCTAAAGAGGCTCCGCTCCGCATGGCGGCGGACTCCATCAGAGCGTGCCCGGCGAGCCAGACCAACGGGGACACTGGTCCAATAACTGGCTGCTGAATCGCATCTCAATATCTCATCTCATCTGTCTCCTCCGCACCCCGCAACCCCACACACAATCGCGGGGCATCCCCAAATGGAAAGTCCGGGGGGATGGATAAAGCATAAGAAGCTTCAATCATGCCCATGTTCCAATCCTCAGTTCTCTCCCATCGCCTAGCATTCTCATGGTCTTTGGTTTCTGACTCGACAACTACATTTCTACTCTTTTCGACTTTCCTCCAATCAAGTCGACTCTATGGTTTTCCTTAACCTCAACATCAACTGGGCACACCACAAATGGGCTCTCTTCTACTGCCTAGTCTCAACTATAGGTGCTCTTTGCTATGGCTATGATACTATCTACTACACTGGTATCCAGGGCATGAAAGCCTTCGTCCGCGATTATGGCGAATTGACGGCGGATGGCACCTACAAACTCTCTACGACTTTCCTCTCTGTTACTGCATCTCTCATCTACGTTGGCGAATTTATTGGAGCCCTCATTACAGCGCCGATCAATGACGCCTGGGGCCGGAAGGCCGTTTTCTGCTCTGCTTCTATCTGTATCATCGCCGGTGCCATCGTCCAACTCGTCTCCTCTGGCCACTACAGCGCTTTTTGTGTTGGTCGGGTTCTCGTCGGTCTGGGAATTGGTCAGTTCACAGCAACTTGCCTGATTTACATTGGCGAAGTTGCGTCTGCTGAGTTCCGTGGTCCCGCACTCATGATGTTCCAATTCATGCAATCGATCTCCTAATTTGTCGTGTCATGTATCGATCAAGGCACCGAATCCATCCCCAACAAGAACTCCTACCACATTCCTATGGGTCTGCTCATTTTCCTTCCGGGCTCATGCTCATTCTCCTCCCATTCATCCCAGAGAGTTCAGTCTGGTACACCTACAAGGGCAGGCGAGAGGCGGCAGAGAAGGCGCTCCGAAAGATCAACCGCTCTATGCCAGGCTATGACAGCGCCGCCGACTTAAAGGTTATTCAAGATCAGGTCAACATGGAGCTCGAAATGGAAGGTCAATCCAGCTGGGCTTCTGTGTTTCGTGACCCCGTCGAGCGACGCAAGCTCATATACTCCTGCGGTGCTATGTTCGCTCAGCAGATCAACGGCATTCAGTTTTGGTATACCTACGGTGTTGTATTCGCTCAATCTATCGGCACTGCTCAACCTTTTACCATCAATACCATCACCATCGTTCTCCAAATTGTCGCAGTCGGCTTGTCTGTCGTTCTCGGTAACAAGATGCGCCGTCGCGTCAATCTATTGGTCTGCACCTGCGGCATGTTGATCTCTCTGATTGTGGTCGGTGGCCTTGGTACAACCCACCGTGGTGGTCCCTTCAACAAACCCGTCGGGATTACGATTGTCGTTTTCTCCTACATCAACATCATCTGCTTCAACTTCTCCATCGGGACTCTGTCCTACACTATCGCATCCGAGATGGCTGTTGGCCGTAACCGGAACAAGATCACCGCCGCTGCCATTGGTGTCTTTTTCTTCACCGTCTGGCTTCTTGTCTTCGTCAGTCCATATCTCTACTTCTCTGCTAACCTGGGCCCCATGCTCGGCTTTATCTTTGCTGGCACCACCATGTTCACCCTGGCCTACGTCTGGTTCTGCGTTGGCGAGACCACCGGACGCACCAACACCGAGATTGATAGATTCTTCCTTGAACACATCCCAGTTAGGCAGTGGAGGACTCACGTTTTCCCACCCCTTGAGAATGACGAGAAAGATGAGGCGACCATAGTTTCACACATGGAGGTTAAGGAGAAGGTCTAGAGTGCAAATCTTCAAACAAGACGGGTCTCTCCGCCTTATAAAAAACTTTGATCATAAGAGTGCAGAAATTTGGCTCTGGAATGTCGTAGCAACGCTGTTAATTTTAGTTTTCAGAAGAGCGCAACATTAAGAATACATTTTTTGTAAGAGATATTCCGTACCTCAACAAAAACGTCATGCAATAGAACATGGCAATCATCAAGAAAAAGATCTGATCGCTGAGGAATTGCACATGCGTGACATCGTCAAGACCAGGAATCTCTCCCAGACTCTGCTGCGTCTTGACCTCTTGACTAACGAACATGGGGACAAAAGTCCGTGCGTTCAGGGCATCAGAATCATGAATTTTATTAATTAATTAGCTGTAGACCAGCCACATCGCTTAATTAAGTCGTGTACCCAGAAGTCCTGCTGCTCAATAAGCCCATTGATCCATTCCTGAGGAATTTTGTCCCATTCTTCTAATACTGCTACAACCATTTGAACCTCAGTTGTTGGCTGCCTTAGGCGCCTATGGAGAGCTTGTTTTATTCTCCTCCAGCACTTCTCAATAGGATTCATATCAGGGCTAACTGCAGGATGGGGGAATAGAGTAATAC